CGCTACTTTTTGTTGGAGTTACTTGTCCATTCCCTTGATAATCTTTACAATAACATTTGCTACAGAAGGCTTTGTCAAAGTTAACCAGAGTGCTTTAAGTGTTAGTAAGCCATAACCATAGCATCATTTAAATTCCCCTTTTTCATTTAAAGGGAAATGTAGGACTGCTTATGGATCGTTGGGCATCACCATTAAATTACAATTTTTTTCTTAAAATGACACTTTTATCCCCATAACGGTCTTTATAGTAGAATTCCTTGGATATGTCTAGGCCAAAGTATAGAATGGGGCATTAGTAAAGTAATCGTCTCATCTTGATCAATCCTTATAGTCATTAGGAGAGAAATCTGGGATCATTATTAGTCGTTAGGTATGGCTATTAAACTGCAACCTATTACTTAAGATCTCCAGGCCATCCTGATAGCGGCCTTTGCAATAGTATCCGCTATATATAGGAATAAGCCAGGGTGTTTACTTATCGCCAAGCTATTATCTTCATCAAATCTCATAATCACTATAAAAGTGTGATGGAGGATTCAAAGAATCAACGGCTGCGGACTTAGTAGCCATTCACAGAAAATATACAAGGGATTTTAATAAAGGTGAACACTTTATTACAGATAGTAATGGAGATACATTGTGATAGCTACGGTAGATCAGCGTGTAAGCTGTCGTGAAGTAACTTGAGGAAGTACTACTACTACAAATAGTGCTACTGAACAAATCTGAGGCAGAAATCATCAGTATTTATAGTTTAGAGAAAGAATACATGCAGAGAACAGTATTATAGAATTAGATAGATCATATACTATAAACAGGCTATATAATAGTAAACGATTGTAGGAAATAGCAAAGACTAAAAACTACAGTGAAACTAAAATACTGTCCAAAAAGCAATATTAGGCCATTCATCAACTATTGGGAATTGCCATTAAGTTACCCATTCTCCTTCATGGATTAGACCATCTTGATGGCGACTCTTGCTACAGCACCAGATGAATCAGGCTTTACAGAAGTGTAGACGATTTTTATATAATATTAAAATAGTAAAGAACAGTCATGTTTTATGGATATGCTCACTGAATTCTACGAAAATAATTAAGAGTGACGTAGTTGATGATAACCATAGTATCAGGCTATATTGATAGTAATTATGACCGCCATTTCATTTCATTTAAATGACCGTGGCCAAGGTCGATAACCTCTATAAGTCTAATTATTTATTATTTGCTAATGTAGTCAATTGAAAAAACTCAGCAACGATTATCGCTAATAGCGGCAAGTATACTGTTTAGACGATCCTGATTTCTATAAATTAAATCAAGTAGTATTCTTTCTAAGACAGCTATTTCCTTTGAATGATAATTCTATTCTGCACTTTAAATATCATGATGATCATTCATGATGGAATTAAAAGTAACATGCTGTTTACAAATGGTAGTCATGAAAGGGAAGACAGGGAAAATGGTGAAATTTTATTGATAAACATACAATTATCAAACTGTTTAAACTATATTTAACAAGCTCAATATATTTCAAATTAGGACAAGGCAAAAATTTTAAGTTAAACGATGGTGTAGTTATTATGCCGTTACGATCATGGCGTAAATCATTGTAAAAAATTACGGCAAAATTCACAATATCATCAATTAAGAACACAAGTTGTATAACCAAATATCGTCATTTTGCCACGAATTTTCTTTTATTAAGATGACCATTGTAGTCATGTCAACAAGCTTTTTGCAAATTGGAATATCATTTTCAAATAATATCTCGGTTTGCTTTTGTACATTCTCCTTAAAATAGCAAATTATGTTATAGTAATGTCAAGATGTTATTAGCAATGATAACTAGATCCAATAACATTACTTTTGCTATTTTTATAGTAAAATAATAGTTCTACTACTGCTAGAATACGTCAAGATGTCATAACCAAGCCTCGTTGTCAACTATATGGTCTAATGATATTGTCATTCTCCTCTATTTTTTCGTAAAGTCATTACTGTAATACGAACCATAATGCTAATTTGAATAGTCTTGACAATATCTATCATCTGATAATATTATTTCTCTCACATCTAATCTTAGTCTAGTAAATCATTGCCTTAGGAACAAAGGTACCATGTCCAAAGCTAATAACGTGATAGTTTCAAGATTTATTGATATCATTTCACTTCAAGAGCAAAGGCGTCATTTCCAACGCTAACAACGTGATAGTTGCAAAATTTAATAATATTATTATTTTGCTTCATGTGTATTCTTACTAAGATAATTATCGTTAGGATAAGAGCCAAGGCATCATTTCCAAAGTTGATAACTTGATAGTCTCACGATTGAAGTTTGATGATTTTATAATATTACTTATGTCATTTTTTTCGCCTCAAAGCAGTTTTCATTCGGGTAGGAGCCAAAGTAACATTTCCTATGGTGATAACATCATCGATTAAAACCGTTTTCCTCCTATATTTACGTAGTAAATAAATCACAATAAATAAGGGTCAAAACGTCATGACCAATGCTCATAAAGTGATTGAATGATGTCATTTACAATTCATTATGATTAAAGCCATAGCGCTATTTCCAAAGCTAAAAATTGATAGTCTCCTCATCGAATAATATCATTTATTTCATTCCTATTCTTAGTAAAATAGAATCATCAGTAGAGCAGGGATTTCTAAGAAACATCTGGTTGAAAAGAGCCAAGGCGCTCTTGCCAAAGTAAATAACTTAATAGTTCCATAATCTAGTATTATTTATTTTATGTATATTCTTCGTAAATAGAATCATCGCTGGCGTACAAGCTAATGCGCCATTTTCATAGTCTCATTATTTAATAACACTGTTTTATTTCATGCATAATCTTAGTCGAACAATCATCGCCAAAGTAAGAGCCAAGGCGCTATTTCTAATAGTAATAACAGAATTTAAGAATGCTGCCTACTTTCCTCATGAATCTTGTGAGTCAATAAATCACTATAGTAAAAGCCAAGATATCAAAGCTAATAATAGGGTGCTGTGCAATAATAGTATTTTCCTCATGTATGTCCTTAGTAAATAAATCATTATAACAAAAATCAGGATATCATGGCCAATGCTAGTAATATGATCTAATAATATCATTTCCCTTATAGAATTTCTTAGTAAATAAATCATTATAGCAAGAGGCAAGACGTCGTGTTTATGACTTATCTAATAACACCATTTTCCTCGTATATTTTCTTAGCATATTAACCCTGTTAGTGAGAGCTCTGACGCCATGACCAATACTAATAACATGATCCAATAGTATCATTTCTCTTATTTACTGTACGTATATCTTAGTCAATAATGGCAATATCAACAGCCAAATGTCCGTAATCAAATGCTAACACTATGATCCAGCCATACTATTTCCTTCAGATATTCATTAAGCAACATGATCATAGCAGCATCAAGAGCAAAGAAGCTTTAACCAAGATTAATAACCCAGCTTGAGGAATATTATTTTCTTCTTGTATTAAATCCAAAAGTGAATCGATAATTATCATTCTAAAGTATCAGCACTTCTGCTTAATATTAACAACACTGCCCAATCATACTGTTTTCATTATATCATTTTCTTACTTGTAGTCTCTTTGACATGCGTCACTAATGTTAATAGTATAAATCAAATAATATTTTAGCTTTGTTATTTTTTTTAACATAGGATAACAGTTAAGAGCATCAAGTCAAATACAGACAGTAGGAATTGAAATTCAATTAAAGCTATTCTATTCAAGTCCAGTGAATATATAAAAACCCAACAAAAATAACATCAGACAAGTTGGTGGCAATTTCAACAAACAAGCCCTTGAAATATCCTATCTATGTATCCACTACACTACTAGTATTTCAGAACTTGAAAAAGAAAAGTACTCAACATTCTATCTTATTACTTTGCTCAATAAGGATTCGACTTACGTTAGCCAGGAGTGGATTAAAAACAGTTACAACAATTAACATAACTACAAATTCATTTAAACTTCAAGTTTCAATTTGTACCGCGGAAAAATCATCAGTTTGAAAGTTTGTTCATGGCACAACTTGATCTTACAGAATGATTAATATATTCATAGAGTAAAATTTGAAAACACCACGGAAGCTATTTGATGAATCTCCTCTTTTCTTGGTAAATTCTATCAACAACTTGTACGTTTCAGTCGAAAATTATCGAATAGAGTTGAATCAATCTCTCCTAAACATCAACTAAAACTTGATTAAAAAAGAATGCTCAGTTTAAAGATAGATTACTAGTTTGAACTTGAATAATATCAGCAACGATCCTATTCAATTAATATATAGACGGGCTGTTGTAGCTCGATTTAGTTAGAAGAGTGGATTGGGTTTCGATCCATCAGTAGCATCCAATCATGGCAGATCGTCTTATTTAGTATTATATTTGGAGACAAGATTGGATTGCAATAGCTATTGGACAAATAAAGAAGTTATCATACTCCTTTTTCGATCAATAGAAGATTGCATTAGCATCAGTAAAAAAACTTAAATTATAGATATCTAAAGAAGAAGAAATTTATCCTCTTTAATCTTGACAGAAATAACAACATACGATCACTTTACGCTAAAGATAGTTGAATTACAAGATTAAGCGATCAAATTCCTACGTTACAGGTATTCAGTCTTAAAATTGACATAGAAATCAAGTTATACTAGAGCAATCACATTGAATAACTACAGCTATCAGTTCAAAGAATTAAAATCAGGGAAAAAGTTTTTAAAATATTGGAATAGCGCAACATTGGCACATCGAATCGTATCTAAGAACATACTCTTATAGGAAATTCTAATCCTTTTGAGAGTCAGTACCGGTGTTAACACTCTACTTTGGTCTGAAATTGCTCGAATTTATTCGTTGCATTTCCCTACAAACCTTTGATTGCCATTTTTGACGCTAAAGGATTAAATTAGGTGCAATAAAAGTACCGTACCTCATGCTGAAATTCACCATGTCAAATAATAGTAACATGACATGGAATCAGAGTAAAATGGCGTTAGAAAGTATGATCATCATCTGTGTATGGCTGCCAATTTATTTTATCGGTTTTTTTGCTAATATATTTGTTTGTTTAACTATCCTAGAACATTTCAAATTTCGATCATCACTATACCGTTTAATATTTAGCAGTGCCGCATCAGATGCGCTCGGCGATGCCTGTATTTTAGCTTATTTAGGCATGACTTTACTCTTAAGCTATCTCGATCATTCATTACTATGGCCAGTAGGTAATATTATGTGTAAAGTCTTTGGGTTATTCATCTTTGCTACTTATTTCATCTCTATATTTACATTAACGTTCCTTAGCATTGATCGTTACTATAGCGTAGTTAAATTACGTAAGCCAACATTATCAACCAATTGGAGAACTACCAATGTCGCTTTCATTACATGGATCGGTGGTTTTATCCTTGCTGCACCATTTTATTGGATCTATCATTTACCTAAAAAGCCATCGCGGTATTGTGATTTCGGATTAATTAGCACATTATGGGGAAGATTTTATGCTGCGCTACTACTTATTGTTATTATTTTGATACCATTTATAATTATAATTTATTGCTATACTCGAGTAGCTAAAAAAATTTATGCTGTTAATCCCACGTCAAGCCTTAACCATTCACATCGATTACCTCGCGGCTATAAAGGCGCTATCCAAATGATTATGGCCGTTACAGGTATAACATTAATTTCGGCATTAACTATACAATCTACCCTCATAATAGCAGCTTTCGAATCATTTCAGTCCAAAGCAACTCCTGCTCATCACATTCATTCTACTTTTATGTCGGTTACAATATTACTAACTGCAGCATTGCTCTTGTCAGTTATGAGACCCTTTATATACTGTAAATTTAATGCTTCATTTCGCCGCTGTTACTGCAGTACTTTAAAATTTTATTTTTATGGCTTTGCTCTAGCTTCATCAACATCTGCTGGTAATAATTATAACGATAATTAATCACTTTTCGTCCATAAGACTAATCAATATTCGATTGCGATCATGGATAAGTTGTTATCGCCATTGCATTTTGAAGACCAATAGTTTCATTAGAGATGATAAATGTTGGTTTAACTTTAAATCGAATAACTCAATTTTATTCTCGGAATCGATTAGAGTACTAAACATTTTCTAGTAATTTTAAAATACGAAATGTATCAATTAATTATGCATATCCAACCAAAACCGCTTAAACTTCGAACTATGATCTATTTCAAAACAGAACTGGTTACTACTGAGCTTTGCTTATAAGTATTATATCAACATTTTTTAAATGAACTACTGCCTTATACTATATTGAAATAACTTTTATTTTAGAAGCTTTCTAGAACATTGTGTACGATGTAGTAGTAAATTAAGTGTATTAATACTCTTTTCGGCCAATAAAATGATATTCACATCATATTTGAATGAGTAAAATTGAATTAGGCATACAACCAGTGAGTTCTTTTATATTTGAATAAAGCAATTCTGTTTTGAAAGGCTTCGTTGGATACCTACCTATTCATATACTAAGTAAAGAGCAAAATTTAGTTTAGTAATGCTTTTCTAGTTATAAATGATATTAATATTACACTCTGGATAGTATAAATAAAGTTAAAAGAGAGCTTAAGTTCTTATAAATAAAAATGATTCTTATTTTCCAAGCTTGGTGAAATAGTTATTGCATAATACTCTGCAGATTAAGTGTAGCAACTCTCCTTCAACCAATAAAGGATATTAATATGGTGGTATATTCTTAATAGTAGCATTGAAATTAAAGTACAAACAGGTAAATTTTTATTTGTTATACCGTATTTATACTACAAGGCGCGGTAGTTAATTTTTCTATAATATAGAAATAAGAGAGATATGGAACGATAGAACGAACATCTCTTATGGTAGCAAAAAATAGAATCATCTAGAAAGTAGGGATTGGCGTCGTATCTAAGAATATACAAACATGAGCAAGTTTTATTGCATAACATGTCCCTTAGGTATTGTAGGAATAGATGAATGTTATATCATATTTAAGAAAAAACGCTGATCTATAGATAGTCATATATGTTAAAATACAAAAATTGTATGCATTTACCTTTGATGGACGTATACTGTGTTGTAAATCTAACTGTTACTTTCAAAATTACGAGAATTAGTAACCATATAAATTATTGCATGATTTAATCAGTGAATTTGCTGACATTGGGTTTCTCACTCTTCAATTGGAATAAAATGAGAATAAACTAATGTTCCATGCCTTATCCTTGAACTGACTATTTCGCCAACGTGTATTCAAGGATATCCATCATAAAGGCGTACGAATACTAGCCAATATGAACAAATACATTAGTGTGGTGGATTAATGCTGTATACGATCGTATATTCTGCTGCTAGTTTAGGGCTAGGATTAGGGTTATGGTAACTTACAAATATAGATATTATTCGTAGTCTTTCATCTTACATGAAAATAAAACAGATTATCGTGTTTGGTTGGTTGTACTACTTATAGATCCTTGTTATTATTTATAATCATTTGCCACTACCTACATTGTTACATCGTAAGTTTTCTTTACTTCTACAGTCTTAATCCCTGCTATATTCTAAAGTTATAAGTATCGCTGAGTTTTACTTCATATCGGTACTGCTGTTGCTATCATATTTGCTAATAGTGTTACCTATTGCAGTTATGTTATTTTGTGACGGCTACGCGCTGATTTGCAGTGACTTCAATCTTACACGATTTATAACTCGCAAGCAGAACTAGTTTCTTGTTAAGACGTCTCGCAACAATTACTGATGGCTACTATATCTAACTCTACTCATATATTGAACCCTTTACTTCAATTATTTCATATTTTCTACCATTTTACGGTATTTAAGAAAATATGCTTTCGTATATAGTCGTTTGTTGAACAGTATCTCATATTACATATTTATTATAGTTTACCATTACAGATTTAAAAATTATAAACTAGAACAGAATGATCACTTCAGAAATGAAAACAAATATAGTTATACGTGTGTCACAAACCAGCTTCGTGACAAGGATAACGTAAAACAAATCTCTAAATTACTATAGTCTCCGGGATTCAGTATCCCTTAACTACCTCACAAGAATTTAGACGCCTTTGCTTCTACGTTAAAACAACTATACATTTGAGAACTGCTTTATTCAACTATCTGGCGGGCTTATACACCCTTCTACAGCAGCTAACATTCACAAGTCATCTTATAAAAATACTTAGGTGAGAACATCTACTAACTAGTTTTTCACAGTCGGACTACAATATGTCCATTCACAGAATCATTTCAGTGCACATTACAGCACAGCATTAAATTTACTGTAACACATTTACAATTAGAGTAATTCCTATTGTAAGGAACTAGATGTAATATATTATCACTGTATTATATTAACCAAATTTAGATAGCTATTTCTTCACGGTAGTTCGTACCGTGACAACGTGAACGAATATTTTACGCAATTTATAGGAATCATAGCAATAAATTGATCCAATGTTTACTATACATCATGATTATGGTAAGCGATTTGTCGAACAAGAAAAAAAGGTTTACATAATTGTCCTTTTTCGTACGTAGTAAACACTTAATAATGTGTTTGTTGTTATCGTTAATCTCAGTAATCTCTAGGACAGGTTAACGTTTCAATATTATTGTAAAGTATACAGTATAAGCAGGTTAAAGGTGAATTCTGGAAATAATGATTTATTATCGTCTATTTTCTCACCATCAATGGTAAGTATAAATAAATCACAATTCAGACAGGATTTCTTACGTCTAATCCATTCTTTTGTATATTTATTCTCAGATATAATTTCGACTTAATATCTAGGGCTATTTAGTACATGTCTAATTGCTGCAAAACAGGAAACATGAATGCATGCTCGGCAAAAACTATTGTGTTGCGATTGATCGTAATTGATCAATTTTGATTTAATGCTTTCAATATCCTTAATACATTACCTTAATGACTATACGGTATAATGAATCATTGGAGTAATTGAGTGATATTAAATAACAAAATTTAACGGTAGTATTACACCTATAGCAAATACAATCGGACGATATTTTACTACAGGCTATATTTAAATTCGAAGATATTGAGCTATCATCTTGCAAGACAGAATAATTTGAAAGCTAGTATTTTAACGAATAAGATACCGTGAAAATCAACGAGTTTGAGACTGATGTTATGTAATATAGATTCAAGGCATTTGCGATTAATATCCATTTTAAAATTTTGAGTTATAGAATAAAAAGTATTAAAAATTGAATGGCTGCATTGATATCTGATGCAATGAAAGTTCAAAACGAATAGGCAAATTAGAAATCTACAGACTATTACACCTTTCATTATATTTCGTTTAAAATAACTTCGTTGGTAAAAGATACTTTTTTATTATTTTATGTTTGCAATATAATGCAATAAAGCTCTAAAGAGACTGATGCTATAAATAATTGCAAAGCGAATTCAATAAGACTTCAAAATATTTTGCAGTAATGTTGATAAAATTTTGTGCCATATCTGGTTATTCATACTGATCAGGATATTGCAAAAATGTAGAGTTGATCAACATTTTCAACAAATTATGATAAGGTTTTTAGGTCGAAATATTATGTGATATTTATCAAGTTACCTCATTATCTTATTACCCACTCCGCGAGATAACTCGATAACATACTCTGTTTAAGATTGACTCAAATAATTTAAGGATCAGAGTAGTGCAAATTTATAAGCTAACAATAAAATCTTCTAATTGTATGTGATCTAAAGGGAATGGTACAGTACTGACATGTTTACAGTTAGGAGACGAAAATAAAGATGCATTTTTAATTTTATTATAATCTGAAAGAAATCAATTTATTCTTGATCATTATTATTACATCTTTTCTTTTATCATAACTATAATGTTCCTGTTATAGGGTATTGCATTGAAATATAAATTAGAATCTTAATTGAATTATAGAAAGCTAGTGGCATTAAATTAATGCTCTACTATTGTTACCATCCATTTTATCGTACTACTATTCTTTCGACATAGCGTTAACAATCTTTACGTCTGATTAGTACTGTTTCTTTTATACCACAGTAAATATGCTTGCATTAGTTTTACTATTAATCAACCTTTATACTAAATGTTACATGTTGCTAATGCTAAGGATTGCCTTTGATCTAGTGTTGGTAGATTAATAGATGGCATATATAGACTTATAAAAAGTCATCAATTAATCTTTTTCTCGTGTCGATATTGACTCTTATAAAGATTTTTGATACGACGTACTTATTTTTGATCCTTGATACTGAATCCGAAATATTTCATGATAATACTACTATATCTAGGAAGAATTTTTAGTATACCGATCTGTCAATGCTCGATTGTAATTTATGCCATGAATTCCTTCTTTCGTAGACGTTGAAACAAAGAGTCTTTATATTATTGTCCGTTGTAGAGCAGTTACGATCATAAAAGTCTTCCAGCTCACCGCAATACAGTAGTATAACTTTAATTAATTTTACTATAAAAAAATTGAAATATATTAATGCACGTTCTATTTATCAATATTCTTAAGGGCAAAAGTACGTAGAAGGTGACTAATTATATACTGGTCATGAGATAAAGTGGTGTGATCGTATACATTAGTACTTATATTTGTGTCCTTGGTATTACATATTTTTTCGTTTATGTCGTATAGAAGATGATTGAATAGTCCTGAAAATAAAAGACAATTATAAGATTTATAGTTATTTCCGAATCATTAATTATTATTAACTTTTAGTTGATTTTATATTGAACAGCCTATTTGGTGAATATTACGATTATTTCCAACTTCAGTATTCAATTTCGTGAAATAAGCATAATTACTTTCATTGCATCATATATGAACAAAACTCATTCACTCGGCGCCTCACTAAAGGTCCAGGCCAAGCAATAAAGAGTTGCATTAAAACAATTTGAGAGATAAACATAACGCTTATTGCTTCACAGAGAAAGGAAAAAGTATAGCTATTGCCACTTTCAAAGACCCAAATCAAGCAGTAAAGTTTAGAATTGAAAAAATTCGTAAAACAGGTATACTTAGTTATATTGCATCATGTATGGAAAGACTTAAGTAAAAAATCGCATTGAAAACAAGTAATACATACAACTGTTTGGTTTAATTTTAATAAATGTAACATATTATGCTCTTTGCTGGTAATTATTAACAGGCAAATGCGTGAACTATATATCTAATTGCATATGCACTCACAGCTATTATTCATGCTCATTTTTAATTTTAAAGGAATTTGAAGCATGGCATTAAACTTGAATGGTAAATGATTATCATATACATGTATATAATTTTTAGTGCTTACTTTCTAGATTTTATTGGGCAGTTACATAAAGCAAATAAGGTAAATTGTAAATGTTCAATTTAGTATGTGCACTTGTAAGGTTATATTCAAGCCAAATAGTCGCGTGTTGTACAGTTCCATAACGTCAAGTAGATTAAGCGTGTAATGAGCTCTGTCAATAAAATTTTTGGTATCTAATTAGTATTCTGTAGCAATTACTGTTTTCAAATAATAATTTTGCATATTCCCATCAGTCCAAAGTAATAGCCTGTGCTAATAATATCGTGGCTGAAACTTTTATTTCAAAATAATTTAACACAGTGGAATCTGCAAGGATAAATTAATACGCGTCTATTTGAACTAGACATTAGCTGAGATAAAAATAGCGAGTGCAGTTTGAATTAGCCTAGACTTTTTATTTTTACTTAGCTTTACTCTTTAATCTCGCTAACGTTGCAGCTACCCTACGCCATATTTCTTTATCATATACTCTATTTTGAGTGATGCCTTTGTCTCCTATGCTAGTCCACAGCATAGGTTAGCATTAGTTCACTGCCGATAAGTGATACTGTACTCTAAAGCAAGTTGCTTGGCTCTCTTATTTGACTGCGATAGTATGCTAGTCAAGAATATGGGTTAGTATTAGCTCAATAAATGATATTTTACCTTACAGCACGTTTCCTTTTATTACTTTACTTTGGCTAGATGCATTTGTCTCCTATGCTATGCTAGTCAAGAATATGGGCTAGTATTAGCTCAATAAACGATCTATTACTCTACTTTGATCAGATGCATTTGTCTCCTATGCTATGCTGGTCAAGAACATGAGTTAGTATTAGCTCAATAAACGATCTATTACTTTACAGCACGTTTCCTTTTACTATACAATTGGCGCGCTGCAGTCTCTGTGACGATTTTATTCCTCAAGCTTTTAGATTAATGATTGGTTCGGTTTATTACGATCAGAAAAATATCGCAAAAAGTGAAATTCGACATGTAACTTGATTACGTTAATGCGTTGTGGTTGCGTTGGCAAAAAGGGCATGTAGTACGTATTAACACCCTTAAGCTCATGTCCATTTTAATCCAAATTAAAACGTTTGGAAATTATATAGCATTTCAACAGTTTGCAGTATGGACTTTGATCAGATGTATTTGTCTCCCATGCTATGCTAGCCAAGAACTTGGTTAGCATTAGCTCCATAATGAATCCAACAAAAAATAAAATAATGCAATATAAGGCATTGACCAACCATGGCCATTGTCGAATAACGCAAGTATACTCCTAGCGGGACTGCCGGCACTAGTGCACAGTATACCTCATAGCTGTTCTTCGTTGGCCATTAATACTCTGGGATCATTTCTGCTGTACAGCATTTGTAAATAAACAACTTTATTTTTTTTCCTTACATTCATATATACTGTACTGGGTTGATCTAGGATAAAACGCACCTTAAAGGTATAGCTATTAAGAAGGGGGAAAGTAACGTTCAAATGAATCACTAGCTTACAGTTGTAAGTAACATCGGACAACATCGTCAACTAATGCCGTTTTCTACTTATTCCAGTCCAGGCCGGCCATTGATCAATCTCCATACAGTATTTCCCTGGATAAAATAGACAGTAGCTTACTTAAGTTACGCCTAATTTGAAATAAGGAGCTATTGACTACTAGGTGCTTTCCTTTTCTCTTCGTTAGTGACGTAGTCAAGGCAATTGTGCAATTTGCTATCTCATTATACTGCAAACGCAGAAGTCAAATCATTATAATAATAATTAATTAATCAGCTTGAGCCTTTAACCTACAGTATTACAATACTGCAAGACTTAGACGGCAAGTGAATGAGAAGTGTTTTGCTCTGGCTATTGTGGACACTCATCGACGCTTGTAGCAGCCATTCTACCATCGATCGAAATCTTGTTTCTGCTCATCGTCAACAATCTTCATTTTGTTCTAGTCCTAATTGTACTAATACAACCATGTCGCGGAAAATTATCCAATCTCTCTTGTCTCATGAACAAAATGAAGGTGTAGGAGCCCGTGTTCGTCGAAGTATTGGACGGCCCCAGGTAAGTAAAAAGAAAGAGAGAATGCCTTTTGTTTTGGCCATTTTAGCTGAGTCATTTTGCTTACTGATCCAATGATGGACTGGCTTTTAGCTACGAAATTTAGATCCATTTTTAATGCTGGATGAATTTAAAGTGAGTAAACCTGCTGGATTTCCCGATCATCCTCATCGAGGTTTCGAAACGGTAACTTATTGACTGTATACCGGTAGAATCCAATTTACCAGCATTTATTAAGCCGTTAAGAGCGCTTGAGTTAACTAAACTTTTTCATTTTCTTGTTGTCATCTGCCATCACGAACTGCCGGTATTGACTATGGATTGCATAAGGTGACCTATGTACTTAATGGTGTTTTTTCTCATGAAGACTTCTGTGGTCATTCGGGCACTCTTCGTCCAGGAGACTTACAAGTAAGATTTATTAATGCCTTATGAATAGCACTACTCTCCTAATGACTTTTACTTCTCACTTAACTCAACGCTGTTCGTTAAAACATGATAAAGCAGTTGCACAATGTACAATATCAATGACATTGTACATTCATTAGTACTATTATTTACCGAAAGATATTAGTTTTCTTGCTAAGATAAGATAGAAGGCAAATTATTATACATATCACAGTTCTATGATATTCATGATCGTAAGTGAAAATGAATCATTTCACCTTAATGCAACATAGTGGATGACTGCTGGTCGCGGCATCGTTCATGCGGAAATGCCCGCTTCTGATAATGAACCTGGACATGGACTCCAACTGTGGATTAATCTACCTAAGGAATATAAGGTCGGTTGCCATTTTCAATAGTTGTAACAACAATCCATTAAACATCAGTAAGGTAGAATACAGGATAATATTAAATAGTGCCATTTCGCAAAAGAATCGTTTAGTAATCGCAAGTAATGCCAGATTGATGTAGTATCCCAACAAGTACAGTACCTTGCCTGCCATGAAATGTTTTCTAATAGTTATAATCATCATAATTCGATATTTTAATAAAGCTAAGTGTGTACTAGTAAGTATAATTAATCAACTATTCATTAACAAAATGTAATGGAAAACTTATAACGCGAAAGATCTTAGTAGTGACACGTATGTGTATTGCTACATGGAAGCTCTTTCACGTACGATAATTTATTCATACATCATGATTTAACATCGAGTACTCTATGCATAACATAAATGATACTTCATGTCGGTAGGGTAATAAAGAAGGCAGGATTCATTTTCTTTAAATTAAATAGTGTATACGTTTTTCTTCCTTATTGTAAACCTAAAATTTTTTCGATCGAAGCGATCATACGTAAGAAGTTTCTTTATTATACAAGTATTGCTACCAACCCTTAGTGTTGTATCTGGCTATATTGACAATTAATATGATGGTTACTGCAAACTAGTTTGCACGACTAGAGAAAAATGCTAGTTCATTAACCTTACAGACTAATAAAAATACACGTAAATTAACATGTCTGTTGTTTTACCATTTTTCATATAGTATTTCCCTTGAAGTAAATTGATACCTTTTCAAAACAAGAAGCAGTCAATAGTTTACTTTATCTACAATTTATTCTAGTGTAATTTATCTCCACAAGTTCTACACACGTAACATTACAGTGCATATCAAACATGGCCTTCATTTTGAGACTTAAGCGTACTCTATGTAATAATTGTTAATCATAGATGTCCAATCCAACCTATCAAGAATTGAAAAAGAAAGAAATACCAACTGCATCTAAGGACGGAGTACATGTGGCTGTCATTGCAGGAGAAGCACTTGGAAAAAAAGTATGTGATAGTCAAGGCTATATCTCAAATTCTGCAGTGTTCAACCTATCAAATCCCTATCAATTTTTTCAATATTTCTCGTCCGTTCACCCTTGATATAGAACAGTAATGACAAAGTACAGATTCTTGAATGATTTCCCTAATACTATAATGAACTGTTAGGCTAAAGTAAGAACTCGTACACCAACCATGCTTTTCGATTTTCGGCTTGATAAAGGAGCAAAATTTTCTCAGCCTGTGACGGAAGGTTTGCATCTCATTATGTGTCCAATTACATTTACTTACGTCAAGGATAATCTATTTATTAAATGACTTGGCTTTAAATTGGGTTGATTTATTCTGTCGCACTCCATTCGCTTCTAGAGTACATAATATTCTTAATAGGATGTATTTTGCTATCCGTATTACAGGTTGGAACGGATTCGTATATGTCCTTAGTGGAAATGCCTATTTTGGTAATTTAATTTCGATAGCAATAGAATAGTTTACATGAATAGTTTTGATTGTATGGGTTAAGGCTAAAAATTGGATAACGTAATCATTATAGGGCCTGCTAATGCACAGACTAAAGGCGAGGCTCATTATACTCTTGTCCTTGGTGAGGGCAATAGCCTCGAATTCGAAAACAAGGTGTGATAATGCAAGATCGTACATATTGATACTTCATTGCTTGCATCCAATTCTGATACTTGCCTCTACACCCCTCTTTTATTTGCAGGAATCTGAATCTTGTCACTTTGTTTTGATTGCTGGGCGGCCTATAAAGGAGCCTGTTGCACATTATGGTATGAAATGCGTTGATAAGAAATTTTAAATTCTCTATGTAGTTCTTTTTTAGTAGATAAAAAAGTTTATGGTGAGTTGAAGCTGCTTGTTTGTAACATTGTCGTATACATTTGATAATGACAAATTTTAGGACCTTTCGTCATGAATACTGATGAGGAACTTCAGCAAGCAATTTCTGACTTCAGAAGCGCAAAGAATGGATTTGAAAATGCAAAAAATTGGCGCTCAAAAATTGGAAATAGTAGTTAATAGTGTCATAAGCTGGAAAGAAGACGTGTGTTATCTACCATAAAATCGTTTTCTATAACTAGAAGACTGATTTTAGTTTAATTATTATTTGAAAATAACTCTAATTTGACTGTACTTAGTGCTTTCGACTTTGAATACCTAGATCTAAAGGATTTCAAAAATTATCCCTATCTATTAATATATAATTATTAAGACTGAATGAAAAATTCTGTAATCAACTATAACTTGCACGCATGATTGAGATAAGCGTCACTAGATTACACTATTTAGCTCACTGACTTCAGGAACTTGATACTTTGATTATTTCAAGTCAGTCATATTTTATTTAGCGTATTTCAAGCAGCGGGTTTCTTATTAGTTTAGTTAATCAGTTAATATACGAGTATCACAGCATAATTTAAATAGGTGATTGCTACTGGATTATTACGCCAAGTTGCTTTAATAGTTATAAGCATCCTTAAAATGCTACGTTTATCGCTTGTAACAGTGCAAATATCATTTAGCAAATTGTACGATCTATCAATAAAGGATTTGAAACGTCACTTTATTTCTGTATAAATTTTAAAGTTACATATAACTTCTTAGTTGATACATTCATACCGTATTCTTACTTGAAATTTTCTAGAGTACCTATTTATCTATCGTAGTTGCTGTATACATAAGACATTGTTCTTGCTAATCCATAGAACGGAATATTACAATAAACATTTTTAACTAGACTAATATTCTCCCATACCCGAATAACAAAATATTCCAATGATCGTTTCATTCTACTCTTAAAGAAACTATTATATGTACTACGATTATATCATCTGTTGAACTTTACAATTACAGTCGCATTGTTTCTTCAAAAAAATATAGCATAGGAATGCTGACGTATATTGAAAAGTACTGATTACATACATAAGTAATATAATTCAAACTTTTATGGTACTTATCGATCTTTTATATACCTCTAACCTGTGTAATCTTAAAACATATACAGTAATAGTATCATATCTATATGCGCGCATACAGATAACAAAAAATAAATAGCTATTTACGGACTTGACGTTTAAAGCAAGATTTGAAAAATTCGTAACCGTTTGCTTTTTTCTCCTGTAACAGAATAAAATAGTATTAATCATGGTTCATATAAATAAGGATGGACAATGTATATTTTAACAAATGGCTATACTGGTTCTTAAGTTAGTTAAAGTTCACATTACCACGTAGCGTCTTTCACGTCTACTTCTTAAGACATCGACAAAATCTTCGTAATGTAGAGTGCCATCATCTGAACATATAAGTTCAAAGTTTAAAACGATGAAAATAACAACAGCTAAATTAATCCGTTCAAGATAATCTTAAAGATTCGTTATGGTGTGGTTACTCACCATTTAGGTCGAATAAGTAGAAGATGACATTTACAATTGTAGGATCCAATGTTAAGCGAGTTGATGCTCTCAGAGCTCTATTAAATTCATCTAGATGGTAATTACACAAAGTAAGGTGAGCGAATAATCATTTCAGGAAAGTAGTTTAATGGAATGAACATACCTTTAGTGATGCATTGATTTGTGATAGCAAACATACGCATCGCTACTGAGAAATCATCCAAACTTCTAATAAATGTACTAAATTTTTCAAACATCGGGAATGTGATGTACTATAAAAAGATTTGTTTTATGGTTATTTGCATTGCATCATTATTTTTTAATTTCTCTATCGAAAATGTTATATTTCCTCACGTTAGTATTATTGACTTTTCCTTCTATTCGTTCGAGAAACTCCTTCCGCTCGATTTGGCTTACGTGATTGAGTAAAATTCGAGCAAAATCAGTTTCTGAGATTGTAGACATCCCTTTCGAGTATACTTGAAAGTAGAAATTGTTAAAGACAGCATTCGACAATTTGTGTTCAAATATTACAGTACGATATAATTAAAAATCGACAATGAATACTGGTCATTAGCTATTTGAAGGATATTTCTAATTCTAAAACTTCTTTCTGTAAGTCTTCAAAGAATCTATCATTCATGAAGAAATTATCATGATAAGAAAGAGATTCAACGTCTTTACATATTATATTACGATGAACGTATAGCTGTTAGAGTGTTTCCACCTGAAGAAATCTTCTTTATTTACTTCGCGATTAGTTTTAAACCCAAATAAGTGCGCTACTAAAGTGGATTTAAATCCATCGGTCTTTCCGTCAGCTTCCTAATATAAAAGTTGAACGTTGACATTAGATGTGCAGTTTAATCATTCTTACTGTATATGTTTGAGCTACGATGAAAAGAAAAATCATGAAATTTAGATGATATCTGTATTAAGTAGCAAGATCTGTTACCTTTGATTTACTTTCCTTCGGTGAAATCATTTCTTGTAACTGCAATGGTAGAAGATTTGAGATGTTGTGATGTTGAAATGCAGCAGATATAATTAATTTGGTTTAGTATGTTGGATTACAGATAGTAAATTATTAGCATATAAGTATCATACTCTTTGAATTACGTGTTAGCGCTTACGTTTAGAAATTCTTTAAAATCAATATTTCCACTACAATCGGTGTCTATCATTCTAAAAGCAATATCGATGCCAGAACGAGGTTCTATAAATTCAAATAATTGAGGATTCCATTAATCAGATATTTGAAATATTTATATTGAAAGTTACTGATGTCGGAAGAATAGGTCATACTTACTTGTTAAAGCATTTACGAGAAAAAGAAACTCCGAATAGGTAATTATCCCTAAATGAAGTATATAACTATTTAATGAATAGGGCAAAGACGTTGTGAAAACATCGATAAATCCATTTCAGTAGTGCTTTAATAAACTTAAACCGCAACCGAGTAGAGGTAAAGCTTATCGTGATGCATAGCATTCCAGTTATTATTATTACTGGATGAGAGACTAATTTATAGTTAAAAATTCGTTACTCTAACTTATAATTAGTATTAATCACGCTAATATAGTCTATAATGTTTGTTAGAAAGGGACATTTTCAATTACGACTGCATCAGATGCTATATAACATATATCTCTTACCCTCATGGCCGATTGAACGAAATAGCTTGGCAGAACCTCGTGATGCTGGCGGTGTCTTTTTGAGCATTTCTTCTACTTCCTACGTATACAGTATTAGAATCCATTTAGCAAAGAATGATATCTTAATCACATCGATTGTATAATTAGGTTATATAAAATGGAGAATCATAATCAACATCTTATAAACTACAGGCAAAGTAGTATTTGATCACGAATATAAGACTATTATTAATATTATACGTAGAACAACTAACCCTTTGTGATAGTGCCATTCGACATTTACGCGCTAGAGGTAGGAAAAGGAATCAAGAAGTGAATTGATTTACCATGTTCATGTATATATAAAACATATATGGCACGGTCAATGTAAGGATTCGGGCATTCTATAGAATGCCCGACACTCCGGGCAATGTACGAGAAAACTTCTACAGTACACTTCTTTGTAATAAAAATAAGACAGTACATTACAACATTAACATTGCTATCGTATGATGTTAAAATTGATAGCGTCATTATCAGCATTTCAATCTGATCTACGCTAGATAAAAATTCTGTTTCTTGAATGCTTTATTTACCAGTAACGTGAGACCCTAAAAGACATTGTAAAAAATCGTGGGGCGTCATCACCGGTTCTCCCATATATTCACGTGAAGCATAGCTATTAAATCGGCGTTGGCTCTTTTTTAACTTGACAACTTTGGGTACAGTTTCTTCTTCTTGATTTTCTTCCTCGGCAGCATAAGTGATGGGTAAAAGCGATGATAGCCAACGTTGACGGTGATGATAGAGCCATATTACACCGCCTAATCCAGCGGCTAAAACCGTGGCAACGGAGGCTAATGATGATTTACTTCTTCCACCTTGATTACTGTTGGAATTTTCGGATCGATTGAACCAGGTCGATTGTGTAGATAATGTTCGTGATTGTGATATAAGAGATGAGCTGGAAAGGCGTAAATTTTTAACTTGTAGAGGGGAGAGAAATCTACTCCCAAATCGACAAGCAGACATTTTTCTTTCGCCCTCCTACAAGAGACTTGGGCAGCAACTGCTTTACTACGTATTCGGTAGTAATCTTTATATGTCGCAGTAGAATGGTTTGAAGCCGTCTTGACGTATAGAAAAATAGATGAAAAAAGCTTCCTCTCGTACTCACTCTTACCGTGCAAATATGTGATCACCTTCTCATCTATCTGTCTCAATGTGCTATTATTAACTAGTGAAGAAGAGTAGACAATTGGGTGACACTTTATTTGCATAATGATTTTGGGCAGTTATGCCTTCTGTCCGCCCGTCTTAGTCCGGGCCGGTCTTTCAATGACAAAATGGCAGAATGATCGAACGATTTCTCCTTATAATATCTTCATAAACTCAATGGCATAAAGGATACACTGTATAGCATTACTGCAACTAATTCCTTCTGCTTCTGTAGACTACTGCAACTAGCCGATTCTTGGCTAAAGGACTTTTGTATAATATCTTCATGAACTTAAGGGCATAAAGGGTGCACTGTACTGTATAGCATTAGCTAATTCCCCTCTGCTCCTGTATACTAAAAACGCAACGATGCTGCCACTTAGCTGCAGCCCATGCAGCCACAATTCGTTGGGGATTCTGTTTTTTTTAAGCAATGAGTTATATTCCGCCAGTAAGATTTGTAATTGACTTTATTATTAAAATTACTGGGTATTTATAGATATTCCAGCATACACCTTTTGCCTTTTGCGTCGTAGCATTTAACATATACTACATCTAATTACTAACTATTATAGCTATCGTTTACTTTACAACATAGGCATATATATATATAAATTATCAGCCCGCCTTTTACAATATAATCATGTACGGTATTACAAGACTACATATAAATCATCATATTACAAGTACTTATATGCGTGATATTCTAATCATATACTTAACGCTCTATCTAATAGCTAATGTAACGTACTGTATATCGTAATATCTAACACTATTTACAACAGATTCTTATTCCGAACACTTCTATTAAGTAAAGAGTAAAAATCAAAAGCAATAATGTGATGGTAGATTAGAGATTGCAAAACGTAAAAATTGTTGGCTTGTACTCGAGCTAATTCATGCGTGGACTATGCCTAAATAAGTACAATACTGTATAGTTAAGTGTATATTGTTATCATTTTCTACAGAGACTAACTACTAGATAGCAAATAACTGGCTAGGTAGTGATTCGATAGCCAGATCCCATATTTTAATCTAGCTGTCCATCGACCACTTTAGAGACATATCCATTTATGCAGGATATCTATAACACAGGCTGTACCCTATTCTTCGTAAACTGCAGAACACAGTAGTTTTGTGAGAATGAGTCAATCAAATCAACTTTAGATGCTTCTATGGCGTTAAATGGAAAACCAATTATCAATCATAGATAAACATGATCAAACTTGGCAATGATGCTGGTTGATATGAGATTGCGTCTGAAAAATTGATATACTTCAATGTTTACATCCTGGATAGATCTAATAATTGCAGTATTGTTGATAATCATCGAGAAATCTATCACCATATCTAATACAACCTTTATTATTGATTAAATACATATAATAGGTTGGATAAAGGAAGATGGAGTAGCGCAGCTATAAGAGGGTAGATACAATAACAACGAGTCGATGTAGAAGTAATTTTGAGTTTAGAGAAACCTTTTATTCAAACACAGATGACGTAATGCGCATAGAAATACCAAGATAGAAACAAGATAGCTTGTAGAAGAGGGGAAATCCGGGAATCCGTATGTTACGATTATAACTAATACACGTATGAGTATATCCACCATATGCCTAGCGTAATTATTGATATAGAACAGTATACGGTATAATATAACTTATTGCGGCGTTATAAGTCGAAGCTGAATTGGCTGTCAGCGCACAGACAAAATGTATTAACTTTATAGAAACAGTTACAACTACTGTAGTTAGTTATAGTGTCTACCATGGCGTATAGCATGTACGAAAGTCTTCATTTCTACTATACTGTATATCTATAGTGTAAATTCAAGCCCTGCTCATCAGTACTCAGTAATTAGGATTGCAATATTACTGCATAGGGATATTAAATGCAATAATGGATTTCTAATTCGATTACGAGTACTAACTGACAACGTAAAACCGCCCTAGAATGGTGATGCAATCTACGAGTACTGCACTGTGCATTATATAATCGTAACGTCTAGAATGCAGAAAACTGAATGTCAATCCGAAGTAATTGGACAACTGTTATCATAATTTTAATTTTAAATTAATATGAAAAGAGGTTAGTTCCTATCAATTAAAAAATAGTATTGATGTCTATTACAGAAAGCTACAGCATTATACGTTAATGCTATTCATATCTAATCACGGGTGAGCACTAGATGGTATTTATATCAAGCAATGCATTTATACATCACAGCTATTGCTTATACATGGATTTAATAATTTTGAAAAATTTAAGCATGGTATTACACATTTTTAACGCTAGAACAATGTCTAATGTCAAACTATTTAAACACATAATGAGCTTTGGCATAGGGTTTTTAGCATACGCGGTAATTTTTATGCTACTTCAGTTGATGTTGCTAGATCTTTAATTTCTATCGCCATACTGGGCATTTCCTATCCTCGAAATGCTTAACGTTGTGAGATCTTCAGGAATAATGATTCATTTACATTTAAATGATCCCCTCTACTAATATAAAATTAAACCATGAGGCTTTCTAAATACTTTTAGCTTAGAATTATATGCGCATATATAGTTTTTAGATGGCATTGTTACTATTTTTCTTTCTCGAGATGCTTTAGAGCACTAGTTCGTAACCTCTTACATGTATTATATATCTCTTTTTGTACCCAGAAGGTAGGCATAAACCTAATATAAGTATACTGCAATTCGTGAGGCCAGTATCCTGTAGTTCTATCACATAATCCAATAGTGTTAACAGCTTGCTTGGCATACGTCTCTGGTGAAGGTGCAAACAGGTTAATTTTGTTCACTTTTGAGAGTTTTGTGCATATTAGACCTGGTATAAGACTTTGGATAATGATAGAATCTTTATTATATTCGACGTTAAGGCTGCGAGAAAAAAAGTCAAGGAAAGCTTTACTGGATGAATAAACTGACATTAAGGCCATAGGAACAGAAGCCGCAATGGACGCCACGTTTACAATTGCACCCCTTTTATTCTCGATCATTTTTGGTAGGACAAGACGAGTCATTTCCATTGCTGATATAACATTAATATTCAGTATTTGCTCTAATATTTGATCACTCAGTTCATCGTAATAACTGGGATATTCATAGGCAATACCAACATTATTGACAAGTATACCTACGTCCAAATTTTGAATTTCTATAGTACAAGATGATTAGAAAAATGAAAGTTAATAATTTAAGATTGAAATTGATTTAGGCTTGCATATCATAACACACTGTATGCTGATTGATGCTATGATCTTGAACAGGATAGTAACCTATGTTTATTCTACTTTACAAGTTGGACAATTTAATTAAGCTAAGCAATGTTTCGATTTTTAATTCCATTATTAAAAAACTGCTACATTTACAACAGTGATAAATAAGGTAAGTCGATGGACACGCAGCCACTACTGGGTAGGAAGGGGGAGATAGCAAACAATATACGGAATAAACATTATTGTGGTAAGGTAGATTACCTGAAGATATGGTTTGGTAAATTTTCTTTGGCTGATTGAAATCAATAGCCAATGTCTTTATCTCATGATGACAGTGGCTTTCAAGCTCTTCTTTGACTGCCTTTAATTTATCTTTATTCCTACTAATCAATAAAACATTCATGCCTCGATGGGCTAATTCCCTTGCATAAGCTTTACCGATACCATCTGTTGAACCAGTTACGATGGCCCATTGCCCAAGTTTTGTTAATCGAAGACGGAATCCAAGTTTAGGTAGAACAAATAGACGAAGAAAATGCCATAGTGTTAGGCTAATTCGAATGATTATATATGTCGCTCCCAAGTGTCCTAATATTTCGTACAAATTCATAATGTCTGCGTATCAATCGCTATCATAAAATGAATCGTTATTAATTTAAAAGTCAACAATTTTGTAGCACCTAGGACAGGTTAACTGCTGTAGATGTAGATGCGTAGATACGTGATATACTCTATTGATAATTGCTGTACGTCTGCGCGAAGACTATATATGATTACGTAAAATCGTTTATACAATTAGAGCGTATGAATGATTTATTGTTACTAAGCAGAATAGAATTTGATTACGTAATCTCGTAAAGTATTGTACTGTACAGTAGAGTATGAAATAATCTAAACTTAAGAAAGCTACTAGGTTATGGATGGAAACTTGGAAATTTGTTATTACGGGGGCGGAATACTTTTCCATTAGGTCAGCTAGACTTTGTAGTGTTGCAATATTCCTGTACACTAATGGGCATTACACGACAGTTGATCCAGAGCATCTGCTCCTGCCCTTGATAACTGGCACGATCCCTAACAACTACGTAAGAGTACGAGTATACTGCAGTAGTTAATAACTCAAGAGGTCAAGGAGATGTGAGCTTACAGTTAATTTAATTAACTCTTTTATAACAGTAGACGTCTTGCTATCCTTGCCTAGCTTACAGGCCTGGTATACGATTAGACCAACTAGGCTGCTACTGGCTATGTAAACAGTAAACGAGCCGTAGTTTAACAGCGTCCTTCTAGTATACCAGCTATAAATGGAGTACTTACAGTAAAAGTAATATTTATTTATCAATTATTTGCTGAATAGTTATAACATAAAATAACAACAACTCTTGAATATTTTACCAACAGTAAAACAGATACTACCAGTAATAAGCTACCGTAGATATAGATTAAATCCTATAATTGTAGAACAGAATTAGTGACCATGTTTTTCGTTTAAAAATAAGATGTACATCTTTACGACTAGCTGTAATTGAAAATTCGTAACCGATTTCCGCGTTATTGAATTTCTCGAAAAATTATTATACATCGAAGATGTAGAGATATAGATAACAAAATCAGCTATCGTAATTATCCGTGATTGAGTGGATTGATTGATCATCAGTTCTATTTCATTTAAAGAGCAAGGCATATTATAGGTTGGTCATTAGCTATAAAGACAATAATGAAATGGTCTAATTTAATTGAATATAGGAAGGATAGTTACTTCACAAATACCTATCGTATGCCATGCAATATTATAGGCTAAATATACTATTATGCATAATAATCCAACGGTAAATCAACAACATCTCAGCTAAGAATATTTAATGTTGACGTTCTATGAGAGCAAAATGATAACTTTTGCATCAATTTTTTAGAGCTACACTTGTATGCAAGAAAAAGCTTTTACTGTTTAAATTGAATTTGGTCAATTATTTCTGCTTGGTAAGGTATTTTAAAGCTTTTACCCGCAAGCCAGATAATTGACTAAAGTACAATGAAATCTTTGCGGATCTCGGTAATAAATTGGTAATACATGCTTGTAATTCATGAGGCCAATATCCATGAGTTCTATTTGCAATTCCTACAGTATTGAGTGCGCTAGTGGCGAAAGTATCAGCAGAAGGAGCAAAAAGAGACGACCGTCTTATTTTGCTCATATTAGAGCAAACAAAGGCAGGCAGTACAGATTGGATAATGATCCCTTTACTTTGATACTCCTTTTGAAATGCGAGGGTTACCGAGTCGACATAAGATTTACTTGCAGCATAGACAGCCAATAAAGGAGTCGGCGTTTCGGCAGATATCGATGCAATATTAATAATTGCACCCTTCTTTTTGGCCACCATTTTAGGTAGAACGACTCGCGTCATTTCATTGATGGATACTATATTAACATTGACAATATTTTGAGTTACTTGCTTGTCTATGTCCAAGTAATATTCAGGATAGGCGCAACTGACACCAACATTATTAACGAGAACTCCAATATCCAAGTTAGCAATCTCTGCAAAGGGCAACATGCCAAGAAGTAAGCAAAGGCTTAGAATAGACGCATAATTTGAGATCGATATAATCTATTGGAGCTACAAATCTCTAACTAACATATCGTATTATAAAAATGGATCGTTATGCAAATTAGCCATTTTTGAGTTACATCCTAGTCTCATAATACTACTTGTACACCTCATTGCATTGGTTAGAGGTATTGGGTTACCTGATTCAATTTGTGAATAGATATCGGATAGCTTTGAAAAATCGATAGCAAGGATTTTAACATCAATCTTGTCATTGATTGCTTTAATTTCTTTCTCAACATCTTGCAATTTACTGTAATTTCTACTGATTAGGTAGACGTTTAAGCCACGACGCGCTAACGCTTTGGCATAACCTTTACCAATACCATCTGTTGAGCCCGTTACAATGGCCCATTGACCTAATTTGCTTAAATTATATCGAAAGCCAGCTTTGGGAAGAACAAAGAGACGTAAAAAGCGTACAACTGCATAAAGAGCCTCTAATCCTAGAATGGCAGCAGCCACATAGCCCAAAATTAGGATCAAACCCATCTACAAAAGTAAATATATATATATTTATACAAAATAACCAAGTAACCTCGTTCAAAAGTCTGCTAACAACGTTCATTTCTACTTGATTACTATCTGATAAGATCACTTCTTCAAGCCATTAAGCTTATGATTATCTTGATAAGAACAGTAGAATAATCATCGATCTCCTCTTAGCTTGTTGATCTTTTCTAGGCTACTTACTGTTGATAAATACCTTGTAATTAACCAATCTGTTTGGTGAGGATGCAGGCGATCGTCTTCTCCAGGCAAGCAATGGAAGCACCAGCTAGTGAAAAGCGCACATGCACAGTACGCGTAATAAAGTATAGTACAGTACTGTAGAGTACAATACGGTACACAGGCTTACGGTGGCCCAGAAGGCTCAGACGTACAGTCATTTTACGCTTAGGTCCCTGTCAAACAAGGAGGGGAATACGCAAGATGTCATACAGAGCACAGTAAAAAGCTACGCATGCGTACAGTACTTTTACGCTCTGGTCACTGTCAAACAAGGAAGGAAATACGCACGATGTCATACGGAGCACAGTAACAAGCTACACATGCATACAGTACAGTACTTTAACGCTCAGGTCCCTGTCAAACAATGAGTCCTGAGCGTAAAGTACTGTACTGTACTGTACTGTAGAGCACGGCTCTGGTTCTCAGCCAATACTGTACTGTACAGCAATAAGTATCGTAACATTACGCATGCGTAGAGGCAGCATGTTATTTATTGTACAGTGTACAGTACTGTAGAGCACCGCTTTGGTTCTCAGCCAATACAGTACAGTACTGTAACTGTACACTAGTGTACAGTACAGTACAGTACAGCAATAATTCTGATAAAATCACGCATGCGTAGAGTCAGCATCTTCTACATTGTACAGTACGGCTTTGGTTCTCAGCCAATACAGTACTGTACAGCAATAAGTATCACAACATCACGCATGCGTAGAGCCAGCATCTTGTACTGTACATTGTACTGTACTGTACAGTACTATACAGTACAGCCAATACAGTACTGTACACTAGTACTGTACAGCAATAAGTATGGTAACATCACGCATGTGTATAACCAGGAGAAGCATTATTGCAACGCGCATGTGCACAAACGGCAGGATCGTGTCATACATACTGTGCATGCGCTTTGCCAACCTCACAATTTAAAAAAAGAGAGGCAGATTTAAAATCTGGAGGCCAAAATGACTATCTCCATTTTCTGTACTTCCGTCGCTTGGAAAAATAGTTTGCCTTGTCTATCTTGGTAGACTGTGTGTTGAGTATTATTTTTTCACCTTGTTGTAGACGTAGTATTCAAATCCACTCGATATCATCATTTTGAGTCATAACCAGTGTAGACAGTCTCGCTTTCGAGTTTCGACTATGGTCATCGGTCAAGCCTTGTCGATCGTAAGCAATGGAGCATCCTTGCTTGTCGCTTTCTGGAATTGAAGCATTATAGTAGTAAGTATTATTGACATTGATTAATTGACATAAAGTTTCTTCTCAAGACTGCCAATATTACTTCTATAGTACGTAAATTACCATCAGAGGATTGACCATTCATTAGTTATTTCACTGTGATTGAAATTTTGGTTGTTGACTTCACACTTAGCAAGGGATATCATGGCTGCTCGCGTCTTAGAGTCACGATAGCTTGCAATCATTTTGCCTTGCCTTACCATCATTGAGGGATTATATCAAAAGGATAATGATATCTTGGCGTGATACAATTTTTTAATCGATTTTAGTAATGGAGGAACATATCGACGAGCATAAAAGTAACCCAAGTAGCCTTCCAGCGAGTGCGTTCAATTCAAGCTTTACCACACCACAATCTTCATCACGAAAGCGCTATCTCGGCCGGTATCCATTTGTGAGTAAAAGAAGAAGAATCTTGGCTGAAATTGAAGGAAATGACCAATCACACAACCAGCAATGGTTGAGAAGATCACCACGGTTACAAGATAAAGCTGCCAAACAAAACCAACAAATCAGTAGTAATCTCTTAAATGCTAACCTTCAGCCATGCTACGATGAAAGTAACCAATGCAATGCCAGTACATCTAGGAAAAAGCCAAAATCAAGTCAAAACACGGTAAGTACTGTTCGGCGATCATCATTTGCTATGTAGATAATCGTTCATTTTATCTTTTCTTTTCTTGAAACAATCGCCTTATTTACTAACAGATTGCATGTGTATTGGTGGTATAAATCATCATCCTCTTCAATTGTTTATTGAGAAGTTCATTTTTTTCCCTTCTCGAATCATCTTGATGAGCTAAGCAGTAAACATGATGGCGCTAATAAACTTGCCCAAACATGTTTACTACAGTCATAAGTTATGTATGGAAAATGAATTTAAAAATACAATTCAATTTTTCATTGATAAGAATCATCGCATTCGTGTATGCTATTTCTTGGATTTTATCGTCCATATTGCTAGATGTAAAACTGTATTAGCGGCATAACAAAGTAGTTAATACTGTCACTGTATATATACGCGTACACATAAATTATGAATATAAACAGTTATTATTTTGGATTATAAAGTACTGAATGTATCATCAAATGTGAGGTAAATTAGGTTAAACCTTCTATAAAACGTGCAACCTAGTATCGTTCTAGTCGCCTGGTGACTGATTCTGAATTATCTAGATCATAGAGTATTTATCCTGCTTTCTTTACAGTTAATAATACCACACAAATCCTAGTTGCTTTTAATAATGCGCTTATTCAAGTTACAAATTCTAAAAGATCACCATAAAATTTTAAAGACGTAATGAGATCAACGTTAACAAGAAGTAGGCGTAATTGGGAGTTGATCATTGCTTTCGATATGAACAAGAATTCTATATAATTTAATACATCTGGGCACGTAATCATTTGCAACTCAGTAGTTGATCTTGTCTAGCAATCATGCAAGCATTGCTAATATTAGCTGGAGCTAATAAGAACATTTTTATATTTTCCTTGCTCCTTATACAGTATTTACAGGGACTACTAAAAGAGAGAAAAAATCTCTTTGAGTAATCCCTGGTATGTATCTAAAATGGTATGTAGTAAGTAAGTATACTGTGCGCCTTCAACAGTAATTTTGCTTATTGACAAGTAAGGCCGATTCATAAAATTCATGGTTAACCATAAAACGAAAAATAGTCCTTTATTTTTCGAGTAATACAATGATGTAACGTTAAGTACATCAAGCTATAGGAATGCTATAAATGTTTTTTCCGGTTATAATGAAGTAAAATAGCATCTAATTGTTTACTAATCGCGGTTTTTCAGACTAAATGTAAATCGAAGCTATCATATCAGCTTTCAGACATGCCCGATACTCAGCAAGTATTTTTAACTTCAAGCGGGGAAGATCAATTAGATGAAGAAATCGTTTTGATGGCCGCAAAGGTAGAAGAGAAGTTTGCTAAAGAAAACAATAAACTTTCTTCCCCTATAATGAACACCCAAATGGAAGATAAGGAGCATCAATTACCAATTTCTAGTGGTGTACAGAAAGTATATAATCTACGTAAAATACGTCCTAGACGAAGTCAATCTCGTTCTAGTAAAGTTATAGTATTACCTGCTGAAGACAATAATCGATCAAATACAAGTTTAAATCGGACATCTTCAACTTTCCTTTGCGACTCGCAAGAAAATCACAGTGAGGAACAATACTTAGCTAAGCCACCCTTAGCTAGTACACCTCATCGTATCTATTCTATAGATAAAGATAGTAACAGCAGCTTTGACAGTTTAGAAATGCATAGCGACAAAAGCAAGATGTCTTCACGAAGTTCAGAAGGTAACCTCATTTTATCTCTTGGCGTTAACTGTAAATTGACTTTAATTAACGGGATCATTTAGTTTTGCTACTATTCTAATAACACTAATTAATTTTACAAACTTTAGCTAGGATATCTGAATATAAATTAAAGCTCTCATCATGGGATCTACCTCCGGCAGTATTAGAAAATTATCGATCGGTAGGCATTACCAAAATGTTCGAATGGCAAGTCCAATGTCTTACCTTAGGTAATGTCTTGAACGGTGGTAATCTCGTATACGCTGCTCCTACTAGTGCTGGTAAAACTTTAATCGCTGAACTACTCATGTTAAAACGTGTATTGGAAAGTAAAAGAAAAGCCTTACTCATTTTACCATACGTCAGCGTTGTTCGTGAAAAAACAGCTTACTTACAACGATTATTTGAATCTACTGGTATACGAGTAGGTGGATTTATGGGTAAACAAGCTCCATCGGGTGGCTTCGACAATATTGATATCGCAATTTGTACAATTGAGAAGGCAAACAGTTTAATAAATAGGCTAATGGAAGAGAGACAACTTGAGCAGCTAGGTAAGATAACAATAAATTACTAATTATAAGTAAGAGTAATTATTTCATCATAGCAAATTCAATGAAAATTAATCACATAAAAATTCACTTAATAATGAAGTTATACCTAGCCTTGTGCAATTACTGTCAATGCAGCCATTCATGCTAGATAAACTTTTAAATTTGCTCCTAATTTCTTCATAAAAACAATTTTCGTTTTAGGTATTATCGTAATCGACGAAATGCACGTTATCGGTGATCCTTACAGAGGTTATCTACTTGAATTACTGCTTGTTAAAGTACTATATTGGACAAGTAAAGCAAAGACATCAACTACGGAAAATCATTCAACTAGTATTCAAATTATCGGAATGAGCGCAACGCTTCCAAACTTGCATGTTATGGCTAAATGGATTAATGGTAAAGTATACAACTCTTCCTTTAGACCAGTACCATTAACTCAAATGGTTCAAATAGGAAAAACAATTTATAATCATCAAATGCAACCAATACGTAATATTGATAGTGAAAATGAAATAACACAAATTTGCCTAGAAACTGTTTGTCACGCACATGGAGTATTAATTTTCTGTCCGACAAAAAATCATTGTGAGAAATTAGCTCAAAATCTGGCCTCACAGTTCATTCCACATATTGATTATTTAGACGAGCCTGTAGTACCATCAAGTTATGCTACAGAATCCAATCGATTAAATTTAAATAGAACAAAATTGTTAACTACTCTTGCCCAACTCAAGTCGACTCCTGTTGGATTAGATCCGGTATTGGAATCTACGATAACTAAAGGTATTGCTTTCCATCACGCTGGTCTAACAATAGAAGAAAGAGATATCATAGAGGCAGCATTTAGGAGTGGTATCATATTAGTTATTATTGCTACGTCGACGTTATCATCAGGTGTTAACTTGCCTGCAAGAAGGGTCATTATCCGTACACCAATTTTTTATGGACGTCTAATTGACGTTATCACCTACCGGCAGATGGTAGGCCGAGCTGGGCGTAAAGGTATAGATGATATAGGTGAAAGCATTCTTATATGTAACAACAGGGAGATGGATCGTGTTTCTAAATTAGTAACTGCCACGCCTGATCCTGTAATAAGTTGTTTCTCGAAATGTAAAAATCCTGATGAAGACAATGGAATGATGAAGCGTGCTCTACTTGAAGTTATTAATAGTGGTTTTGCGAAAACATTTACGGATACAGTATTATACATATCATGTACATTACTAGCAGCTAGTACTGAAGCTGATATGAGTTTATCATTAGATAACGCACTCGAATCCACACTACAGTTTTTAGAGGAAAATGAATTCATTAAACGTCAAGTAAGCAAATCAATTATTAAAATATTTTAAAAACAAAACATCCGTAATACTTATGGGATGTACCTCCGTAAGCGTTATTGATGATTTTATCATTAAATTATTATAATTTTTTTTAGGTTGAAGATACTAATAGTACTAATACCGAATGTAAGGCAAGCCTACAATACTACGCAACCAAATTAGGAGAAGCAACTGTTGCATCAGCATTATCACCTGATCAAGCATTAATAGTCTTCGCTGATTTGCAGAAAGCTCGTAAAAGTTTTGTACTAGAAAATGAATTGCATATCATTTATCAGGTAAATGGGATTAAAATCAAGTAATAAATTAAGCTATTTAACATTGCTACCACAACAAACCTATTTTTCAGTTTGTTTATGTTTGAAAATATATATATATATACAGTATATATGCTGCTTTATTCCGCAACATCATTATGAGTTATGCAAGCGGATATTTGAATGTATTCATATGATATTTAATCCTAAAATAATGATTTTAATTAATCAATACATTTCTTATAGGTAACACCCATTAACTTAAATGATCAGTTAAAAGGTATTGATTGGTATAATTATTTACGTATTTGGGAGAAATTACCCGATGATATGAAATATGTTGGAAGAATAATTGGGGTAGCAGAATCATATCTTACCAAGGGTGCCCGTGGTAGGTTGCCCCAAAGGACCATAGCTCAGCGTAATACTCTATCTGTGCATCTTCGCTTCTACACAGCATTAGTGTTAAATGCATTAATTCATGAAGTTCCCTTGATTGATATTTCCAATTATTATGGATTATCTCGTGGTCAGTTGCAATCGCTACAAAATTCAGCTGCTACTTTTTCCGGTATGGTAACTATTTTTTGCAAAAAACTTTGTTGGCACAACCTTCATCTACTTTTAGAGCAATTTCAGAGTCGTCTAGCTTTTGGAATTGAAAGAGAATTATGTGACCTTGTCAGAATATCCTTATTAAATGGCACTCGGGCTAGGTAACTTATTAGCCCTAAATTCACATTTATTCTTGGAAATTGTCTGTCTGTTTGCAGAAGTAACCGTAATTATTCAAAATTCTAAACAGATTTCTATTTCGTCTATTGGAAAATGTGATTAATACTAATATATGTACGTGTATATCAGTATTTCTTATAGCATTATATGCATATAACACAATTTTATTCTATTAGTAAATAGCAGACTTATTTTTATTAAGTATTAACCGTCTAGTTTACTGTATTCAACTGTACTATGTTAATGTTATATTTGCAGTTATAAGAATATAATTAAAAATAAGTCTGTTTTATTTGCAGAGCTTTATACAATGCTGGATTGCAAACTGTTGTGGCAATTTCTAAATCTTCATCGACAATTATAGAACAAATTTTATATAAGGCAACACCATTTCGTAGTAAGTTTAGCGATGGCTATTATGAAATTGAGACAAATATCGACACTGCTTGCCCTTGGATTGGCTGCCGAAGAGGTATGACTTATAAGCAAGCTGCTAGCTACATCATTGAAGAAGCCAAGCAAATGGTTGCCGCCGATACTAATATAGAGCATCTAGTCAATAATAATCCAAGAACCGATCGTATTAGTAGCATAGATCATCGATCTACTGGGGTACATTCCGTATCTTCATTTGTAGCACCAAATATGAAAAATTACCATCAGGTAAAGATATTGATTTATAATATTAGAATATAGTGATCATGTAATTCGTAGTATTGTGTATGTACGCTGTTCTACTATGATTTATTTATTTCCGTTTTATATTTAACTATGTTTTATTAGCTACGCAACATAGGCCGTAGTGTAAAAAATTGTCAGTTTCCGGCTGAAGGTAAATCAGAAAATGCTCACGAAAGTTCCATAGATAAGAATGTGAAAGACAACGATAAAATAGAAAAAGAGAAGGCACATACAGTAACTTGGAAAACGCCTCCTTCAGTCAACAAGGAACTCGATAAAGCAAATATCAACATGTATGGATGCTCACAGGCATTTGACTATGTATCGCTCACCGATTCGTACCTTTTGCGAGCTGTTAGTAGTACAAATACAGCATCTAACGTTAATCATCATTATGTTCATGATGAAAAGTGTAAAAATGAAATTGGCATCGATGCTACGCTGAGTGATGATGAGTTTATAGCTGAACTAAATACTCAAATTATATTAGCAGCAAACAATTCCAAGAACCTAAATGGTATCGAGAGTAAGAACAAGGATGACTCTTTCGATTTTGAAACCTTAACGTCATTAAATGGAGATCTGAAATCAGATTTAGACAAAAATGCTGAAGATAGTTGCTTTAGTATCATCGACGTTACTGGTAGTAAGGAATTATTCGATGTATTTATAAACGAATGGAGGCATCAAAGAGCTTACACCCTAAGTCTTGCATGCGAGCCAAAATCGCAACTTCATAAAGGTATTGGAAGTAATATTAGATATCGACCATCACAGACGCAATCCGATCTATCCTCTTCTTCCTCTATTATTTTCGATGATCGTTACATTGTTGTTGGTATCGCAATCTGCTGGGGTGGCTTTGATTCGTACTTCGTTAACTTAGGCGACTGCAATACATTACAAGATGATGTTGCAAACAATATCGAAAGTACTCTCATGACACCTAATACTGACCCTTTATTATTACGTCAGCATCGTATAGAATCTGTAATGAATGTATTATCAGATTCATCAGCAATTAAAATAGCTTATAACCTGAAGGAGCAGTATAAGATATTAACAAGGCATCTACAAGTAGAAATAAAAGGCACTAGTTATGATCCTAAAATTGGAATTTGGTTATTAGATCAAGATGCTCACGAAAAAACATTTCATGCAATAATATCAAATTATTTAGCTGATGAAGCTGCACTTTTAGATTGTGTTATAGGTACTTGTACTGATGGTAATGGAATTGGCCTGCATTATAACAGCCAAACTAGTGGTAGACGGCGCGCATGTATCGAATCGGTATTGGTTCATAAGTTGCATTCTGTTGTTGAAGCTATGTTAAAAGAGAGAGAATTATATAAACTTTACTCGGAAATTGAAATGCCAACTATTCGGACATTATGTTGGCTAGAATTAGATGGTATTGGATTTTGTATGGATGAATGTCAGCAGCAGATTGAACGCTTACAATATAGACTTCATTATATTGAGGAAATGGCATATAGAATTGCTGGTAGGTCATTTCAGTTGACATCTCCTACCGATATCGCACATGTTCTTTATACGGAATTAAAGTTAACTATAGGAAATAACAATAGCGACTTTAGCAATTACAGTAATAATAATAATAATAATAATAGAGGAAAGAAGAATCCTATGAAACGAAGCACATGTAAAGACGTACTCCAAAAATTATCTCAAATTCATCCGCTGCCAGCTTTAGTATTAGAATGGCGTAGAATCAACTCAGCCCTTACAAAGACTTTATATCCCCTGAAACGCTACAGTAAATACTGTCATAAGTCTAAAACTTATAGAGTGTATCCTACGTGTCAGATGCATACAGCTACGGGTCGTATTTCAATTAGTGATCCTAACTTACAAAATATACCAAAAGATTTTGATATCGCTGTGATATGTGAAGACAGCTCAACATCCGTTATAGAATCTCTATCAGCGTCTATGCAAATGCGTGAGAAAATGGTTCGTATGAGAAATATTATTGGCTGTACAAACGACACCATATTACTTTCAGCTGATTATTCGCAGCTAGAGTTGAGATTGATTGGTAAGCAACCTTAACTGCTATGATAACAATTATTGCTATATTAATAGTATCTTATAGGATACAATATAAGTATAATGGAATATCATTATCTTTTATCTATTCCATTTCTCTTATTAAATATAACGGTTATCATACTATATAAATAAATAAAATAAAATATATATCTTAACTGTGATAATTTGTTGTAATACATATTAGCTCACTTATCGGAAGATAAGCAATTGAGTCGAGTACTAAATGATGGAGGAGATGTTTTTAAAGCGATTGCGTCCGAGTGGTTGTGCATACCAACAGACCATGTTAGCGATGAGCAACGACAAAGGGCAAAACAAATGTGTTATGGAATTATTTATGGTATGACACCGATGGCATTAGGTAGGTAAAAAATAATAGATCGCTACAGCGTATCTATCTTACATTTGCCTACAGAGAGCTATACTGAAAGAAATTGATTACAATGTTATTGTAAAACTTATAAACGATGAATTTTATGCATGCTGATGTCGTATAATTATTAGAAGAAGTTCTTATTAAATTAAGTTTGTGCCATCCATTGTAGACGTTACAGTAATTTTATTTTCTGCATCAATCTTGTTAAATTCTCATTTCATATGAGATGGATGTTTTATAACAATGAGATTAGATTATATTGTAATGGTACGTACATAAGATTAACGTGTTGAAATTAATTTCTGTCGCAGGGGAACAAATGAAGGTGCCTGAAGAACAGGCTGCTACTTTTATGCATACCTTCAAAAGTCGCTACAATGGTATCGCTAAATTTATAGAAAAAACGTTAGTATCTTGTCGGCGGGAAGGTTACGTATCTACAATTATGAATAGAAAACGCTTATTACCTAACATTCGTTCAACCAATGCTCGCCTAAGAAGCCATGCGGAACGCCAAGCAATTAATACCACGGTTCAAGGGTCAGCAGCTGATTTAGTTAAAATTGCCATGATAAACATTCATAAACGAATCGATGAAATGTGTGCTAACCGAGCGAATCGAGATAATGCTGAATGGAAACCAAAATTTGTATTACAAATGCACGATGAATTATTATTCGAGATTAAGGCGAATGAACTTGAATCAGTTTCTTTGATTGTAAAGCAGGAAATGGAAAATGCATTGAAACTGCGTGTAAAATTAGAAGTTAAAATTAAAACCGGTAAATATTGGGGCGAGCTTGTTAATTACACTTATCGTTGTTAGTCATATAATTTATTTTTTACCCAATTGAAAATGCTATTATATTGAGCTATTTATTGATCACTTTATTGATCGTTTTATTAATCTTTTCGATGTAACAACAACAGATGGCACAAATCCGATAAAGCGAGTGTTTTCAGATTTTGATAGATAATAAACTACTTCTACCAAGGGCAACAACTGTACCTATCTTAACCTTGTAAATTCTACGTTAGAGGTATCTAATTTATTTATACTGAATATATTGTTGTCTTCAGTGCAGTAAGTGTAAATTAATACTGTATAAATTGGCTTGTATGATAAAGCTTTGTAGCACCTGCAAAATGTATTAAAATAATGACTAACTTTGTCGACTGTATATTTCAGAGTATGAACTATTTGACAGGTGTATGAATCGATTGTATAGTTATTTAATATAGACTTTGAATTGAATTTCATATAGGTGTAGTCAATAAAATTATATTTTTCAATTTCTTAGCCTAATATAAACCAGGATTATTAATTACACGATAAATGTCATCATTATAATCGTTACATTATACGTACAGTATATCTTACGTATGTATCATTTTTGCAGTAGTTATACCTTCATGTACTGTATGTGTATTAAATAATAATTTTAGCTGTACAGTATTGTACACTTCGTCTCTACTCGTAGTCTGCTATCTGTGCAAACTCTGAAACTTAGCCCAGCCTATACAGAATGCATATTCATTGCGACGTATGTATATTAAGTGCGTGTTCGTGGCTATGAAGTAGATATAAGATGTCAGTTTTGGAATTATATAGTCATGAAATTTATAGCAGTCATACTGAAAGGAGAAATCTGATTTCACTAAAGACTAAGAGGAACTTCAAAAAGTATTACTGTTTAAGCTTTTCAATACATAAAATTTTAATATGGATAAACTAGACCATACAAATATTATTTATTCCTACGTAATAACTTTAATATTTCCAGTGTTGCGAAGTGAAATTGAGATGCTTCCAAAGTGAACAACATTAAAATTATTATATTCATGTCAAAACCGACATATATCTATATATTCAACAATATTTTGCGTACGGTTGATCTGAGCTGACTATTGATTTAATAATAGTCGAGCACTATACAAGCATTGTACGCATTCTGATTTAAAAATCAGAGTGATCGGACAGTAGAGTAAGATCACCATTAAGATGAATACAAACAATTCATAAGCACAATACAGCAGAAGCCCAGTTACTTAACGAATATGTCCATATTTTAAATATCGGATCTGAAGCATTATATATTATGTATAAAAGAAAGTAAGTAGCCAATACTTAAAAATGATGTTATTTTACTTGGTGCTATAATCTAATATGATGGATTTTATTTTATTCATATTATTTGCAGCAATTTCTAGAGCCTTTTCACGTCCTTCTTTTAGTACCAAATCGATATAGCCATGTTCATTTTGTAATTTGTATGCAGCCTCTCTGATTGGTTTTAAACAAGTGATAATGACATCGGCTAAAGCTTCCTTAAATTGTTCTGTATTTGAACCTTCAAATTGCTTGCATGTTTCTTCAACGGTGCATTGATTAAATGCAGAAAATAGTGTAACAAGATTTGAGACACCAGGTCTAAGATCCGGATCATAACTTATAGCAGAGTTGGAATCAGTTACAGCTCTTTTAATCTTATTTCGTATTTCATCAGGTTGATCCGTTAACTCTATTCTGCTCAAAATAGATTTGTCTGATTTACTCATTTTTTGATCAGGTGATCGCAAATTTTTAACCCTAGGGACATCACCTACATAATTTACGATAAGTATACCAAATCAATTAGAGCTAACATGCTCTTACTAAGATTAAATATTAACATTTTAATATATCGAAGATTGCTACTGACCCATAATAACATTTGGTGACGTTAAATATTGGCAATCGTAACGTTTATTGAAGGTTCTGACTAAAGTTTTGGTTAATTCCAAGTGTTGTACTTGATCATCTCCTACAGGTACGTGCGTTGTCCTTCAGTATGGTTCAGATTGAAGAATTACAGCAGTTAGTAAGCAAGAGATATCTGCTAAGTTATAAAGTCTGATTTCTATGCCTAATCCGTACTATTATGACGAGTAAGAAGATATTTATATGACTGTTAATTTGATTGAACAGATAGGGTATACAATGCAATAGTATCTTAATAACATTACTCAAGAAAATAATGCTATACTTGTAAAGTAGAATATCCGCGGCCATTAAAACAGGATAGGTTAGCATACCAACATGTACGTTATTATTTGACAGCCCCTGGCTCTTTGTCTAACAGAAACCACTTATTAATCATCAAATCATGATATTGTCGTCTAGCAAAGTATTTATAGGTTGAGATACTGTATATGCATTAATAATTTCTATTCCAATTTTATCAAGAATGCATACTTACTTTCCATTGTGTCATACGTGTTAGCCATCCGATAGGTGTTAAGCAGGATAACATCCAGCTTAATTCTGCATGCTGAGGGATCTGTAGGAATAGTAAGCCTTGGTCGATTAAGTGATGTCAAGTGATATCTAGCACGGAAAAGTCAATGTATATGAGCTAGACATACCTGAGATTGCTGGAATAAGATACACCTTGTGGGATCTAAACCACACGCTAATAAACTGAGTGTCAATTCCTTTATGGTATAAGATACAGAGTCGGGATTTTGATAAACTAACAGTAAGAATCCATTTGCAAATTAATACAGTTAGTATAGCATTGCGACATGATAGCAAGCTGATGTTGATAATAATTAATATCTATCACTGTAGAACCTCTAAGAATTTCATTTATGATACTAAAATATCATTACTGTAGCTGCGTTCCAGTATCCTATGAGCTATTGATGTATGTTATTATTGTAATATTAAGAGTGAGTATTAGTTCTTATCAACCAACCTGAAGTGAGAGCATGTAAATCGACTATACAGTATATGAGTTGAGCAGGAGTGTCTTGTAATTCAATCCATCTTTTGATCGCTCCTAAATAATTGCCGATATGAGGCTTACTCGTTGGTTGGATACCGGAGAAGATGACATCATCCTTTTTTAATTGAAGTTTATCCAACTACCCGTATGGACGACGTATATTAAAATAATAACAGTAAAAGAGTCAAATGGTTTATAAGTTTGATACCATTGCAAAGCAGCATATTATTATCCACTGAGATCCAGCAACACTTGGAGAATGACATAAATAGACACATCTAGAGTTAGAATATTGCATAACAGTATACTCGCATACGCGTAAGTGTCTATTGAAATGTCATCCCAGAATAGTGCTGCAAAGCGTACTCTGCTTACATGCGGTTGGGAGCTCATTCTAACTGCTTGCAGAAAGGAATTTGCCAACATGATCCGCTTTTCTGACATCCTAACATGTCTTATCACTGTATGTAGTGGTATCGGCATATTCCTACTGTAGTTTGGTCCAATAGGTGATCTTAGGATGGAAATACCGGCTACAGATTGGATCCAAAGGCGGCCAGAGTTGGCTACGACTGGTGTCTGCAGAGCTCGGTGTACGTCGCGTAGCTACTACCTATCCCGGTCGAGTCCTTCCTCCCCATAGTCCGTACTGCTTGCAATTCTTATTCAACTGTACAGTATGGGTGCACTAGAGCAGTAGTAAATGAATTGAGCTCACCAGAGTTGGAATACATGGACCATCCACGTCGCAATAGTCAACAACTGTTGCTATTTGAAACCATACCAATGGCGGGATTGAAAGCGCTAATACTAATTAATTAATTATCCCCTGCAGCTACGTACTATAGACTACAGTACTCTGGCTTTTTCGTATAAGGATGCCTAGATTACTCAATAGTACATGATTAAGCCTGTTGTAGTTTCCTAAAGGTATCACCAATGTTGGAGAAAGACCTCCAGCAGTTCAACTCTTCCGGAAATGACTTTGATCAAATCAAACATTAAATCTACACTGTACTTGCTGTAGTTATTCCTTGGCTAAATGCAATAAGAAATTTGCTGGAGCTGTCGGCCTCCAACCCAACCCCCCCTCATTTCGTACAGAACGGTGTACACAACGTACAGTACATTGTAGGCCTACTTGCCATCAAGGGAACCTCTATCTACCTGCTACCTCCATGGCTGCTTCCGCCACAACAAGGGATTTCTATTAGCAATCGCTGCTCCAACCATAGAGGTGACAGAAAATGGGCCATTTTCTATCTCCTCTATCCCCCCCCCCCCCCCCCCGGCTGCAACCTCCACCTCCACAGCCCTAACCCTAAGTTGGTGGGTTATAATTTGCAGTGTAGGCCTACTAGCCATCAATGGAACCTCTATCTACCTGCTACCTCCAAGGCTGCTATACTAGTTCCTTGCTGCTTCCGCCCCAACAAGGGACTTCTATTAGCAATCGCTGCTCGAATCATAGAGGTACAAAGAAAATCGGCCATTTTCTTTCATCGCTATCCCCAGATGCACCCTCCACCCTCAAGGCCCCAACCCTAAGTTGGTGGGTTATAAGTTACAGTGTAGGCCTACTTGCCATCAAGGGAACCTCTATCTACCTGCTACCTCCATGGCTGCTATACTAGTTCCTAGCTGCTTCCGCCCCATCAAGGGACTTCTATTAGCAATCGCTGCTCTAATCCTACAGGTACAAGAAAATCAGCCATTTTCTTTCACTACTATCCCTCGGCTGCAACTTCCAACCCCCCAAAGCCCCAACACTAAGTTCACAACACTATAAGGTATGCGCAGCCGTACAGCATACTGTACCATCCTCTACAGTACCGTCCAGTTTCCACTGGGTTGTTGATTTCAAATTTCTCCTACTTATACTGTACCAACGGCTTTTTATCGACTGTGACAGTAGTAAGACGCAATCAGCCCTTGTGACTGGGTATCAACCCTGTCAAGATTGCTGCCTGCTCCAAAGTGTCTATGCAATACATTACTGTACCAGGGTGGCAATAGGGACACCGGTGATAGCCCAACTTGATACGGTAGCTCATCACCGTAGTGGATTAAGTATAAGAGACGGTGAAGGGAAGGTAAGCCATCTTCCACCGCCATTCCTCCACTTTTCAATGATTATTGCTTCTTCGCCAGCACTATTGGATTGAAGAAAATCATTTCTTGTTCATCGATACAGTCGATTGATTTCACCGAGAGTCTATGTTGAATCTGTGAGAGTCATGGATACCACTGTACAAGATATTGGTGAAAATATCAAGTTAGCAAGGGAAAATTGCATGCTGGGCAATTACGATACTTCCATGGTTTACTACCAAGGTGTAGCTCAGCAAATCACCAAATATATACCGCAAATTAAAGAGGCTTCTTTAAAGCACCAATGGCAACAGGTTTGAAAGCATGTTATTCTATTAGCTTGGTAGAGAGTGTGAATCGAAAGGATACTTGCAATAGTTCCAACTACTGTAAAAAGGACAATCGTAGTTCTCGCTGTCCGATGGAGAGGATAGCCTAATGGTTGTGGACATTTTTTAGACAATTGTTGTAAGTCATATACTGTATTATGCACTAGTGTATGAGTAGTTAACCTTGTCGATGGATGGGGCACATATAATAATGCAAATTGAAAATGATCATCTTCCATCCATACTGATTGTTATTTCTTCCATGGATTTAGCTAAGGCAATCGATAGCACAGGAATACGAACATGTTAAAGATATAGCCAAGCTGATCGATAGATTTAGGGTTGATCCAGCTAAATTTTCCAATATAAGTAAAGGTCCGTCTGAATCTGCTGTGACTAGCAGCGATCGCGACATCTGGCCTGCTCCGAATCCAGTAGCTCATAGGGAATTCAGGTAAATTCAACAAATGGATGATGGAATAGTGATCGCCTAGCTTACAAATCGACTACTCTGTATTATCAATTAGTCTATTATGAAATTGATGTAAGCCACCTATAGATCGTAACTTATTTTACTCATTATCGCCTAGACATAAGGTTTAGGACACAAGTAGATATACACCCATCATGATGGCTACAATGATAATCAGTTTATTAATTACAGTACCGTACTAGGAATCGATTACGTCTAGTGTCAATTCCCCTTTTCAATCGTGTTAAGTACTTACAGCTGCATGGACAGTAAATGAGGTAGTTCCCTTATATTGAATAGAAAAGTAAAGTATCTTTCATATTACTGTATAGACCTCCAGTGGTCTCCAATAGAAATGTCAATGCTAAACCTAAGAGTAAAGCATCCAGTGAAGAGCCTTCTTGGGCTAAACCTACTGCTGCAGCAGCTTCCAAAGCTAAAAGACCCATACCCCGCAAAGGTTCTTACTCCAATGATAGAAATGCCCACCAAGGTGCCAAAAAACAACCAGCTCCTCGTGCAGCCAATAAAGGGGGACCATCATCACGCCAATCAGACAAGGTAACAACTTAGCCGCGATCATCAAGTGAAGTATCCGTCCTCATAAATTAATCGTCAATTTTTTTCCATTTTGACCTGTCTTGCTTACATACAAGCCGGCCGAAAGTGGTCATGGTCGCCCACCAAAAAAGAGTCCAAGTAGCAATGACAATCATGAAGACACCGAGGAATCCGCCGAAGTGAAGAGGTTCGATCCTACTGGCTATGATAAAGATTTCGTTGAAATGTTGGAACGAGATATTGTGCAAAGGAATCCTAATGTTCATTGGTATGTTATAGCTAGTTACATTGTCATCATGATCATAACTGGTAATTATACTCACTACCCTGCTCAATTAATATTATGATATACGTATCTGTTGATAATCTATTCTGTCAATAGGGACGATATTGCTGGGTTAGCTGAAGCGAAAAGATTATTGGAGGAAGCTGTTGTCTTGCCGATGTGGATGCCTGATTATTTCAAGGGTATTAGGAGACCTTGGAAGGTAGATAATACTCAATAGCTCATCGTTATAACATGACATAGTTTTATTGAGCAGTGGTCTTGTAACACCATCAAGTCAAGTGATTAATCATGTCTTGGATGAAATGTTAATCGACAGTACTATACGGTATCGTAACTTTTCTTTGAATTTGGTTTGTTCTGTTGTACACACGCAGGGTGTACTTATGGTAGGACCTCCTGGAACTGGTAAAACACTATTAGCAAAAGCTGTTGCTACTGAATGTGGCACGACATTTTTTAATGTGACATCTTCTACACTAACATCCAAATATCGCGGCGATTCTGAGAAACTTGTTCGATTATTATTTGAAATGGTAATTTAATCTATTTATGAGTGATCAACAATGTTTTACAGTTTTGATTCAAATGAATAGAATTTCTTGTATAGGGACATGTCAATATTTACTGAATCTCTTTTATGATAACCTGCAACTGTAGGCCAGATTTTACGCTCCTAGTACGATTTTTATTGACGAAATTGATAGTATATGCAGCAAAAGAGGTTCAAGTTCAGAACACGAAGCGAGTCGACGAGTAAAATCGGAAATATTGGTCCAAATGGATGGTTAGTCAATTCAGTTATGATCATTTTTGTAAAACTGGTCACGTACCTTAGCAAGCATTCTTTCGTGAAAATTTTACTTATTGAAAAACAGCATCTGTTATTCCAATGGTGTAGTAATGCATTATGCCATTTTAGGCAATAAAAATTTTATATTGTTGTCATAGGTGTTGATAATAGCACCAACGAGGATGGCTCTAAAATAGTTATGGTTCTCGCTGCGACTAATTTCCCATGGGACATCGATGAAGCCTTAAGAAGGCGTTTGGAAAAGCGCGTATATATACCATTACCATCAGGTAACAACACAACTTGCTGAAACTGTAGCAAACTTTAAGATTCTGAAACCGTCCTGATATCGTTCTTATTTTAGCTGAGGGGCGTCATCAGCTGCTGAAAATCAATCTTCGCGAAGTTCAGTTAGCCGAGGATGTCATTCTGGAATCGATAGCTAAAAAGATGGATGGTTATAGCGGTGCAGATATAACGAATGTTTGCAGGTTAGAACAGTGATGAATATGCAACACGTATTGCTAGTGTATAGCCCACCCAGTTGACTATTGAACTTTAAATCGTAAAATAATGTATTGCAGGGATGCGTCTATGATGGCAATGCGTAGGCGAATTCAAGGACTTACACCAGAGCAAATAAAACAGTTATCGAAGGAAGCTATTGATTTACCGACTAAAATGGAAGATTTCGAACTGGCTCTTAGTAAAATATCAAAGTCAGTATCAACTAGTGACCTGGAAAAGTATGAAAAATGGATGTCAGAATTTGGCTCAACATAATTTAACAAGCTTTTTCCCATTTTTAATACGCCGGGACCGTTTATACCTGCTACTGATACTTTCACAATTGGATCGAATATACGTGTTATTGTAACGGAGTATTTTACGAAAGAATGCTCTGATTTCGAAACTATAACAATATATGTGCTCAACGTTAGTTATACAACTATTTGTGTTGATCAAATTGAACGAGTGCGTAGCACATTGTCAGCACAGCTGCATTGACGCTACAACGAAATTTAAATTTAATGAATCTTGTTAGGTGTCGAGTAACTACAATACTGATCTATTTTGTATGTTACAAGATTTAAAGCACGGTAACGCTTACATTAACACGTACATATTCCATCATTATCAGCCATGCATATGCGTATATATATATATATATATATATAAAAATGTTCTATATTACCGTATTAGAAATTCATATTGTAGATTTCTAGGAAATTTTTTATTTTATTGTTTACTGTATACACAATTAACCAGCTGTTGAAAAGTATTTCGAATTATAAATATTTTTTTTGTTTTCATACACTGTAAAGCCATTCAGGACTTACCTGCTCTAATGTAATTATTCGATAGTGATATAAAGGTACGATCGTAACAAATTCTAATATGCAACTTCGGGTCGGAATAAAGTGTGACAGTTGATTTCATCTCTAAAGGTGATCATCATTAACTATAGTATTACATCTTACATAGGCGAGGTAGTTTATGGTATAAAAGATGATGTACAGTGTTTCAAATGTTAAATATTATGGTAAGGAGATTAACACTGGTTTGCAAATAGTGTGATAACGTTGATATTATAGTACCTTTCATGTAACTAAAGTCAAACATGTCCCTAAAATGTATATTAAATATCTATGTCGTGGAAATAGATGTAAACACCCGATCAAACTTTGCTCTGATACATTTGTAAGTCATAAGTATCGATGGATGCGCGTTAATGACATATTTCTTACGTTAAGATATTTAACATGTTACATGTGTACTTCCTATCTACCTCTTTTCCACTTATAATGCCTATATGATATTTACGTAGGATACGACATTTCACGTAGATAAATAATAAAGTTAGCAAAAGACTACTCGACTTTTTGGGTGTTTTTAAAAAGCAACATCAATAACTTGACTAACAATTAGACTTGAAATAATTTAATATAGCTTCGCCTTCACTCACCCTGAGGTGAGCAGTTAATTAAAAAGATCCTTAGTGTTGAAGCATAATTCTAGAAGGTTTAATAATTTTAAACCAATTTAATATATTATTGATCAGGGTAAATTTAAAATGTTATCATGAAAAAAGGAGCTATAGCAAAAATTAGCATTGATTGATTTTTATACAGTAATTATCTAACAAGCCAATGCTGTGGCAACTATTTTAATTACTTTCTGGAGAATAACATTCATTTATCAGTAGAGCTATCAGAATAATGCACTAGTTATAAAAGTCTTAGTGCTAGTGTATTCATAAATCTGATTGAATAAAGAAGGTAGAGTAATTATAATAAGTTAATTGTAAGAGTAAATAGACAAAAGATGATGCTGTGCAATTATTTCCTTTAATTTAGCGCCGCCATTCTTTCATAGAACAACTGTTTTACCAGGTAAACAGCAACATTAGACCGATTAACTGGTGTATTCTAGTCATTGAATAACAATACTATTTAAAAATGCTCAACAGTGGCTAATATGACGAGCTAATGTAATGAAATTTTCCTCCGATTAAATATATATTTAAATCCTACTCATTATTGATGAAATAGAAGTAGACATGACAGACTGACTAAGGTAGTTATTATTCGTTCTGTACCTTTAAGTACCAACAGCGTAACTTTTGATACTGAGAATAAGGAAGAATTCATCTTGATATACAAATTATTAGTTAGCATGGAGATACATTCGTAATTTAATAGATTTTCATTGTAACAGAGCATTTACTGCATTTGATTGATTGAGTAGATTCATTTTACTAATACGATTACTTAAATCAATCAATATCGAATAAGATTTCTACAACTTGCCTGCGATGGTATAGACATGCCAATAGATTGCACTCCGCTCATTATAGTAGTTTTGTATTACAATGCGAACAGAACTTAATATAGTTCAATTATTTAATGGAGTATTCATTGCACTATGCATACAGCTAAAGAAGCATTGCTAGGATTCTGTATAGGTAGAAACTTAAAAGAGAAGGTGGTGGAGAAGCTGGTAATTAAAATTGCACGAAGAAATTTTCACACGAGAGGATGTAAACTACTAATCAAAAAAGTTATTAGACATAGCAATAAAAAATTGATCACAGAGTGTAAATGGATTAAATATTCTACTAACTTAAACCATATAAAGAGAACATCGAATTAATAGCATTAGCAATCTTTTGCTGTGACTTAACCTAGCATATTTAGATCTATCACCATCAATAAATATCAGTATGTACTCTCAAGGCCTCAGGTGTAAATACTTAGGTGTATAGGTTCTCAATACTTTTAATGCGAGATATACAGGGATCCTACCTAACTTATCGAATTGAATATAGAACTACAAATTATTTAGCTTTAAAGACACATTTCTTATTCGGTCAGTAGCTCTGTCCATAATGTTTTACCAAATCCAAGAAAGTTGGTATTGTTAATCAACAGAATAATCATTTTTAGAGAAAAGATTCATGAACATTATTATCAAATCTCACGATCTGATTCTAGACAATTGTTGAAGGAGTAACATTTATATGCAACTTCCTTTAAAATATAAAATTTATGTATATGTGACGCAAATTATGGTCAATCATTTATCGACATACTGTGTGCAATCAACTTTTTTAGTAACGTGCGAGAATTTAAACTTGAGTAAAATCCATATTTAGCTTCGTGTAATATCCTATAATAGCACTCAGAGATCCTCTATCGTAATTATTACATGCTAAATTAAGTTAACGATGGTGTGCAACAGCATTATTGAGCAGTATACAAGCTATAAATTATATTATGTATGAAAATCTGTGTATTGACTTGTCTTGAGAGTCGAGTTTCATCGAAATATAAATTCATCAGCTCGATGAAATATCTGATCATTTCTTGATATAGTATTGTAAGAAGAATCATGGCCGAACAGAGATTATTTGATACATTACAATTGAATAGGAATACAGAAGATTTAAAAGTTGCCATTACAAGAAAAAAGGACTTTTATATTGGAGTTACCGATGTTTTACCTAGTTTATCTTCTGATAAGCTTCGAAATTTAGGTAATCTATCGTTATTTGTATTTCTAACATCCTCCTTGATGAAATCGAGCCAGAAGCTAACATGTAATATGCCTATAGTAGATCATAATTTCTAGTCTTGACTTTGATTACTTGCAGAGATTGATGAGGAAAAAATTCAATCCTGGAAGTTAGACGAGGTGGTCATATCTTAGACGATGAAGATTACGTCTACAATTCGTAAACATAAATTTGCGCTATTATTAAAGCTCATCCATGCTTGTTGTCCATTAACGAAATAAAAATTTAATTCATATCAAGGACGAGAAAGGAGAAATACCACAGCAAAAGAGAACTAGTAAATCTTTATTAGCTCCAGTTATGCCTAAAGGAGCTACTTGGACTGATACACTGAATCGTTCTTGGCATCTTGGTAAACTGTTAGGAACTGGTGGTCATGGGCGAATTTATCACGGTATAACCGGCATAATCAGTAGAAATCTTTCCTGTGTCACCCTGTAGCATCACTATAGAACAGAGCCAGTAATTAATTTACTGAAGTATTGTAACCTAAAGTGATTTTATGTTGTTATTATCATAGTTGATCTATCTTCGGTTAATGTGGATGGAGTTTATCGATCGGATCACGAGAATGATGTCCAGGAATATATTATTAAAATTGTATGGATGTTGTAAAATTATCAAAATTGATCAGAGATAAGGATGATTATTGATTGATATTGGCAGCCTAACGATATATAACTGTGTTACTAGGAACCAGCAACTAATTGTACAATTTTTATGGAGACCTTCTTTTATACTATCTTTGATAGAAATCAAACTAATTGTACGTAATGTTGAGTAAACTTATATTAACGGTACGCTCAAGTCAGTATTGCTTTACGATGTAAAATTATAATAAATTAATGAAATATAATAGGCAAGAGATGATGATACACTTTAATGGAAAGAGTAGTTTATGGACATTTAATAAACCCTTAATTTTACAAGTTATATATTTAGCTACAAATATAATTGGAGAACTTTATTGCATTGTAACTCTATTTCTGTCAACTTATAATTTACTTTATTCACTTGGCTAGCATTTTTTAGCATAATTAAAATCATTCTTGCTATAGAAACAATCGGAATTGACTTTAACTAGATAAATACAGCTAGAAATAGAATGAAAACACTTTTTCGCTGATAATTTGATTTTCATCAGTATACACAATTTAATTCATATTACAATATCCATATTTATGATTTAACAGTTGCCTTGTGGAAGAAAAAGAATGGAATTCACTTTATTGGGGTGCCAAAATGTATAACCTGTGCTATCATTGAATATAAGAAAGAAAAGTACCAGTATTTAATTCTTGAAAAGCTGGGTCAAACCATCGATACGCTCTGGAAATCGAACGGTAAACAATTGAATTCCGAGATTGTTTTCGGTATTGGAATAAATTTGGTATGCAGATATTTATACAACGATTCTTCTACATAATGATGATTTTTAGATGATTAAATTGTTGCATCTTTTTAGTTACATACATTAGAGTACATTCATTCTCTCGGATTTGCTCATGCTGATATCAAGGGATCAAATATTCTGGTGGCTCCTCATCAGCAAGATTTGAGATTGGTATTTGAACGGCAAATAGTGATATATTTGCCCGTAAAAATGAATAATATAAAAGGCAAGATCGATATATTAGCGTAATGTAATATATTAATATGTTTCGGACTGATTTAAGGTATATCTAATCGACTATGGCAATTGCCGTAATTTCCTTATAAATGGCACTCATAAGGAATATCTTCCGCGTAAATGGCTAAGCCATCAAGGTACTGCATTATATACTAGCCGCGATGGTCATAAGGGGGTGGGTAAGCGCAGTAATTTAAAATTATGTAACTAATAGAATGGTCTAAATTATTATGGCAGAAGTTACACGTAAGTTTTCAATGTAAGAGTGAATTAATGATCTACAGGCTTATGCTAGAAATTCAATTTGTTGACAGCTCCATCGCGCCGAGGTGATATTGAAATCCTTGGTTATGTCATGTTGCGATTAATTTGCGGAAAATTGCCGTGGGAATTGGCGAATGTTAATAAAGACTTTATCGCCCAAGCAAAGATGAGGTAAATTGATTTTTATTACTGGTGTTTACAGTAAAAATAATCTGTTGTATTTAATTTTCGACTACAAAATGAGATTATGCTTGAATGTCTAAAATATGGTTTTCCTATATGCCTAGCTATTGTAGTGACATTGATCAACTTATGAAGGATTGCTTCGCCCTATCTAATCATGGTAGTCTTGGTAAGAGAAATTTTTCAAGTATAGTGCTATAGCGGTCATAATTTAGCGAAGAGAGTTAACGGCAGACTTGCGTCATTTCTCTAGTATACCTGATACGTAGATAATGATCAATTTTTGGGCATTTCTAGATGTCTTAAAGACCTATTTGACTTATGCAGTCAGTATGGCCTATCATGAAGCACCGAATTACCGGTATCTTAGAGAAATATTAGAAAGTGGAATTCAAGGCGGATAGACTAGTTAACGAGGCCCTGCTATTGTGTTATTCATTTCATACTATTTCCTCCGACGTATGACTAAGGGAATTTCAATAATTTACTTGATTAAAGCTAACATATGCGTACTATCCAAGGAAGAGAATTGAAAGGATTTTTTGATAAAAAATTATTGAATGTACTGCACCACCATTAGTCTCCTCTCTAGTAATGGATTATTTTGAAAAGAAAATTATCTACTTTGGCTATATCCAAGTGCCTTAACCTCATGTTGTACCTAGCCTCAATCTCCTGTAAAAGTTCAACTCTAAGAAATTTATTCTTTAATTAAATTACGGAGTATTTTAACATTGGAAATATCCTAATTGGTTGATAAAGGAGACTTTTGGACATACTGTTGCATTTACAGCATATTTTCCACTATATATTCTGTCACTCTGTCCGTCTTTGATTTGATTATACAGTATTTGATCTTGAATTTGTCCATTTTTCGGTATATCAATGTGCTCATTACAGCTAATGTTTCGTTTAATGGTGGAAATTTTTTAATATTCCATCGTCATGATTGACTTTTACTTAGGGCTTTTAAAATGGATTTACTAGTTCAGTTTATCAATATGCTTTACAGCTAGCGTTGCGTTTAATAGTGGAATATTTTAATATTACATAGTCATGATTGACTTTTATTACGGCTTTTAAAATGGATTTACTAGTCCTTTGCTTCTATCAATTTATTTCTTGGATCGTAGTGCAATCATTAATTATGATCGAGGTTAAATGGTGGCTGAAAGCCATCTTGAGTAAAAGTCTTGCATGGATTCCATGGTGTTCTTCACGGCATATCGAGTCAGGAGTGCTATCTAAAGGAAAGCTAGTAGAATAGCTCAATGAGTCTCGTCGATTGATATCGAGATTGGAGTGAGCAATACAGCTAGTATGGATAAGACAGAGCTTGGCCGTCTGCATGTTGAAGTCAGAAGTGCTATCATGATGAAAGCCACTCCAGCAGCATGGTTCATCCCCACCATTTGCATCAGTAGTAGAATCAGTACTGCAAGCAGTATAGATTAACTTAAGCCTCTCCATTTGCATAGAGTAAAATTCTATTAAGCCATTTGTAAAATCATGACTGCAAGCAGTATAGATTAACTTGAGCCTCTCCATTTGTATAGAAATTAAAATCAGTACTGCAAGTAGTATAGACTAACTTAAGCCTCTTCATTTGCATAGAGAGTAAAATTTTATTAAGCCTCGTCATTTGCATAGAAAGTAAAATCATGACTGCAAGCAGTATAGACTAATTTAAACCTCTCCATTTGCATAGAAATTAAAATCAGTACTGCAAGTAGTATAGACTAACTTAAGCCTCTCCATTTGCATAGAGAGCAAAATTTTATTAAGCCTCGTCATTTGCATAGAAAGTAAAATCATGACTGCAAGCAGTATAGACTAATTTAAACCTCTCCATTTGCATAGAAAGTAAAATCAGTACTGCAAGTAGTATAGACTAACTTAAGCCTCTCCATTTGCATAGAGAGTAAAATTTTATTAAGCCTCGTCATTTGCATAGAAAGTAAAATCATGACTGCAAGCAGTATAGACTAATTTAAACCTCTCCATTTGCATAGAAAGTAAAATCAGTACTGCAAGCAGTATAGACTAACTTAAGCCTCTCCATTTGCATAGAGAGTAAAATTTTATTAAGCCTCGCCATTTGCATAGAAAGTAAAATCATGACTGCAAGCAGTATAGACTAATTTAAACCTCTCCATTTGCATAGAAATTAAAATCAGTACTGCAAGTAGTATAGACTAACTTAAGCCTCTCCATTTGCATAGAGAGTAAAATTTTATTAAGCCTCGTCATTTGCATAGAAAGTAAAATCATGACTGCAAGCAGTATAGACTAATTTAAACCTCTCCATTTGCATAGAAAGTAAAATCAGTACTGCAAGTAGTATAGACTAACTTAAGCCTCTCCATTTGCATAGAGAGTAAAATTTTATTAAGCCTCGTCATTTGCATAGAAAGTAAAATCATAACTGCAAGCAGTATAGACTAATTTAAACCTCTCCATTTGCATAGAAAGTAAAATCAGTACTGCAAGCAGTATAGACTAACTTAAGCCTCTCCATTTGCATAGAGAGTAAAATTTTATTAAGCCTCGCCATTTGCATAGAAAGTAAAATCATGACTGCAAGCTGTACTGTATAGACTAACTTAAACCTCTCCATTTGCATAGAAAGTAAAATCAGTACTGCAAGCTGTATAGACTAACTTTAAACCTCTCCATTTGCATAGAAAGTAAAATCACTACTGCAAGCAGCCAGGCGAAAGCTATTAGAACAAGAGAGAGAGAGTCTTGTCCATTTGCATGTAGAAAGATCGAATCAGAACTGCAAGCAGTATAGGTTAAAAGCCTCTCCATTAGCATAAAATGAGAATCTTGTCCATTGGTGTGGAATCAGTACTGCAAGCAGTATGGCTGAAACAAGCTTTTTTTGGCGTCTCAGTCAGGAGTGTAATGATGTCAAAAGCTACTGAAACAGTACTGTTCGTCTGTTGTATTTGTATATACAGTAAAATCAATGTAGTATTCGGTATCAATATCAATTCGACACTGTTCTCTGTCGCAGCTCAATGGGTGGATGACGTCACACTCTCCACCATGGTTGTGTTGCGATTCCGGTATCAAGCTGTGTTCACTAACCATCGGTGTCTGAGTCATGGTCTAAGCCGTAAGACATTCTCTCTCCCCTGAAGCACTACCCTAATAAGACAGCGATCGTCTAGACCATCCACGGCTCGACAGGTGACACTACAGACCCGTCGAGCGTCCACTACAGTCTACAGTATGCACGTACGTACTGTGAACTTCGCACTCTACCGTATTGTACGGTATTTGAAGAAGGTTTCTCGTGACTGGAAAGGAATCCATGTTGCTATTTTGTTGGCTTGTTATCCAATTATCCAAGCCCATATTTCCCCATCGACAGCCAATTCAATCATTCCATATCAAAATGTCCGTTGAAAACTAGCCTAGAATCTCTATTTTCTATCAAGGATCTTTCTTACTGTCGTCGATTGCCTTGGATACGTCGAAAAATTGGCCCAACAACCAGTGTTTTGTATCCTTAATTGGTCAATGGATTGATCATTGGATTGATGGAAAATCGTTCAAGCTAGTCAAGCCCATCCATCCTTGAATATTCGTTGACTTGAGCTAAAAATACTACTTATAGTGGGGAATTCAAGCCCCCTTGGGTGATCAAGTTGTTCTAAGCAATTGACATCACTTAATTAATTCCAAGGGCAAATTGGAAGGGATTCAATCCATTACTTTGTGGTCCTACCTACAGCAGATTAGCGTCTGCAACGATTGCAGACAGCAGCATCGTAGCCGTCTTTGGATCGTACAAATCGCTATAAAATGATGAAAGATCCGGGTGGTCGAGCGTTCATTGAGCCCAGTGAAATTACCTTATTAGAAGTAAGAATTTCTCTTTATCACTCCTTTATCCTCTTTCGCCATTTCTTTTTTGTCTCTGTCATCCATTTCCAATCCTAAATATCAGCGCCAAAGATTGAAAAAAAATGTAAATAGTCGATGGTTATTCAGTCAAGACGAGTGTATCAATGGTCTACATGTTGAATAACAATATTGAAATAAATGTCAATCTGATAGCCTTCTGAGCAGATGGGGCATCCATGATTGAAATAATCTATCGGGTTGATATTCAGGGACAAATGGAAACCTTTTTACAGGAGCAAATATAGTAGACCACTCTTCATGCACGGACTGATTGATTACAATGATCAGTTTTCTGTGCAATGGATGAAAGATACAGTACATCGACGATATGATGATTGGTTAGTAAGTTGGCTAGATGCCTTCGATACCAAAATACTCCTGAACAAAGCTGCCGATCGTTAGGCTTATCTTACCATAATTAGCCATCATTGCTTAAATTGTTGAACGATTCTACTTGCCCATTGATCTTGCACCAATTTATGGGTACAAATGGATAGTCAGTATTATTGACCATGATACACCACAGCCCTCATCCTATTTTCTCTGATTTTTTATTCTGAAATAATTAATTGCACAAAGTAGACTAAAAGTAGGAACCTACTGATGCCTTCAATATAGGCGATAAATCGATTCCTATGTTTCTCTATCTCCTCCATTTTTTCTTTTTTCGCTCTATTTCTACCGGATAGGTAGTACACTCACGCAAATCATCAACCCTTCACCGTTTTTTCATTCTGTTCAAGCCTATTTTACGCCCAGTACATAGTTGAGCGACTTTAATAACAAAGTATGCCTACATCGTAGACTTTAAGCGCAGGCGATCGTGATCGACATTGTCGCTCTCCTTCTGTAGTGTACTTGTCTCAACTAAAACTTTCCTAACCGCAACATTCGTCTTCATACAGACAACGATAGACCCATTTAGTTGTGGCAACAAAATGTACGACTGCAGCTAACGCAAAAATTAAGTTGATATGAAATTTGCTTCTGCCGCAGACGTAATCTTGCAAGATATAGTATCTACTACTGATGGGAAATTTAATTTTTCCAATTCCATTTAAAAGAGTGTTTGTGTTTTCTATAGTGTTTAAGAAATAACTATACTCTACTCGTAAACCATACAAATACCTGATAATTTGAAATACTAGTGTTGACAATTAGCTATAACTCGCCACCTATGCCTTTTTTTACTATTAGACCGTCGGTCGAGGCTCCTTTGGTGTTGTCCATAAAGCACGATGGCGAAGCCAAATTATCGCTGTGAAAATTATTGAAATCGATCAAAATCAAGAAGAAATTCAAAAGGAGGTAAGTTAGACACTGAAATGATCTAGTCACGGCAGCAAATTCCTGTTTATATTACACACTGTACATGTTATCATTTTGCCACTATTTCTGGCCTGTCATTATTGATAGGCCAGAAATAACTGATAAGATAGCAAAATTCAATTCCATTCCAGTCGCAAATAATTTGATAAAGAGACGTTTTTCTTCTTGAATCTCTAGGTTGACCAGTTATCCCAATTAGACCATCCTAATATCATACAATTATTTGGCATTTCGATATTGCAATCTGCTGTAAGTACGAGTATATCGCTTCGTGGGCGTTTACTAACCTTTATCTTATTTTATCAAGTCATCACGCTAATTTTACACTATTTTCTTGACGTAACATGATGTTGTAATGGTTGTTGGTTGATAGGCGAATACACCCGATTATGAAGTTAATTGCTAACTTTTGCTAATTCTTCAACTTTATTTTATAGCCTTCGTTGTTGATGGAATTCTCTGATTGTGGCAGTTTGCAAAAAGGTATAAGTACAGAGTAATACTACTGAAAAACTGTACCTTGCCTATATCATGCAAGTAGCAGTAGACGTATAAAAGCAGGTTTGCCACCACAAATCCTTCTAATCCATCTGTTTTTCCTTCTCAATGTTTGTAGTATTGCACAATCAAAAAGATTTACAGTATACTTATGCCCACGCGATTGGTTGGATGCTTCAATCAGCTAAAGCGGTCGATTACTTACATAGTATGACACCAAAACCATTGATGCATCGTGATTTGAAACCTCTCAAGTAAGTTTTATTTATGAATGGTAAAATTAAATTAAATCAATTTACAACTCGTTGATCATGAAGAGCATGCAGGACACACCAACAGATACTAACTGCATTGCGTGCCACCCAATTTCATATATATTTTTAACCTTGAATTCAATCAAGTCCTAAAGTTATAATCGTTGATTTGTTTTCCAGCATGTTGATGTTTAATTGTGCGACCGTCTTGAAAGTTTGCGATTTTGGTACTGTTTGTACCGCTCATACGCAAATGACCGTTAACAAGGGCAGTGCTCCATGGATGGCTCCGGAAGTATTTCAGGGTAAAGTTATTAATACCTTTTTAAATAATCATCATTGAATTAGAAGATCTTGATACCATGTTCATACTGATGATAAATGAATCATTGTAGGGAGAAAGTACAGCGAGAAGTGTGATGTTTTCAGTTTTGCTATAATCATGTGGGAGATTATGACCCGACGAGAACCATATGATCATATGGGTACGGAGAGAAGATCCTTTACCATACTATGGCAAGTCAGCGAAGGTATCTTATTTCTACAGATTGACTATGACAATCAACCAATTCCTTACGCTATCCATTGTCCTATGTTTAAGACAATTAAATAGCCTAATCACGCACATTTTATAACGATCACAATCAGGTAAAAGACCTCCACTCATTAAAGGAATTCCAAAAGTATTAGAGAATCTAATGACAAGGTAAACGCTTAGCATTACCTTTTATATAGAACTATCATTTATTTTACTGTTATAAAACCATCATCATTCGAATTTTATCATTCATAGGAGTTGGGCTCAAGATCCGGATGAACGGCCTTCTTTTAAAGAAATTGTCCAGAAACTTGAATATTTATATCAGGTAAATCATTTTGTCAATATGATGGTGCTGTAATTTTCCTTGTTGCTATGCAAAAATTATTTTATAACGTTATCATCGCTACACGTATACTCAGTTTTGTGTAGGCTCCAACAAACCTTTACAAGGTTTTGCCGAACCAACTAGCCAAACCGAAATTGATCATCCACAATATTTCTCGAATGGTAAGAACAAAATAGAAATGGATATACGCGTGATCAATCAAGATAGATAAACATTCCTAGTCCATCAAGGATATTTTCCCATTATTCTGTAATAGTGTTGTACATAGTAGGTGTTTTGATTAACTTACTATGAGAAAACGGCTCATTTTCAGTTCTTCTTGTCACACTCTATAGCATCAGCATTAGCTACCGTGATTGATATTTCAAATCATACTGGCGTCCAGCAAGACGAATTAACGGTATATATATAGAGTTGGTGGTTGCTAAAGTTTAAAATAGAAGCAATAATTCTGTCTATATAGATTAGGAGCGTTTGTTATTGCAATTACTTAAGACCAGCGATTTTTTACAGCCGATGCCACCTATCGAATCAAGTACGAAATCGATCAGAATTTATGAAGAGCACACACGGGTACAACTGCAATTCTTCTTTTATAAAACGTAATACGATCTTTCGATCCTTAAAAATTAACTAACTTCTATTGCAGAAATTACAAAGATATTTGGATATTATAAAAGAAATTGATGCATTAAAGGGATTTTTGTAAGTAGGAGAATGTAGGCAAATTTACCCCTTAGTGTCGAGATTTGTTTTGTACATACAGCTACTAGAAGATGTTAACATTTGTTTATGTATGTAATAAACCTAATAACCTAGGGATGAATTAGATGAACAGGTCAATGTAGCAGAAAGCGAGGAGAAAAAAATGTTATTAGAAGTGGATAAATTGACTTCAGAAAAGGTATCAGTATGCAGTAACAGGGAGATAAATAGAAAATTGTCTTCTGATACTAGATTTCCTAAGGGCACTGCCGATGAGATTCACCAATTTTAGCTACGTGAACAACATGTATTAATATTTTGTAGATCGTATCGAGTTGTGTTTAAGATCATATAGACTATGGGTTAATTAGATACGTTATTCTTTAATATTCGTATGCTAATACTTAAATAATTGAGATAATAAAATTAGATATTGTAGTTGTTATAACTTTGTACTGAATATTCGTTACATACCCGCTTTTGCATAACAGCCACGAATTGTATAGTTTGTCGATTTAAAAGGAGAAAAAAATATCACTAATGTTTCTGGAATTATTAATAATTATTACTTTGATATTAGCTTACTGTTTGCCATTTATTTCGTCTTGGAAATGATGACTGATATCGTATGCTTTATCTCTTTAGGGTAAAATGGTAGAATTGCAAAAGGACCTCGAATATCAGCTGAACATGATTGCAAATCAGAGCAATTAATATTGTGATTGCTACAACTGCTCAATGCCTTTAAATGAATGAGTCAAACACGATATCGACAATTTTATAGATCTATTCAGTAATAACATAATTTATCACTATGTAAATTCTAAATTCTACAATAAGCAACTTTATTGACTATCTAAAGGTTAAATTTCATGCTATATCTGTGAATAGTTTACTGGCAGCAATGTACTTTAAGAAAGCCATATTTTGTAAAGGACATAATCTAATATTGTACCAATCGATTATATTACTGTTACAGTTCGTTGTTGGTTTCTAAGAAACCAACGTAAAGATCAAATTAAACTTTATACGCCTTGGTATTGAAAGTTATGTGAAAGTCCATGCTATATTGTTGCTCTGTTGCTAAATTAATAATTTTGCTCAGTTGTTTCTGTGTGATATAGTCGCTTTTATTACCTTTTAAGTACTGTATTACTACCTTATTTTGTAAATATAGCAGATTTATCGACAGTACAATAATGATTTGTACGGTAAAATGCTACATGATGTGCTTAAATAATTGGGTAAGTAAGTCCGTTTTATTATACTACAAAATGGTAATAATATTACCTGCATAATTTCGGTTAAAAATTACAATATATTTGTTGTCTTGCAATAAGTAACTAATTCAATTTCAATTGTAAATATTTCTACCAAAGATATAAACTCAGTTTATGGCTATTATCACGCAGATGCATTGTCTGATCTTGTATGTTCAATAAATTTTCAAGGCTTGATATAAACCTTGAAATTATGTTTGCCATCGGCTCGATGTTGAATGTAGAAGTGGACTATTCGTAGCTCGATAAAAAAGTGTAATCGGTACGGGAATTGAGGAGATCATTTTTGTCTACTATTGTAAATTATGTAGTAACTCTTACTTAGTTACTTTTCTGTAAGAGTTAAGAGTGCAGGTCTACTTTGATACCACGGCATTAGCTGTAATACAGTCCTATAGTGATCATTAATGGCACGCAACGATATACAAAGTCTTGATTATATTCCTATCGCTGTAGTGTTACATGCAAAGGACCAGATTCGTGTTACATCTTTCAACCTGGGTTAAGTCTTACGAATTATCTGCAATAGCCAATATCAAGTAGTAAATTCATATATATACTGTAGGTGTAGTTTATATTTCAATCCACCATTTAAGTTTCTTTACATTTATTACATGAATCATGAAATAAACAGTTTAGGTTCTGACTAAAGTAATTTGCGTATTTCGACGCATTGCATTTTTTCATTAGAGAGTAACGGAAAAATCTCAACAAGTAGATGATATAATCTACAAATGCATAATTACCATCCGTAGTACGTACGTTTTTACTTTAATACAAAGCTGAATTCTTGGTAACAGAGTTATCAAGTACTAAGCCAATTAGATACGAATGCATCTAGCTATTGTAAACTACCAAGTCTGGAAAATATTGATTTTAATGAAATTACCGTAAATCCACTGTAATAATTTCATATACTAGAAGAGTAGACATCAATCATGCCTTACTGGGGTATACATATGATGCGATATTGTCAATACGAATAGGATTATAATTACATAGTAGTCAGAAATCATTTCGGTCAGCAACTTTAACTACAAAGCAAATGCGTATCGTAGGTATGAAATACTATAGGTGCAGAAATGAAATAGTAATTTCATATCAAAGAGCCGATACGAAAGTGATTGTTTCTACGCGGATAATAAAAAGTAACTGATCCCTAGATAACAATTATCATACCATAGATAAGCATGAGCTAATACTTTTTATACACCAGTATTATTTGTTTACTAAAGTTACCATAGTATAGAGATGAAGCGAATATGAAGCTTTCTATAAAACAGGTCAATTTACATGCTCTACTACAGTGCAAATTATTCTTTACTGTAACAAAAAAAGAATAAAATTATTGGCGTATTTTAAAGATTAACTAGGTGTACTAGACTTTTTCAATTTATATCATTGAAAGTCCAACACTGAATAATTTTCTTTGGCATAATGTTTATCTATCCTTGACGCAGCTTGGCTAGCCTCTGACTTAATTCATCCTATATAAATGAAGGCTGATTAGATACCAAAAGTGCTGGTATTTTTTTTGAATCTTTACCAAATGATTCATGCGAAGTGTATAACAAACATCACCTGCTCAGCATTAGCAACAGAAGCGGTTCCAAGGGATGCTGTTTGGCCATTGGGCAATTCCATATTAAGTTCCAACCTGATATCATGTATTGGTATTAATCATACGTTTCACAGTTATAGTAACTAAATGATGAATAGTTTGTTGTTGTTGTGGTATACGCACCCGTGTTCATCAGCAACTTGGTTCATTAAAGAATCCACTTGGCCCTGTGATTATTATTGAATATAGTCCATTACTTTAATCAATGAATAATTAGCCTTGACAATAAAATATGACATTGTAACGCCAGTGGATCGTAATATCGATACAGTCTTTACGTACCTGCGGTACAGTTAATGTTGTGGAATTGGACATGGCATTATCCATGCAATTCGTTTGAACATCTAAGTCTTCAAATTGTCTTTCGAATCTGTCAAGTAAATTTGTAACCTGTAAACAGAATAGAGAATTTTAATGCTATTGAAGTTAAAGAATGAATCACAGATTTTGGTGCTATCGATAATTGCACATGGTGACGGAGTAGGCGTAATATGTATAAAGTTGATCTATCGTGGTTACTAATGTCTGTGATAGTTGAAGGATTTTAACATCGATATCGTATGTAGATATGACAATAGAATAATTTTGTGCTTAATATCAAGAGATCATTGATATAAAGTAGAATGTGTTATTTCATATTGTAGTACTGACGTTACCTTTTCTAAATTCATCGATCTCATAGCACTATCCATAGACTTTACTACCCCTGCCATAGATCCAGTCACCTATATTTTTTCAGTCATACAAAAAATGAATATGATTTATCTTAACATAATCAAATTTTTCAGTAACACACAAAATCAATCAGCTTTATGACAAACCTGTTTCATAGTTACAGCAGTTTGCACTCTTTGCGCAACAGCGTCTACTCTCGAGCTTAAGCGTAAGAAATTTAACGCCTGCAATCCATCGTAATATTAGGCAAAAAGTAGGTACAACGCATCGGTTGAGTCCATAGTAATATTAGACAAAGTGTAAGTTCAACGCTAGCTATCGTAGTACACTCCTCTATCACTGAAGGATTCCTGTATACTAGTGATTGAATCATGAGGTGCAGTTCTGTCGAGTGACTAACCTGATTTTTTTGTCTGATAGCATTTTCGGCATGAATTCTAGCGCCTTCTACATTACCTTTCTGTATAGCCTGTACGCAGATAGTAAAAATACATGAGCATTAGTTGATGTCAATCCGCTACGAGCAAGTGTCGGTAAATTCGTTGTACAATTGTATAAATATGAGGAGTGTTAGTCCAAGTTCAAGTGACTATACAGGTTGTCATCGTTTGCCATTCCTTATTAAGACGAAAACTTGCTTTACTCTAATACATCATTTTAAAGTTAAATTTTTGACCTTTTTTAATTTCAATTTTTCGGCCTTTTCATCTTTGACACATTTTTGAGAATGTCTGTTGAGATCCTTAGCAGCAAACTATTTATCAATAGAAAGATAGAATATTATTGAGTATCGCTATCGATGTCGAAATGTAGCCATCACTACTGTAGCCTGATTCAAACTATTTTATCCCAGGTAGAATGTTCTTGCTATCGATTGAGGTTTACTATTCACTACAAATACAAATGGTCCCAACATAGACACTATTATTATTGTTAGGGCAGGCGAAAAGGGCTTCTGTTGAAGTTATCGATATTCTGTCTATCGTGATGTTTCTATTGTAAGTTAAAAGACAACATGGATGGCAAAGATGGTCGAAAACATCACGTCCATTGGGGACAGGAATTGGTGTTTTGGCCCTCGTTATGGGAATGATGATGTCATCCTCGTCTAATCTGTTTTGATCCTATCCTCAGACTTACCTTCAAGTTAAATAAATGTTCTGCGAGCAATCAGGAATTTGGAATTAAGGAAAGATAGACATCATTGACATTATCCTATTCAATTGAAGTGAATTTATGCCTAAACGAGCACTAATAGAACATTTGATCTTGACTTTATTGATCCAACTACTATAGCACTGGCATGATTTCATCGTCTCCATAACAAAAACTCGATTTCTATTTTGAATTAGTTTCAATCAAGACATAAAGCTAAAGGATACTTTCCATCTTTTTTTCCAACGATTCTACAGCTCAATAATATCGACTAAAAGGCAGGAAAACTGGATAAGCGTTTGGTGATTTCGTTAACTTGATAATTGCCTCAATATTCAATGGAATCCCTTTGGAAGCTAGGAAATGGATCACAAATTAGCTTGGAGAATGGCCTTGGCTTTCCTCTACACTCGTCTCGATGTTATCATACTAGCGTACACTATGACTACGGTGACTAGTATCAGCGGTCTGGTTCTACAAGCCAAGATGGACGCCAGGGACTACGGTACAGTACTGAAATGGATGATCGTCTAGCAACTGGGATATTTTCATTGTGATCCTATAGCTTTGTATGGCTTCAGTAGACATGATAGCGCACTATCCCTCTCAAGCTAAACACGGACGGTAATGACCAGTTACGGTTGGTTCCTAGCGCTATGACGTCAACAAGTTATTTTTAGATGGATGGAAGATCCCCACCCGACCTGCTACAGTACTCATCCTGTACAAAAATACTGTACACTGTAGAGCAACGACTAATCCACGACAGTAAAACTTCTCCCGTCAAAGTGGTAATGAACCAATTTTCCCCTATTGTAGGCTAAAAATACTGACAAGTTTTATGTCAAAAATGTGTCCACTGTTGTTTTGCTTGGCAATATTGTGAGCAAAAGACTTTTCATTGCAGCGTACCGTGCAGGACACCTATTTTTCACATTGCCTCACTACTAGGTATAGTAGTCTGTGATTACAGTACAAACTGCAAGAGAAGGATGACAACGCTTTGTATCGATTGTACAGTACTTATTCTATGCTACAAGTAATTTCTAGTCGTCCGCGGTACTGTACTGGATAGGCAGTGTGGAAAATAGGTGTCCACTACGTCGTCAAAAGTCTATCGCTGGCCGATTTGCCAACCACACCCAAGTCTCCGACACGTTTGCTATAGAAAGGCTGTATTGGTATACCGTACAGTGTACAGTACACTATAGTGTCGTGGAAAATTTTGTAGATACGGCTATGGTCGTCCCTGGCTGCACTGTACACTGTAGTCTCCGGCATTTTGTAATTTTATTTTACTACCTATTGGTGAAACTGCTCTTTAATAGGTAGTAACTGTACTGTCCGTACTTTGAAAAGGGATTTCTTTCCTGCGCCAGAAGAAGAAAGCAGGCCCACACTACAACAGTACTGTACAGTACACTGTGCACTATACACTGTACCCAACACTACAACAGTACTGTATCCCTATCAAACCTTAACCGTTCTACAGTGTAGGCATGTACTGTAGTACTGTAGACAAACCTTGGCATTCGGGTCTGCCAACCAAGTTGGAGAACTCAAAATGGCCCGGTAAAAGAAGACCCGTAAAACAAAACCGAGTCTTCTTTAGTAGCTCAAAATGGCCCGGTAAAGGAAGACCAGTAAAACAAAACCGAGTCTTCTTTAGTAATTCAAAGTCAAAGATACGGTTCTTATCCGGTAGTTTTCTAGGAGCAGCGAGCAGAAGTAAATTGAAACTGGGAATGAGCAATTTGCCGTAGTTCGGTGGGGTAATAATGAATGGAAAAGTCCCCGGTACGGAACTAGTCTGGACGTCTGCACTTGATATTGACAAAATTTTATAGACATTCTGCTTCCAAAAGTGACTAGAATCGGATAATAATAATGAAGAGAATTACATCTGTACTTGATATTGACCAAAATTTTGTAGAGATTCTGCTTCCAAAAGTGACTAGAATCGGATAATAATAATGAAGAGAATTAAGTTTAAAGAGTTGATTACTGTACAGTATATAGTGGAATCATATCAGCAGAGTAAAGTATAATAACGTACTAGGTAAGAAATAATATTATACTGTATAATGGTCAATCAGTAAATTCCCCTAAAAGAAAAATAACGAGAAAACGATGGTTAGATTTTTCTTCGATCGCCAGTCCATAAACATTGCTCACTTGGTCAGAATAATTCATAAAGCACAGAGTTATTAAGTGCGCAATAAAGTACACAAAGCAAGCCCAGAAATTCTTAAGTTTATAATAACCAAAGACACAGGTATTGCAAAGTATTTGCATTCTAGTGGCGGGAACACGTTACATGCGTCCCTTTCAGAACAGTACTGTATTCTAAAATTGATTCAAAAAATGAAGAGGATAAGGCAATCAACGATTGTAAAATAGGAACTTCTTCAACATCATGTCAATGTTGTAAAATAAACCACCATGATGCTTCAATATTGAACCATTTACCTAACCTTACAGCAGTACCTGCTGTTTTATCTCTCTTTCCTAAGGCTGTTTCATTCATTAAGTATAAATCAATTTATTTTCACTAAACGTTATAGATTTTATCTTATAAATTCTTCCACTAACATTTCTCTCCGATGTCTATTTACCAATCGATTTTTATTCATCATTTTTCTCCTTAGTATTTCGGTAACAATCTACTATTTCCACATTATATGAATGATTATCGTTGCACTCGAAATGCTGTAGATACGTACGTCATTGGTCATTCATTTTAATAGGATATTATAGAAAAAATCTTTTTCACGTTTTAGTATTTTCAATTTATTTGCAAGCGGCATTCTTAGCCAATGAATACTAGATGATCGATAAATCATACACCATTCTCTTCTAGCAGTTCCATTAACTTCTGAGGGGGAATTTTAGGACAAACGTTTAACTTTTTTTTCAGTTTACACTGCACATACAAAACTTATTCTTAATTCTAATTCTGACTGTGGTGTATCTTCCAATAAGGAAGAGTACCAACCAGGTTCTACTTCTGTCGAAAATACTATCCATCGGAAAAAATCAGAAAAAAAATAAGTCTAAACACATGTACTTTAATATGCACACAGTCTATAGTGAGTAGAGATGGCTAGCAGAAAAGATGTCACCAGCAAGGAAAGTGTGACATCTTTTTTGTATGAACTTCTGAGGGAGAATTTTGGGGCAAATGTTTATTTTTTATTTTTTCAGTGTATATACAATGTACATGCAAAATTGATTCTTTATCCTGATTCTGACTGTGGTGTATCTTCCAATAAGGAAGAGTGCAAAAACCAAGTTCTACTTCTGGAAAAAAATACGTCAACATACGTCTACTTTAATATGCACACAGTCTATAGTGAGCACAAGTGGCTAGCAGAAAAGATGTCACCAGCAGGGAAAGTGTGACATCTTTTTTGCTAGCTATCCGCTGTCGATTTTTTTCCTACACCGCCGTCGACAGTGTATCCTAATTCATTTGTAACCATAGGCGTAACTCCACCGGTCACAGCAATACCATGCCAACTGTATTGTACAGTATGGCCATGAAGGTAAATCGCTAGCAGAATAGATGTCACCGGCAGAGCATGTCTACTGTACAGCGTACTCATACATCAGCATTCAACAGAGCATGCACATTGCAGATCCAATGGTGGCTGAGCCAAGGAATCAACTGCTCCTGGCTAGGAAAGGAAGGTAAAATAGACCTAGAGTTATCCCAAAATCCGCAGTTATCTTGGTAGAAAATAGCATGCTAGCTCGCAATCAAGATTCTTTTCCTCAGATAGCAACTCTACTCTCTGGTTGTTAATTACAGCTAGCATTGTACAAGAAGAGAAGTATCCTTGCTGCACCATCTCATCCTCTAATCGGTCATTTAAAAATACTGCAAAATGGACGAGACTACCTCCGTTTCAAAGGTATCATTGATTAAAATTACAACTTGCTATAGCATTTACTCCGCTAAACTTCATGAGTAGAGTATCGTACTTGTACCTTGCCTCGGACAATTCACGTGATATCTCTTGCCAAGTCCTCATGTTGTAGACTTGAGCCATTTCCGATGCTTTCACGCCGAATATTACTAGTAGCTCTACGACCTAACGATACTCGATGTCAACAGAAAATCGAAGGAAAGCATATCAAATAACGTATCATCAATAACGATTTGAGTAGAGTCAACCGAGAGCAATGGTCGTGCCTCAGTTGTTCTACGCTGCAAGAGTTTCCTTACTGCATAACCAATATTTTAGCCGATGATGTATAAGCTGAAAAGGCTACATATATCCATGTAATCTCTTCAATTTGAAAGCTATCGTTGGTCAGTATACTGCAGTTACTCCTCAGTCTCGTTTGCAAGTCACAATCCATTTTTATCGTGCAACTGTATCGACGTAGATGAAGCCTTTCTAAGTTGATGGAGATGCAGCTGCAGATCAAGTCAGGGTGGTGTGTAGGAGAACTGCAGTGACGGTTAATTTCATCCTACTCGTATTCGAGCCCTGTTGAATATTATATTGTCCTCTCACATATTTGTAGTATATATGCATATATACATCTAGAAGTAGGAGAATAGAGGTTACAGATGAATACTTGTGTCAGCTAGCTTTAGCTTTAGTAATAGCTTGTCCATCGCATCACTAGTATATATTACTGTACTCGTATACTTGTAACAAAGTAGAGTGAATCTGCCAATAAATACCTGCTGTAATCAGCTTTAGGGAAGGTTTATTTTGTATCATGCCTGCGATAGATTCGTATTTTTGCTCCATAGATTAAGTGAATAGTAAAGTGGGATAAATACTGCAAATAAATATCAGTGATTACTAATTTTATCATATCAATATAATGTAGTAGTAGAATGGAATACAGGTTACAAATCAATGCAACTACTTGCAAGCTTCAATGATAGCTTTATCAGCGCAATAGTACATGGATTTGTCATATCACTCTTATAATGTCTAACAATTATAAAATTGTCAATCACTAACTTTAAATATTTTTGCAAATACAGTATGAATGAGTAGGATTATTGAACTTAATTTTGCTGTAATATGTGCTGCTCATACCGATACCATTCATTCATGATCTCGAACTGCAACGACTTCTGACTTCTATCAAATACTGTCAATGCAACTCTAATTGTAACTAGTAACAGGATAATCGTTATCATCTGCTTATTTATTATAGGGATGCTTTGCATTTAACGCAATCCCGAGCAAGAAAAGTAAACACGCACCGTTAGGTAATACTCTCCCTGGGTATTTATTGTGAATTTACCAGTAGTTCGGAATTTAATTCCACCTTAGCTAGGTAAACGCATAGTATATGAATATACCCTTTTAATTCTGTATTAGATCATACTTTATGGCCTATGCTACGTGGAGAAAATGAAAAAACAAGATCTGCAAGACGTCAATACTATACAGAATGTTTAAACCGGATTCATTCTGAAGCACAGGTATCAATCCATGCAACTTCGAACAAGGAGCTTTCATCATATTTTTCTCTTGTGTTTGTACCGTTCTTACTACAGAAAGTAGATACCAATAAATAGCCTGGCATGCAGTGTACAGTTTTATGAGCTGTACAGTCAATAACCAATACTGAAATATATGACCAAACCCAATAACTTTGAGTGATGTTACTTAATTAGTGGATAGAATGACCAACCAAGCATCATATTTACATTCTTTCAACCCGATTGACTTACCTTAGGTCTACTACTGTTATGTTGACTACTGAAATGCATAAACTAATGTTGTAGCCTTAGCAGCAATAAATACATTTTACCTGTAGTTAGGACTACTTTTTAAAGTAATGATCGACACTATTAACTTTAATATATTCTTACTAATAATAATTAGACAGAATTGTCAACTATGAATGCCCACATCTTTTCCGAGCTGATTGCTTACCTTAATTCCGCCACTACCAATTTGGCAAATGATAACACCGATGTTTCTATTTGGGCCAAACTCATTCCTACAGCTGTTATTGTCGCAGGTAGAAAATGTGCCAAAAGTAGAGAAAATATGAATTATATATAATACTTTTCAATCTAGTAGCTTTCAAAATCGTTATCACACTTTTATACAAAGGTGTCAACATGCCTGATAATGCTATCCTATTTGATCATTTGGCTACCCAAATTCAACAAACTGTAACGCCTATGTTTGCTCGCTTAAATTCAAGAGATTGTATAAGTTAGTGTCAGTTTACCAATAAGGTGTTTAACAATCAAAAAGTATTGCTTTAAAATTTAGGAAATGAAGAGTATGACTACATATTGGTATATCATAATTCTCATTGAAGAGTGGCTCTAACATTTATTATTCGCTATAGCTGTAGAAAAACTAGTCAAGAGCTTTATGGGGCAAATGAAAGAGAACATGGTAAGCACCCAATATTGCCAATATAAAAACACTATTAGCATTAGATGATACGGTAATATTCGCCAATCTGATAGAATGATCAGGTATCCGGAACGGAAGTGGAAATAACCAATACAACAAGTTATAGCATGTTTGAATTACCGGATTGGTACGATAGCGTAATAGAAGTACGTATGTCACAGGCAAAGTGATTATTTTGCATTACCAAGATGATGACATGTATACTGCGTGAGTAAAATGATAACTAACTACACGTACATGATCCTTTCCTTATGGCACTTTATTGTAGGCTTTGCATAGGAAAAAACAGAAAAGGTAGATTGTCAATACTGGTGCTTTTATAGCGTACATGTTGAATCTTCTGCGTATATGATAGGATAAAGTTCTATTCTATGCTTTCATTTATAAATTATCATGATTGGAGTAGTTCCAGAAGCGTTAAGAAAGGCAGGAAACGAAAGAGCCAGCAAAGTTTGTTCTAACTTAATTAGAATACTTGATATGACTATGTTTACCCTTCTATCGCTATAGCATTTCCGAAATTTATGTCAAATTTTTAAATATGGTATTTTTATTTTATTACGTAACGCTATCCTCATTAGCTGAAATTGAAAAACCTGCCATAATTATTATATTTGAAGACTTTGAATCGTTCTCGCCTGCGGTCGTTTTGGATTTTGTTAAAATTTCCAGGTAAAGCTCATTTATTATCGTATACTCTATTTATTTCGAATATACTAAATTGAAATTAGTTGATAATCAACTGTAATTTTAGCTATTTTAAGTTACAAATTTCCATTATTATCGAATGCAGTTAATAATTTTTTCTTTTCAAACAGTTATTATACATGTAAACTTCCTTTGGCCTTTGTATTTGGTATTGCAACAACGGTATCTGCTGTGCATAAATCTCTGACTTATTCTGGAACATCGCTTGTTGAAATTAAATTATTCAAGTCCTATCCAACAAAAGTTTACTTGGAGAATGTGTTATCAAAGGTTATATGACATACCGTATTAATCTTTTTCAATAGGATAAACTTACTGATAGGAATCACAAATAATCATATATGATTAAAACATTTATTTGGATTTATAGGTTCTATTAACGCCTAATCATCGCTTTAAACTTGGATTTAGACCATTAAGTCTACTAGTCGACAACTTTTTCTGCCATGATTTCTCGGTTTCTGGTTTCATGAGTGGATTAAAGGTAACTCAATTACTACATACTACGTCTACCGTTAATTGTTTGATGACTAATAAACAGTTGCCCTTTTATAGTAATCGTAGCCTAATTTTTATGTAAACTTTCAGTACGCCATGATGGACCATTACTATTCGAACGAATTAAGTATACTATCTATGCCAAGTCAGCCAAACCAAGCCATTGTTATAACTCTTAAACAGCAGATTAAAGCATTATCTCATGAACAGCTGGAATTAGTTAGAATGTTGCCATCATTTCGAAAGTATTGATTGTAGATGCGGCATTATCTTTATCATGTCATGTTAGCTAATGCTATTCTGGTAACCTTGCTTAATTTTGAAGGTATGTTGACGGATTACCACCTAAGGAACAGAAAAAACTCATACTGGAAGATAAACTGTTAAAGGTTATATGAATTTCAATTACCCCGGAGTGATCGAATCGTAAGATGTTGTTACTATCGAACTAGGACAAAATTATGGAGCTTTTAATCGGCCTTGAACAATATCATCAGTTATTTTTCCCGATGCTTCAATGTTTGGATAATGTCACGCGTATTCTGCCCAAGAATCCTTTGGGGAAACTGGTAAGTGGACAGTTTTCAGGCTAACTTGACCTGTTGTAAAAATATTAGCTATGTTTTCCTCAAATTTCATGAAATTTTGTATTATGATATTCCTTAAAGACAATCGAAGTTTATCTGCGTTGCATACAATCCAACATTACTGAAGAACAGGATTTTAAGGATTCCATGAAATTGTTAGGGTAAGTTTATCTCTTAATTTATTTTACAGCTGTTATAAAATTGTTACTTAAAACTTTGAATCTCTATTCTTGTATTTGCTAAATAGCATTTTCAGCCTAATGACAATATTATGTAATTATGATTGGCTGTTAGATCTACATGTAGTGAAGAGCTAATATCATTTCTCACATCATGTATCCAGGCCATCGAAGAATACGCTGTTAATAGGTATAGGTAACTGTAGTAAAATGAGCACGCTGTTGAAATTAACTTCATTGAGTTGTTTTTGAAGAAATAACAATCAGTTAAGCGAAATCCTGAATACACTAACAAATCTGCTAACCAAACTTCGTACACTAGCCGGTATGACATACGGTTGTAGTCAAAAGCTTTAATTATTATTTTATGATTAACTTCGTTTGATCAGTATAGTAAGAATAATTTTGCTCTATTTGAATATGACAAATACGAATTTTTATTAGACGGATCAGCAGGAGATGAAGAATTCGCGGATAATGACGATGATAACGAAACTGATCAAAATCAGAAAATAGATCGTTTCAAGTTGCAAGAAGTAAATGACTATTTTAGCTTATCATCATCTTTGTTCTGTCAACCTTATGCCACATATAGCCAAGTTAATAACGTCATTATTTATGTATCTAACCGTAATATATATTTTAGCGTCTTAGGCAGCTATCAAAACGTAAGAAAAGACCAACACGCTTTGAGAATTGCCGTAGCGAAATTGTAGAAAAACTAACAGAACTATTTAAGTGAGTAAATCGTAAAATGCAACTTCTTACTTGTTAATTACTCATGAGATTATAACTGTGAGCTATGTATATAATCTGCATGTCAATAAGTACAACTTTAAGCTATGGGCTCTTAGGAAATATGCAAAGTGTCCATCTGAAGTGCCATTATACGAAGTTTGTTACTATGAATCAGTATCGGTGCTGAAGCAGGTTTATGGAATTAATTGATCATGTCGATCCGTGTGTATGTATTTATCTTGCTTTCTTTATTTTTGGGGTAATATTATAGCATGTGACTGCATCGCCGCGTATGTCAATCCAGAAAGCATTAACAGATTTTTCGTCTTACCTTAAGGTAATATTAAAATTATCGTTTCGACTGAATTTATAGCTATTCCCACGAAAAAAATTACAGTTATGATAACTGCTGATGAATTAAATTACTGCATAGAATTATTTCTTATCGTATTTTTGTTGTATTGCTAACTTTCAAAATAGAATGAGACAAAAGATTACGAGCAAACTCCCGATATCTGTGTTGCGTATCAGACATTAGAAGACAAGAAAAAACTTGTTAATTTAGAGGATTGGATGCAGGTAGAGTGCGCTATAGAGATTTCGTTTTGCATATTACTGCATCACTCTCAAGTCAGTGATAAGCATATATAGCTATTTTAATTCATCATATCTATGTAGTACTGCACTTTGTTTTTATTTTTAATGTCCTACTACAAATAACAAGTACTGCTTAATTCTTGATTGTTGTAGGAATTTATTCATGAAGCAAAATTTGTTGATAGTAAGACATTGTGCAATGGTAATACAAAACTGAATCGTAAAGATAAGCGTACAAACAAACAACAATATCAAGAGCAAAACCAAGAATACGAACAAGAGTTACAGTATGCTATATTAATTATCCTTAAATGAAAAAGATTTCATATATTTGTCGTCAATTTTGTGTGGGTATATTCCAAATATACTACCAGGATCAAGACCGCTGCAGTAAAGATGCGTGTTCTTTTTTAACACATTTTAAAATTATTTACTGCCACTGCAGGATGAGATTCATGAGAGCCGTATCGGAGCTTCAATTTTTAGGATTTATTAAGTATTCTAAAAGGAAGAGTAACTATATATCTCGATTGACTTGGATTGGCTAGCTATTCGGTTATAGTTGGTAATTTTACAATAATTTTTTTATCTTTAAAGCCATTAATTCTCTACACAGAGAGTTATAACTATTAACTATCTACTGGTAAATGTAATGTTATATTCTATATTATGATTGTAGACAATGGTAATGGCCAAATAGATTTACCTAGTTTAAATAGCATTACTCAATGTCCGACACCGTTTCCAAAACGATGATTGCACTATGGATTGTGCTATGAATGGAATATGCCCATATAATTCATTGTGCTGTACTATTTTATATGCTTGTAATTTTGAACTAAATCGCTGACGACTAATACGTTTAATCGCGAATTTTTTCCAGCAATAATTTCTTAAAGAAATTTCAATCTGAGCATTTTCCTATCTACTGCTACTATACAATTGCAGATTGTGACTGATGTTGATCTACAGATTCATGATTAGCTTCAATCTTAGTGCATACAAAGTTGCCCGTCTACAACATAGTTATTAATGCCTTTGTTTCATTCACTTTACGTCAAGATATTATTTTTTCAATTTAAATTAAATTAATAACTGCAATTTCTATCGTAAAAGGCGTCTCAAAATGCCATTGCTACCATGAAAAATTTAGGAAATAGACAATAAGTTTGCGAAAATACATGTACAGAGCTATTTTGTAGGTCTAAATTAACGCAACAACATTACACTTGGACCTATAGCTGGTGATATTATGCTCTCATATATCTTGCTTGACTAGGCACTGTCCATTAGTGCTAACAGATCATCACCTTTTTCTGTAGCTGAATGGAAATGTTGAAGTAGAAAATGTTGTTAGTATATATTTATAACTATAGCATACAGCTATTGCTATAGTGCTATAGTAAGTAGCTGATTTTATTATGTGATTGATACCTGTAGCTGAATTATTGCTGGTTATAGTGAAATCATCCATAATTCTCGACAATTCGTCACTTGCTTTTTTCTACATATCCATTATGTAATTATGAAACCAATAGTTTAAGACATAATTGCCACTTATTAGACAATTAAATTTATGATCGCCTTGATCAATTGTAAGTTTTGCTAGGAATTGATATTTACAAAATGATGACTGTAGAATACGCTACCTTGCTCGCGTCGATATTAATTACACGATCAGGTCGGTATATTGTCTTTTCTGCAGCACTGAGTTAAAAAAAGTTCGAATATTGTTGATTTCTGTTTTGATATTTATGTACTCTGATTTGTACTTACATTTCTTCTTCTTTGTCAGTACTGAATAAATTGAGCCTAAACGCTGAAACTGTAGAATAGAACGGATGGGTAGTGCTTTCATTAGCGTTATACACAGTAAGAAATCGACTGTTACACTACAGCGGTAGTAGAATGATTTCGACTGTAATTAAAAATAAATGATATGATTTATTGTAAATATACCATCTTTTGCTTTCTTTTCATCTTTGCCGACTAAATGAGCAAGGAGATTTAATTCTTCTTTGGCTAATGGGTTAGGTGCATTTCCAGATGCCCCATCCTATCATAATTAAATTTATATAATTAATTTGCAATATAAATTCTTGGATCATAATTTCTAATCGTGACGGAAGAATCGATGAATTGTAGACGCAAGTCTTTGTTTATGGGCATGATTGAATCTTGAGTATTGTAAAAATATCGCGCGAGAGTTTATTTTTAATAAGAGGGAAGAAACCATGCAACGGAACAATACAATTTCAATTTAAAAATACCTCACTAAAGCATTTCCTTAATGTCGGAATATTTGTGGGTTCAAGCTATTAGTATCCCATTAAATTAATTTCTATAGCTGCGTCTACTAGCACTTTAGTAAATTAGATAGGACTAGCCCTCCCTGCCTAAGATGCCACCGTCATATTTTCATGCATAAATCATAAATTATCCTAATTTATAGTGGGATTTTAGTATTTAGAACGAAAGATACTTTTGAATATTATTACGGTAATACAGTACTTAAATAACTTCAGTTAATTTACATCCAATCGTATTAAATATCATATTTAGAGTTATTATTCATCTATCTGTCCAGCTAGCCGTACCTGTGATTGCGACTGGGATACGCTACTCGTTTCGACGTTTCTATCCACATTATACCTATAGATTAAAGGAAAGAGGAGATTAGTAAAGATACAGCCACTCAATTAGCCCTTAATTGAATAAAGTTGATTTTATTCTTTCAATCTACTATAAAATGGATTAATAACAATTAAATGAGGCAAAAGTCCTTACATATTGGTGCCTAATAAGGTAATTCTTTCACCACTTTTCTCAAATGATCCAGGTTTTAACACAGTTCTATATTTTGTATTGGTCTTAAACTCGATAGTTCTAACTACTTCATTACTGGCAAAAAACCTTAGGAAGGATAATATATCTTTTAATATATCATATATAGTAACGAACAGAATAATTAATCGTCGATTTTATATCTACCGAATAACTCCTGGCATTTCCGTTCCATAAGGGATAGGACTATCCACGGGCAGAGAAAATCGACCATTGGAATTTTGAACTTTATCTTTTAAAAATATCGATACCTACGTAGAATGATATAGATAAAATAAAACTGATTTGCGCTATTTCTTCATTTTATATCTTTTTTAACATAACAGAAATGAGATAATAGTGGCTAGGCAATCAATTCTTGATTTCTGCTTTTTAAGCCATTCTATTTTAATCAAAGCCAAAGTAGGAGAACATTCTCTACTGTCAGCATTGCTATGATATGCTACAAAGCTTTTCCATACCGTAATTATTTGCTTACAATTTAACTTTGATTCCATTTACTCTCATTTACTTCTTACCCTGATGTGCATATCTTGAAAGAATGAAAGTAGAGCTTGCCTAATTAACTGAAATTGACCGGTCGACAAACTTGCGAAATGCTAACGAAGAAAAATAGATTTGAAACGATTATTTTCCTAGCATTTCGAGGCTAATTTTAGCAAATAGTGGAGAAGCATAGCGTCATCGATTCTCTACCATAAAATTTTATGAATTATACCCATAGTTTAAATGATGAGCTCCTTTAAGCTTTTATATCCTTACCTCGTGTAATAAATGATAAACATGGTCAATCAATAAGATAATCTTAGTAGAACCAGATACAAAATCTTTTATTGCATCCACATGATTGAGTGTAACCAATAAAACATCGCTTGGCCTTAGGCAAAGTGAAACCTACCCAAAGTAAAGTACCAAAAGATGGTTTATGAGTAATTTATTTGTATCATATAAAGTTTACTAAAGAGCTTATGAGGATAACAGCTGCTTTCAATTATATATATATTTATATTAGTACTGATTATAAAATCATCTATCGCTTGCTTCCATATACTTATTTGAAAAAAATTTTTATAATAATGATTAGTAGTATAGCATAAACAAATGGAATCCCACATATGCTCGAGTATCTGGCAGCGATAATAAATTTTAGGTATGGGCGAACTTAAATTTGATTTAATCTAAATTCTATTCCTCTTAAAATTAGACAATTCAAGTTTAAGATAAAACGACTAACATAAACTACAAGATATTCAATCTAGGAATGTTCAAGTTGAGTAGCATCTATAAGAATCGTAATTCCTCGTGGACTAGCAAGATTCACGTATTGAATCCGTTATTATTCAACCTGTAGTTATAATTTATGGAATACCAAAAAGCGAATGCATTTATTTTCTTACCTGGTACTTGAATGCCATTGTCATCAAATCGTAAAGCTAAAGAAATTAAATGAATCCATTTTAATATATCGACAAAATCAAATAACCGAAAGACAGACTCTTAAAAGCTACAGCATAAATTGTCATTTTTGTCATGGATACCCTGGCTGAAGTGATCCGTATCATAAATTTAAAATAAAGTCCACGACAGTAATTTCACTGCTAATTCAGTCTTGAATATAAAGTAGAGAAGGTAGTATCCTCGACTATGTCATTGAAAAGGGTACTTTCAATCATTATACTTTCGTATGCTGCCACTTGATTGACTCGATTTTTATTATGAGGAATGTTTCTTGACTTATTATTTAAGATCACAGTGTGATTAATATCGTTTTGTCTAATGACGTAAACAGCAAAGAAAGGCTTTAATATTACGAGCAGGTTGAATTAAAATTGGAACTGACTGCTAATGGAAAAGGTGGAAGCGGTACATTTAGTTTCACTATCACTATTATAATTCCAAATTTTGGGTATTTACGGAAATATTAGTCATTAAAATAAATTTACGGCTACGAAATAGTTTGACATTATGAGTAGTTATGAATAAAACTGCCATCGGTTACTACTATTGGTAGTTAGGAAATCATCAGTATCAATGCGTTAAATGAAAAATAACACCGGGAAAGGAATAATGTCAGTGATTATAAACGGTATTATCTATCCATAATATAGAAAGGATAGGCTTGATTTGAGGTGGTCTTTTTTCTATTCATATATATATTTAAAAGCAGACAATTAATACCTGTAATACAAAAATTTATTATTTTTACCATCTGATAAAAAACTATCCTATATCAGGCTGAAAATAGCAGGAAATGACATTCTTATTTACAAGCTACGGATGAGGTTATTGGTTGGTAACACTAAAGTCTCTAATGGTCTCTAGGTAACACTAGTTGGACTAATTTCACTGATTCGATTAAATCATCAGATACTTTTATGGATTTTCACATTTGTGAAATGCACCGTAGTCTAAGAGATTTAATGTACTTATTGTGTATTAAAATGTTATAAAGAAAGTCTAATAAATCGCTGAAATAATAGAGAAAGTATAACGTTATCAAGACTATGAATACGGTTATCCTAGAATGCCATAAATATCTACTGAGTAGCTAAAATAGTAGAGAAAGTATAACATTATCGATAGCTATACACAATGTTATCTAGAAAAAATGTAGTCAATAACGTCTAACGAATAGCTGAAATAATAGAGAAACTATAATATTATCGATAGAGATAAATAATGTTATCTAGAAAGAATGTAGATAGCATTCGTTTCAGATGTAATCGATTTAATCAGTTATATCTACCGTCTCAATTACATACAATAGAGAATAAAATTTAGGATATGAATGCTCGTATGTGGAAATTATATGTCAATTTTATCCACTTAAGAAGTCTAGCGTTATAGTTGGATGGAGTATAGACAATACGGGTAGAATCTTAAGTTGTTATTGGTGTTAACTGATTTCATGAATATTCAAGGATAATACGACCCGGATGAGCTCATGTGCAGTAGCTTTTTCTTTTAGTTTATATCATTAGTGATCTCAATCATCAATGATAGCTATTATTTCCGTCATTTCCAATTACTAAAACGGATATCTAAAACGGATATCTCCCTTTTAGTTGATTATGATTAGCTCATGACGGAATGAGAAGATTCATCATTATCATCTATCGATTGTATTCTGACTTTCTCTACTGGTCTAGACTTGTTACGATATGAAACTAATCGATCAAAATTAGGAAAGAGAAATAACTTACCATAAATATTATGTTCTTAGAATAAATAATACCTTTCCAGTAAAGTATAACAAAAACTGTAATCAATTAAAGTTTAAGAGATGAAAAAAACAACTGTCGACTATAACTATATAGCTATAGATTGGAATAGACTCTTTAATGATTAATTCATCAACCGAATTTATTCCGGGAGCTAAATGCATTGATGAACGTGTCATTCTGATGCCAGATTTTATTTTTAATCAAAGAAAATCGAATAATTTAAAGATGGAAATATTTCCCTTATTATTGATAAACTAATAAGGATGATTCGTTTGCCAACAGGAACTTCTTCAGTACTCTATATAATTTTAATAAACAAGTACATTTCCAACCAGATTTCTTGAATGAAGGAAGATCAACTAGTTTTTGAGATGGAATGATTTTCCTTAGAGTTGATCAATCAATACGAATGATCTATCGATCATCAGCAAAAAGTTACTCAGCGCATTAATCGTGCAACAAACTTGCACTTTCTGACTAGATTTATTTTCGATCAACGAAATTTGACTAATTTGCAAATGGAAATTTTTTCTTGTAGTTCATAAACTAATAGAAATAATTCGTTTGCCAGCATAAAATTTATCAGGATGCTAAATATTTTAATAGTCTTGTACTTTTTTAGCAAGATTTCATTCCTAATTAAGGAAGATCAAATGGTTTGCAGACGGGATTATTTTTCTTGCTCTTGATCAATTAATAAGAGTGATTTGCTGATTAATAGGAATTTCTTCAGAACACCAAACGTTTTAATCAATTTGCACTTCTCTAATAAGATTTCATTTATGATAAAAGAAGATCAACTAGCTTTAAGATGGAATTATTTCCCTTGTTGTTGATCAATCAAAAGAAATGATTTATTGATCAACAAGAAGTTATTTAATACATTAACCTTATAAGAAACTTGCACATTTGTTACAAGATTTCATTTCCGATTGAAGATGATAAACTAATTTTGAAATAAAATTATTATTCCCGTTGTTGATTAATTAATAGGAATGATCCATCGATGGACAAGAAGTTTTTCAGTACATTAATTGCGTAATAAAATTGTACATTTCTTAACAAGATTTCATTTCCGATCAAGGAAGATCAACTAATTTTAAGATAAAGCCATTTTTTGTAGTTACTGGTTAATCAATGGAATAGAATTAAAATTATATTAAGTCAGTCTTGTTGATGTTAAAGCAAGGTTTTACCTTTTCATGACTGCTAACATAGTCTATCAATTTGTCAATAATATCAGTTGAAAGGAAATTAATTTATTCTTGGTGCCATTGTAAAAATGATTATATAACGCCTTGTTGAACTTATACATAGGAAAAAGAGCTATTATAGCAAGAATTAAACTGATATTTTAAAGCAGTTATGGTAATCTTATCTTTACTATTGTTGGTAGTCCTTATGAATTATATTATAAAACAGTCATCATAAGTTCTAAATAGTTTCTTTATATCTTGTTTATCTTTCTAAAAAAATTTTTAATTTTTGGTATTATCCTATTAAATTGTCAATGCTAGCCCAATATCATGAGGGAAGAGGAGAATGAAAATTTCAATTAAGACGATCTTGATCTCATATCTTGTCCAACGACATCTTTAATACTGTATACAGTAATTGCAATCTACTTTATCTATATCCGATATAGAAATGGCATAATTATTTAATGGTTTTAAAATTCCGTCTAACCCTTACTCTTGAAAAATGTTATAGCATCATCATCATTGAATGAATGAGTTCAGAATGAGAATTTACACAAATCTCGCAAGACTTGAAAAAATTCAACTTAAAATGTTAGTAGGATAGAACTCAATCATCGTATTATGCTATTCAGGATAAATGATCGATGCTTGTCGATTTGATGAATACATTAATTTTAAAAACTATTAAATAATCTTTCACCATTAAACCGATTTGTAGCTTAGTAGCCAAATAAGCAATGCTTGGAGTAAGTGAAATTAGGAAGCTCTAAACGATTCTAGCGTTTCAAAGCTGTTGAAAAACTCCTTCCATTTAACTGACTTCAAAAATAAATCGGCAAGCAAATAAAATATTTAGATGTATAACCTAATATAGTAGTCATGATATTCTTTCTGTATGGTCGAGTAATTTCCTCTAGAGCTAATAGAAAACGATTTGATCGCTTTATCGATAGCAACTGGTTAATTAATACCTATAATAAAAGCGATGAGATTTTATGTGTTTGCTTTACGTGGGTTGAATTGGCTGAAGCAAATGGCATATTTATAGATAAAAATGGAAGAAATTTCAATTTATTTACCAATATTGATTGTGATTCCTACTTAATCTGTTGTTAAACCAAATAGAATGATGATTCTAATCGAGTTTAGGCTGACAACTTTTTTATAAGGATGACAACGCTTAGTCAAGTTTGCTGAGTTAGTTATTTCATAAAGTAAGCCAGTCCGACTTGTTTTTTTATAAAATAACTATCAACTTGATTATATATAAAGTAGCTAAGAACGTTTGTGAAATAATCTTTGAAAAGTTATTCCATAAATTAAACATTAACTTCTTAGTAACTTCATAACATTGGCACGGTTTTTTTATAAAATGATTGGTTAGCAGTTTGTAAAATTAGTAATGTTTTGATGACTTTATAACGTAGTTTGCTACTTTGTATAATTATGCCACTCGACCTAGCAAGCACCCTACAGGGAAAATTAAAAGTATTATTTTATGAAGACAAGATAGGAGCGACGACATCCTTCATCATCTTCTATAGAGATTGATTTCGATTGTGTCATTTCTTGATTTACTGGTACTGTATTTCTAATTGTTGCTAACATAATTAGTATCTCATCTAAGAACTTAGGATAGATTATGCGTGTACACTGTATACTTCATCAATAGAGCATGGAAGATATAAAAATTCTATGGCTAAGCTGGTATTATGAATGTTCTCTCGCCATTGCTCATGTTGCTTGCACTATTACTTGATGTATCGAGAGGCTATTTTCTATTTATTGCTAGTTGACACTGTCTCTACGAATTGAAGATATGGTATACAGTATGCTAGTTTAAATAAAAATAAGAGATCAGTTCGATTGTTACTGTGGCGCCGTTCGTTTAACCTTCATAGTTAGTGTTGGCTCTGTAAGTTGAGATATTTTATGTGGTAGTTTAAATCAGAATCAGAGTTAAATTCTGTTGCAATATTGGCGTTGTTGATAGCCTTTCATAATAACTCATAATGATTGCTCCTTTTCTTAATCTAATGTTAAATATATTTTCTAGCCCTTAATTGTTGGTGCTGCAGTACTGTATCCATGAGCTTAGGAACAATTTTATAACAAGTTAAAATGGGAAAATAAGAGATAAATATTAATGATCGGCTACTATTATTTCCTAATATTAATGGTCATGGATAGCCTATGTCTTGTACTTCCTAATGTACAACCGAGGGAAGATAGAAAATTCTTTTCCGATCAGTATTATATTTACTGCATGAGATAGAATTTAATAAGATCGTTAGAATATTCTATCGAAATGGTAAACGTGACGATGACAACAACAATGGCGAAATAATTGAGGCTAATGTCCTTTCTTTCCTACGTTTAGTATAACGTTTTTGAACGCCAATCCATGAGAAATTTTATTGTTTTATGGGTAGAATCGCTTAGTAACAAATAAGCCAAGAAATAACGATGGATAAATCAACTTTTACGTCATAAATTAAAAAGAAAATGCTCTCACGTAGGCTACCTCATTATAATAGCTCGTACGTAAAGGTTAAATATGGGTTCAAAATATGGGTGCGGCTGGTCCAATTTTTAATTTCAAAATGAATTTGTCTAATTTTATATTAAATAAATGCAATACTATAATATCACTCCTGCTTTATCAACTATTTCTAATATGAAATTGTTGATAAATCCGGAGAAAACATCATATATTTTTCTATGGAATCTTTATTTTACTTCAATGAAACATTTCAGCTTTACAATTCACCGCAATGCATGATTCCAGTATCCTTGGTCTATTGATGGCAATGGGACACTAATTGCCTGACTAAGATATCTACTATGTCCATCGCTCTAAGACAACTGACAGTTGCTAAAGATTAATTGAATTGGTCAATTTATATTTCATTGATGTAAAATGCTCATGCTATCTTCTAAAAGATTTCACCATTAATTTAACGACTACACAAACTCTGAAAAGTACCGCAGGTTTTTAGTTTTTTGCTTATTAACAGTAGCTTATGGAAAAAAAACTTTCTACATAATTGAAATATGCTGCTCAGAAATGAAGTAAGAAATGTTTAACGAATATTATATGCTTATTATAAATTTAAAAATGGAGTGACGTTAGGTAGTATGCATTCTAAAATATAAATCTTGCAGTAAATTAGGATAGGATTGGTCTAATGCATTCGTGTAATATTAATGCTCATTTTTCATTTTGTGAAGGAACGAAATAGGTTTCGGAGAGGTATTTCATCGATTTTTTGAGATATTTACAATAGAAAATGATTGCAATCAATCACTTTCGTCGATAAACTAGGCCAATTAGCTCTCTAATTAGCTAATTCATAAAGGTAGTAATAACATAATACTGAGAATTTTATAGTAAAACTAATCTACTAACGCTTATCCTAAATTAGGATCGATTTTTATGATGTTGCCTCAAGAACTATGTAAGAGAAGAACCCCGATAAACAGCAAAGAAATATCAAAGTCGCTATTATGTTGCTATGACAAAACTATCATATCTAGCTTATAACGAAACAATTTTAAGTGGATAAGTTATCTTCGCAATGTCAAACTAATCAAATGGAGAATTCAAGCCATTTAATCTAATTGATTTACTCCAACTTACCTTATCCATACTTGCGGCGTTTAATCGCATAATCGAAGCGTGAGCTAGACGATCAAAGACTGTTCTCATTGCTTTCTTGGAATACATTTCTTGAGGTTTAAATAATTCCTCCATAAAACGCTTATTAAACATGGTACCAACAATATCGTGCATTACTATGGCCATCATGAAATAAGAATTAAAAACAGAAACATATTTAGCGGATGAGCTCTCTTGCATCAAAATGGTAATACACCAATTTTAATTCCCTACTTCAAACAGTAAAATGCAATTAACATGGCTAGCATGAAAGGCTAAAAAAATATAAACCTATTAGAACCCTGTAGGAGTAATTAAATATGCTATTAGCTCGTTAAATAGATATATGGGGATGTTAAGACATTGATATTATTTTCATGGATGTCGTCAATCAAAAATGAGGATCCTTCGTTCTTTGTTAATGTATTTCTTAGAATATATTTTGATGTATTACAAGGTGAAGAAATTAAACAATCCGCTTATTCCTAAATATACTCAGAGTCGATTTTACTACTAACGAAACCATCTTTGTTATATAAGAAAATAAAGTCTTTAATCATTCTAATTCAGACGATGTAACGACGGAAAATAAACTTTCCACGTATTATCCTTATGCTGAGTAATTCATATAGTAGTAGTGATAATATCGAGCCTGCTATAGTTTTAACCTAGTATTCGTTTAATCGAAATTAGGAGATCTACTGAGAATAGAATTCGTCATCAAATACGATTTATCCATGCACAAAGAATAAAAATCATATCTTATGGTTGAATTTAGACAAAGTATTGATGATGGAATTCAATTTTCAATTTACTCTTAAACCGGATGATTTGCACGCCGCTACGGCAATTACAATGTGCATGATATAAGTATATTAATCCCTTCATCATTCAGTTGAACTTAGGAACTGCACCAATGAAGAGCAAACATTAAATCAGAACGCTTCATGCATTATGAATGAAATTCTAGCGTATAGTTGAATTAGATGATATATCGATGAAGGAATTCAATTTCAACCTACTTTTAAACGAGATAATTTATCCACCACTATAAAAATTATAATGTACGTTGTATAAGTATATCAATTTATCCATCATTAAATTAAATTTAGGAAGTACATATATGAAGGTTAAACATTAAATCGGAATTTCTCATGTGTTAAGAATAAAAATCGTAGCGTATTGTTGAATTAGATGATGCATCAATGAAGGAATCAAATTGTTAGTCTGCTCTTAATTAAATTATTAAACAAGATATTCTATCCGACAGAAGAGAAATCATAATATACATGGTATATGTATATTATTTCATTCATCGTTTATTTGAATTTGAGAGCTATACAGATGAAGAATTAAACGTTAAACTTCCGGTGTATTACAAATAAAAGTCATGGCATGTAGTTGAATTAGACGATGTATCGATGAAGGAAATTTTCAGCCTACTCTCAATCAAGGTCATCTATCCGCTACTGGGGAAATTATAATATGCATGGTATACGTATATGAGCTCATTCATCATCTATTTGAATTTGAGATTTATAAAATGGAGAATGAAACGTTTAATCGGAATTCTCTATACACTAAGAGTAAAATTAATATCTTGTATTTAAATTAAGATCATATAAGAAAGAAGAAATTAAATTTTCAATCTAATTTTATAGATAATCTATCCAGTTCGAAGTGTATTGTAAATATTATGCATATATACCAGCTTATTCATCGACTAGCTAAAATCAGACTATAAACTCATAAGAATACGGGTTAGGAATCAATCCTTAAACAAACTTAACCTAGGTGTCAATGAAGAAATGATAATAAACCTCTGCATTTGTCGTCCAGCTGGGTTGGTACGGTACTGATCAAAATATTACCCTTTAATCTGTGCTTCAATAAGATAATCCTCCTATAACGAAAATTATATCGTGTTCGCTATATATATCAGTATTAAGTATTAAATAGACGAAAAGTTGCAAAATATTTTGAACTGATATCGATCTCAAGCCTTGAACGACGTTGCTACATTACCGACTAAGACAATTAGAAAATATAAGCTGCAGTAGTCATAGGGGTAAACTATTTCGACCCATTTTATTCTTGGGAATTAAAAATGGCAACTCAAGAAGTGCGCAATTTCTATATCCATTACCAATAGAGTACAGGAAGAATTGGATCGTTGATAAGATCTAATCCAACATAAATAATTCAGGAGGAGATTTTGCAAACATTGACGGCAAGTGGCCATGGAACACGACACGAAAAGTCAATCATTATTCAATCCATGTTTTTTTCTTATTCTAAAAGTATTATGTAAATCTACTGTACCTAAATTAAGGTATTACAACAGTCGATATTTTTATATAATGTCTCTCCCTTTCGCTCCCACCCCTTGGAGATAAATTACAATTTGACGTAATTTATTGGTAGAAGGCACCAAAAGTAATAATTATTCTTGCTTTAATATTACAACTTTATGCAATGGCATAAACAGGTTCATGCTAATAGCAGAAAAAATCATCCTTTGATCAATCAGTCTAGAATAGTTATTAATCGATTTAAAAGGTTACGGATCCATTCCTATTTACAGTAATACGAGTATATATATATATATACATTTTCCATGTAAGGCATAATCTCTTTGATTCTATATATATAACTTGGACTGTGTCCAAAGATCAACTTTATTAGGGTAATTGAGTTGAATAACGAAAGAAATTATCCCTGGATAAATCATTTTCGATTAGTTATTGATTGGCATAGATAACCACAGGTATATTGCTATTTCTTACAACATCTTCTGTACTGCAATAAGATCGATAGTCATGTAGAACGGGAATCCAGTGGACATCAATTACTTTCCTGTATAACATGAAAGTTGCCAATAGAAATTTACGTCTAACACTTTGCTTCCTTAATTAATAAAATCGTGTTGTTTTTATTGGACGCTTTTAATTAGGATTCAATGATGGATAGAAAGGTCTCAGGTAAAATAAAGAACAATTACTAAAACATTTTTTGAAAAATGAAACGATTCATGAATCGATTGGCCATGAAAGATTTGTCATCATGGACTATCCTGGAATAAGATCCAATCCTATCAAGGATCGCGCCATGAAAGAGGTTTCAAACTTTTGTAAATTATTTTCTATCCTGTACGATGTATTGCTGATCAATCAACAACTCTAGTTAATTTTAAAAGACAGCTCATCAATTAAGGTCAATAAGAGTCAGCCCCATGAATCCAGCAGGAATCAAAATAAAGAACATTCTATAATTAGTAGGTGTATACTATGATTTAAAGTAACTAACTATTTTTAAAATAAAGTGAGAATGGAGCTAGTATTTGCGTTTACGTTGAAGGAATTGCATTGAATGACAAAAACTATTAGCGCTTGACTGATTAACAAAATGTAACGAATTTTATTTTAATCACTTGGAGTGGCTCAATTGATAAGTATGAAACTTGAATGAAAAGAAGAACATATACCTGAATTGCATTTATCCATAGCCCTTACATTACCCTAACATACGCCAACTACTGTAAAATCTTTTCTGCGTATCATAAATTCTACCGTGTTTTTATTATACTTTTACTGCTTATTGCCAATAGACACAATAAATTGGTCTTGAATTAAAGAAAACACTGTATGAGCCTTTTCGGGGTGGACGGATGTTCACGACCTGCCAACGAGCAGTTGCTAAACTGTTAAACTAGCCATCATGGGCGTTTTATTAGCGCCTTAATCAAGATTAATGTGGTCAGAAATAGTAAAATAGCCGATCAATGTCTGCAAGCATAGACTCATAGTTGAATGTATGCGAAAATTTTACTTTTTAAAAAGTATATTGAATGGAATAAAGGATTCATACCGTACTTATCGCTCAGTATCAATTGATATACAAATAAAGTAGAAATCGTAGTATAATTTGAAATAGTAAAATCAATGAATCGTTTTCGAGAGTTTATTTCTGCAGTAGCACGCTAACGAATTATTCAATTTCCAAGTCGAAATAGATTCTATAGTTACATATGCTATTTCTGAGATTGTCTAAATGTGGGATCTGCTCAAGTTCTGATTTTATACATAGTTGGAAAGTTTAACGAGTTTTTCTGCAAATTCAGCATAGAATATTCATAAAATAATAAAAAATTAAGAAAAGAATTTGCAAATAAATGAAATTTCAGTCATTATACATCAGCTAGATGATGACAGAGTGTCGTCGTTTAAAATCGTAACTGTGAAAGAAATAATATCGATAAATGATAAAGGATGTGCTAACGGTGACAGCAGTTAAAATAGGAAATATTCACTCTCTCGTATAGCATCTTCTACCGGTAATTGTAGATTATAGTTCAATTCTTTTCTACATTACCTTTCCTTGCTTTCTCTTGTGGTATCGATTGCGCACGTAAGCGTTGATCTAGAATGTACACCATTTCACCGCCAAGGTTGATAAACAGTAGAGGTAAAGTTTTGAGAGACATGGTGATAAAAAACAGGATAATAACGGTCTACAATCAGTAGATCGATAGGGCCTAATTGCAGGAAATATGAAAACGTGAATATAAAGTTAGTCTTTAAATGAGGATACAGTGAATGCTGTAATATAGCAGAAATAATGACTAGCACTAGAAATAGTTTATCAAACAAATTAGTGCTCGACGAGTTCGAGGTAAACTAAGTCAATGGTTTAATTGATCTACTTGCGATAGCATTGAGAATGCTTCCATTACAGTTTATGTCAATATATTACTTCAAGAAAGAATTGAAAATTTCAACTCGATTCTTGAACAAAATAAAAATCCATAACCCTTCGAATACTGGCCATACTAAAATTGATGGTATGATAGAAAGTGAGCTACCGTGATTAATTCTTATTTTTATCGCGTTGAAGCTTTAACTTGTATTTTACAAGAGATTTCAATAATCAAACTTTACTTATACAAGACTTACCTAATGATTGAAAAAGTAATAGAATAATAATCTATGTTAAGTTGTAAGAGAAATGATGGATGAATGATATCCTTGTTTTATTGGATTGGATAGTAATATTAATATCAATGGCTGGGTATCTTTTCTTTACTTGGATGACTTCTTAAAATAGTTTCAACTGCAAGGAACACCAATAATTTAAGCTTAATCATCAGGCAATATAAATATATTGGAGAATCTTTACTTATAATATCGATTCATCCGTCGTTTTAAAATATAAATATTCAAATTCGAGAACGCTTTAATATGATTAAGGAATATTATTAGGAGAAAAAAAAGTCAATTTACAATAAATTAACAATATTTACTTCGACTGCCTATCATATAGAGCTAATAAATTGTTTGAAAAGAACGCTTAATCAATATCTTAATTGATTCAAAACTATCTAAGAAGAAAATGTTCTTTCTAAATCAAGTAAATTATACATACATAGCTATCGATCGAGTGCATTGATCTTTTATTTCTCTCCTTCTTTGGGCTGCTTTTCAGCTCAATCGTTCTAGCGTTGACGTATTGTTCATGGGTAAGAGAACAGGCCCTCAGACAAGCTATTTATACAACCAATTGAACCGATTGGATAGTGGATTTAATAGCAAGCGTTATGGTCTTTATTGCATAGAAATTACCTATTACTCTGGGATGTATCTGTCAATGGATAGAAAATGGATAATTGCATACTCTATCTACAATCAAGCCAATAACGGCTACAATTGGGTATTAACTCATAATTGCCGATCTATTGTCCGGTCCTGCGCAATCCTTCCACAATAGTTAGTTAGAAATACTGTCGGTAAATTCATGTTAGCATGAAATATTTCATGACTGCCCATAACTGACTAAGGCAGAGTCAATAGAAGAAGCCTATCATGACATAAATAAACTCGGCAGGTTTGCAAAGAATGGACTTGTAAAATAATATACGAAGACGAGCCATTTAAACTTGCTTGATTCGTTGTCAATATCTCTTATACAAATAGAACTCATTAGTCTACGATGTTACTATAGCAACTGCAAGCAATGCCTGAGGATAGTGTTTTAGAATGGGCTGAGAAATTCGATTGCTCAATACATTATTCGGTCCTAGTCATAATTTTGATATAGACCTCGCTGTGGAACCCTATGACAATATATATTACTTTATGTATCTTAAATGATTTTATTTGTATCTGCATAACTATAAATAGAAGGACTACGGATAGAGTAGTTGTATTGGTCATGTATTGCCTATTTGGACATCAGAGCCAATTCGTCCATTACTGGACGGCAGCGTACACGGCATATACATACTTAAAGGTTATGCTATAGAAATTCAACATCGAAGAAAGATACGTAAACAGAGATAAAGCTTTGGGCTATGTCAGTTAATTGCTATTGAAATGCAGCATAACAGTAATTTTGTAATTAATTATTAGAGCAGAATCAGCCTCGATCCAATCCTGGTTTAAATGACGTCTTGCCCTGAGGATATCCATCTTAGCCAATGTTATGCCATGGAAATTCAGCATTGAAGTGAATATGCATCGACAGAGATAGTACTTCGAGCTGCGTTAGCTGATGTCCATCAAAGTGCTGCATAAAAATAATTATTAAAGCAGAATCAGCCTCGATCTAATCCTATTTTAAATGATGTTATGACCTGAGGATATTCATTAGCAGATTGAGCTGACTAGGGGCATTATGTGATAAAATATTTAAACATTGTTTTTAGCAATAGATCTCGCCATTAAACTGTTTTCGGATATATCTTTCATTAGGATAAGCCAATTGCATGTATCGCCCGATAGAATATTTAGATTTACACGATATTTTTAGTAACAAATCATTTTATTAAATTGTTCTTCGGAATCATTTATTGGAATGAACTAATTGGATGTGTAACTCGACAAAATATCCAAATGATAGTTTATAGCCATAGATCTTGTGATTTAAGTGTTTATCAGATACAAATTTCTTAGTGTAGGCTGATTGGTTGTAGTACTTATTAAAATATTTAGATTTTGACGAAATTTTTAGTTACCGACCTTGTAGATGCGTCGCTCGATAAAATATGAAGATTTGACGATATTTTTTTGTAATAGTTCTTGTTATTAAGCTATTTATCAGATACAGGTTATAGAATGAACTACTAAGATGTAGCTCTGTATAAAAATTCAGATTTAGACGCCACTTTTAGTAATATATCTCTTTATAAAACTATTCATCAGATAAACTGTTTATTAGAATGAGCTAATTCGATGAATTTATCTATGAAATATTCAGATTTAGATATTATTTTTAACATTGGGTCTTGTAATTAAGGCCATTTAAATATGTTAAAGAATGTTTCGTGTATACGTATTTCTATAGCTGCAATAATATAATTATAGCCAATAGAATTCAGGAAGAGTGTGCAGCAAGGCCATAGTTTGTGCATGTATTTAATAAAAACAAACAGGTCAAATAATTGAGGGCGGTGTAAAAGAAAACATTTGAGCTACATCATAAAAATTTAGCATTGATTTTGATGTGTACAAACTGGTGTATTACTATATTAAATAGGTATCACTTGATGCCGATTTTAGATCTTTCAAACATAAAAAATTAATAATTTTAGTTTAGCTTGACTTTAATCCTCTTTAAGAAATTTGCTTTTACTGAATAAATAGGTATACTAAATATAATACATCATTGCTGGCAATGATATAGAGTATTTCAAGTCAAAATAGAGGTAATGATAGCTACTTCATAAAGTTTAAGAGTATTTACCTTAGGTTACAGTAGTATCGCCATCAATTGACCCGTGGTATTTTATAGAAATCTTATTTATGCTATTGCTTACTAAGCACTTTTTAAATTTGTTGATTAATCTCTTCATTAACGTGCACAGCGTCGTATATTGAATTGGTGTTAAGAAAAGTCATATTCAAATTTTTTACTTCGCCAGAATTCAATTGATTCACAGAAGTTCGATACTAATATATAAGTCAATATACGATGACAAATTAACTATTTTAGTTCTATATAATTTAACTTAGTCAAAACCTATTTCATTTACTATAAAGTAATCATGTTTCTGTATGAACAACAGCAAACGTTTCTATCCTTGGAAAGGCTACTAGAAGTCAATAAACTGCACCATAGAATACTAGTGCTGACGGCAAGGACCATTGTACGTAAATGTTGATCTGTTATTCTGTTATATTCGATAAATTGACGATGAGTAAATTAGAGCAGTGCCAATTGTAATCGTACGAGCGTTTAATTCTATCATGTAACAGTATGAGCACCTTCTGAGTTGTTCGTTAGTCTAGGTTACAAGGCACGTAGATCAGTTACGGTACCGATATCTTGATTTAAGAACCCAATGGATTCTAGTCTTAACAAAATTAGAGAAAGAAAGACAATATCCCAGATATTACTGGAAGTATAAGCATCTTGTTTCCTACTTTACAAACGGAACTAATCAGTTGGTTCAACTTCATCTATTTTATGATATACGAGTATTTCCTAAGAAATATAGCATAATGGCATCAGGTTCCATGTCTAAATGAAATTGGTTGACTTCAGCATATCATACCTAGAAATTTTTCTTTATTATTTAGATACATAAATCTTGAATAAAGCATATGATGAAATTTATAAAACTTTTAAAGCAGTAGTTTACAGTGAGCAATTGTCTCCGTATCAGGAAAAAGTCTTCATGCAAGCTATTACATGCTAAGCCATATCGTAACACTGATTCTCTAAATCCTAAGCAACACAGTGAGGATATAAAATTATGAGATGTTTACATTAATGTTTACGTATACAAATAATACTTTAAATAGCAAATTTTGATAATACAGTAAAATAAGCAAGCACTAAGCATAGTACACTGATATTAACAATAATAGCGGCCAATTTTACGCTGTTCGCCATCACTGATCATTACCACGCATTTAAATATTTTTACCTAGAAGTTGGATACTTAAATTATTAAATTGGTAAGAATTTTAAGAGATGAGGAATACTTATTTTTCCTAATAGAAATTAAAATATAATGCTAAACTTCAATTTATGATACGTAATACGTATATCACGAATAGAAGAATTAAGCGATAGTCACGTTTATGAGTCAGCAACAGTTCTGCCATAACCTTAACTTCAGTCAGTAATTAAGGAAAAACACTATACAAATATTAAGATGATAATATAAACATTTCCAGCATCATTTCTTTCTTATAGTTAGTTTCCAGATTCTTAACGCAACAGCTAAATGGTGGAAAAGTTACTAGTTGATAATTTATTGCAGTTTTGGTCTTCTACGCGGCTTTGAAACTCGAAATCGCTCTTTGATCTTAGCCTTATTTTCATCCAGTTTGCCTTGAAGTATTCTTATTTCTGATAGCAATTGCGATGACGAATTTGTTTCTTGCACGCGGTCTCCAGAACCTGATAAATCCATCACTTTGATTTCGATTTTATTTTCTTTAAGCGCTTTCCGATGCCAATAATTATCAGAAAAATAATTAACCCTATCATTAGATAACTGCTTTAACTGACAATTGAGTTTATACATCTGTAATCGGATTAGCCAGTGTTCCCAAATTAGTTGACAATCATCTGCTGTAATGCGGATCACTGTTGCAGGCTGACCATCGTTGTAAACAATAACGATAGCTACTGAATCGACCTACACACAGAATTTGCTTAGTTAGTACATTTACTTAGGTATTTGTAAGACTCAAATTATTCACTTATTAAAATTTAGACGTTAATTATCCTACAATAAGATTACTAAAAATCTTACAAGTTGCTCATTATATTGGGCATTTGACAACCAATTTGTAACTATCGAGAGCGAATGAGCCATACTGTAGATACTAGCATGTATTCGAAAAGTATTTTAAGTTTACCTGAAAAGGGTAATTAAAGTCTTGGTTTATGGCACCTGCATATGCAACTGCTTGGTATGGATAATCATAACAATCGAAAATGGAAAGTTTAGGGTTCTTAGATGTTTTCCAATCGAAAACGCATGTTTCACCTCTATCAATAACATACAGTTGTAACCAGTGGAATAGAACTTAATATTAATTTCAATAGCTTTATTTATGTAGTAGTAATCATTAACACCAAGCAAGACGTGCTATTTTTATTATTTACGTTACCTAAATTGTGCTACAGCGTCCACCGTACCCGCATAACCTAGATTACTATGCCAAACACAACTTTCCAAGGCGTGGACTTGTGTGACTTCATCGAGTACATGAGATACACTATGCCAGTATTCTGTTGTCTTAAAATAGTCTATCAACTCTTTATCACTCAGGTAATCTCTGATTAACTAGATAGACAAATGAAAGAACTAAAATTAACACCATAGTCGTGTATGTACTAATTGTACTTGCTTAACTATTTAAACCCAAATTATGCAAACAGATCTATAACGATTGTAAATAATTTAGTTTTTAGTATTTTACTTCATGTAATGAGTGGCCACGTTTACGAATTAGATCAACGTATTTTCGAAGTTCATTTTTTCCTAATGACTGGACTAGCTTCTCTTGTTCAGGTGTTAATTCTGCAGGCAAGCCTTGTTCTCCCATCTCATTCTCCAAGACATCCAAACGCGTTGTTGTTAATAGGTGAGTTTGCTCAACAAGCTCTGCCCAATTACTACCTCCGTACTCCTTATCTTTCAACTTATCAAGCTTAGCAGTAGCCACCTTTTCTTCTTCGTCTACCGAGACATTAGTTGTTGTAGATGTCTTATGATACTCCAAATGACCTAATTGCAACTGTGCTTTCTGCTTCCATTTTTGTATTCGTATATAATCACCATACGACATGGAATTTTTTAAGATTGTTGTCACACTTGCTAGCTTATTCTCCTCATCGGTATACGTAACGTCTCCATTATGACTCTTTTGCTTTGGTAAGGTGATACAGATAGGACGGGTAAACTGTAAGGGATCATCAATATTACTCTGCTCAACTTTGCTATTAGGCTTGAAAGGATATTGAATCTTAGGGACTGTGCAATAGCGAATATTACATATCCATGATAGTATAATCTTTGGGCTAGAATAATTTTTGATCCGATGATACAGCTTACTTGTTGCAAGATTGTGAGATAATGTAAGTAACATCATGGCAAGGTGATGATTATTGTAGTATAATGGATGGACTTGATTGTAAATTATACCTAGCAGATGCTTTGCAAGCTACAGCTTTATTTCCGTGTCATCAATAGTTAACATGGAGGATATTTGATGTGGTTGAAGGACAGTTGGATTATGTGCATTAATTGCAATCAATTTTCTGCCGATCAGCGCGGGATAGAAATTGTCACGCATTCTTTAATGCCTAATTAATAATCCCTGTACTCTATATTTAGTATAGACTCAATAAGGCAAGAGACCGTAGTATGAGTAGTGCGAATTACAGTACTGTACTTACTATGCTGTACTATGCTATTGAGGTCATGGAGACTGCACCGTACAGCTAACCATCTAAATTAGTATTTTTGGTTCACTTAGCTGAAACTGGATTTGTCGTATTTACCTTTTTTTTTTTTAACTAGACATATTCTTAAGGGCATAATACACCAGTAGGACAGTTTCAGCTAAGTGTACCAAAAATATTAATTCAGTTCGATGGATCTACACTACTGTACAACGCTGTTCATAACTAGGCCTACTGCGTAGAGATAGTATTAGCAACTTTTACTTGTTTTTTTTTAATCGTTGGATATATACAGGAACATTTATTATTGGTTTCATTCTCATTTCATCATGTTACGAATTTTTTTCTGAGTACACTACTGTATTTGTACCATACTTTTATTATTTCACCTTAATTAACAGTACCAAAAATTACTGTACACGGTGTCTCATAAGTATTTCCCACTGTTTGAAATTATAATTTCAAGTCCTTCCTTATTAGACAAATTTGGTATCATTTGATTTGTATGACAGTAATTTTTGCCAGCAGAATACAGTACATACAGTACAGTCCGTATGGTATGAGCATGCGTAGATCGGTTTAAGGGCAAATCATTAAATTGGGGCAAAATTAGGGGCATTACCTTAAATGCAAAATTTAAAGAAGGGTATATCATTAATTTTCCCTATTATTTATTGTAGTGCACATATATTCCTTATTTCTTGATGACTCTATTATTAGTCTAAGACTCTACTTATCAAAGTATACAGAAACGTTATTGCTGTCGAAGACAGTGCAACCACAACGCTGGTATGATATAGGAACAGAGGCTTACAGAGTAACAATGTACATTTAATGACAATCTACGGTCAGAAAACTTTATTTGTTCTTCTGCTCTGTTCTATGAAGTTGTGCATTTAATTTATATTAATAATAGTAATCCTCTGTACCACAGATCCTATTAGTTAAAAATCTCTACAACTGAAAAGTACGGTAGAGAAAGGTCCTGAACTTTTTACAGTGACCTATTAATTTTGTGTGCTGGCTGATTAGCAGTTATACGCGTAGACTATATTTTCTAGTGTAAGATTGCTTCACATCTGATTTGCTAGCAGCATTATACCATGTAGGTTACGAGCAATGAGTAGAATAGGATATATATAAAAATTAATCGATCAATGGATTCAATTGCAGCTATTCACGTAGTCTTTAGTAGCCAACAGCATTGTCATGAATGTAGGCAGAGGTAAGAAAATAAATTTGCAATACAAGTATAGCCCATAAAAAGACATAGGTTATGGTCATGAAGTTCAGGATATAGAATAACGATACATTCGATACATTTCCGGAAAGCAATTATTCCGTTTGCGTTTTATTTATTAACATCTTAATTTAGATTCGATTGTAGAGCGTTAAACTAGTCCATTCGCATATCTGCTACTATGTACTAGAAGTGCACTGTTATAAATGAAGTTTTACCCATCAACAGCAGTCGTAGATATAAAAAGACTAAGGAGAGTAGAAATGAACAATAAAAAAGTCATCCGCACTCTGAAATCATTGTACTAATTATTACACTCACAATATTGTGATCTTTGCTACTACTGTATAACACGTGAAAAGGTCACAATGTTAGCCGAATTAAAGCCATAATATAAATTAGTCACTCATTCTGCGAATTTCTAGACGTAGCCTAATACAGCACGATAATTAATACATATACAGTATTTAGAGTATCTAAGAGTACCAAATGTATAAAAAACACGGTCTCATACACATTATTAATTAAGTCATAACCTAGGCTCCATTGTGCTACAATATTGACAACTCACTTTATCACCTAATTTTCGGAGTTTCTTTAATATAATGCGAATAAAGCAGTGAATATAATCGAAATTGTGAAAATTGATAATCCTGGCGGCAGTACCCATCAAAAGTGTCGTTCAGGCACTCTACAGCAATAGCTTTACATGAAGCATGCTGGACAGAAAGCAAAATAAATTGTAATAGGTTATGCTAGGCATTTATATAATGATAGGGATAACGACAACTTACTTCGTTTGCAAATAAAGTCATGACAAAGCTTCCAGGTTTGAAAATATTGATAACAGTTTCTATCATATGTCTGTAGGAACTCTATCGATCAATTACACCATTTTAGTTTCAATATGAAATGGGCATAAGAACTCAGCTGCTATCGAAAACTATGAAATAATGTTATTTCTTTTTAACAGTATGTGTATACATTGCAATTAATTCTAAAATTTTATAAAGTAAATTAAAATACAAGAATAAAGCATAATTACTCTAGTAATTACTACCTGTGGGTAATTAGTTTCAAAGCTGACGTATGAGCAACAATGTTGCGGAGTTACATGAATGGTAAAGTAGAAATTCTGAAACGAATACAGGAAGGCAAATTACAGATTTTACTTAATGAATCTTTTATTGCAATTTAAAGACGCTATGGTGGCAAAGGCTTGATAATAACTAAATTGCATATTTACATACGTTGACAACTCCATTTATTGAATAACCGCAAGGATCGAATAATTTTGCATCGATTGTTGCACCTGGCACTAAATCTGCAATTCCCATTTCCTGTTTCGTATATTAGGGTCACAGTTATGCTACGGCAGACTTTTTAACGTACATTTAGTAAATGTTAACAGCAATATTCTGGCTCAAGATTCATTACGTACCTTAGCAATTTCTTCACCGCTCTGCTCACCTATAGTAAATTTAGCCATTACAGACGGATCCAAGCTAGTCATTAGGATGTGAATATATGTTAAGGATGAGAAACTATTTTTCAAATTTTCTTCTTACAAACGTGACTAATAATTCTCAAAATAATCAGTCGCGACATATTTGCTGAGAATAAGTTAATTAAAAAAAGCAGTGTACAACTAGATATCTCTAAAGTTTGATCTGGAAATTCCATTCCTGTTTCAGATTCCAGGGTGTACAAGTACCTTCAATATAACAGAATAATTTATTATTTCTCGCCTGAAGGATCGATTGTAGCATAAAACGTAAAAATTTGGCAGCAAAGTATACTGCAATTACCAGGTATCGCCATTTAACCGTCCTAGTGCGTAAGCAGCTCCATCTTTACAAAGTAATAAAAGAACGCGGGATATTATATTAACAGTAACAAAGTAGCCTTATCTATGCTATTCTTTCGCCATTGACCATTAAAGATTAGCTGAATATGAGACAGAGTCAAGTTCAATGAAACTTACTTTCAAAAAAATTCTCGAGGGTGGTGACCTACACATTAAGTAAGATAGCTGCAATATTAGTTATGTACTAATACCAGCAATCAATATTTTGTCATGCATTTATGTTATTCAACTAATAGCTAAACGTTACACTTAAGAATTAAAAAAGCCGTGAAGATGAAATATTACGTAACCTCAGTATCGAAGCTATTGTGTGGTCCTTTCTGCAAATGAGGTTGTTGAAACTTGCGTCTAGAATAGAAAGCGTTCTACCAATTGACAGTTCATGCAGTCATATAGTAAAGCACATATCACCGTTAGTTAGAAAGCAAGCATGCTCTTAAAGGTGAAAGCAACAAGGACAGTTAAATATTAGTATTACATTAAAATATAGGCTTTATTACCTCTACAATATCAAAATTGCACTTCTCCTTAGCTAGCTTTAATAAAGGTGCGAGAGCATTAAGCAATGTTGTCACTCCACATGTTTTCAGAATAAAACGATTGGAAGATACGAACAAACTGCTTTCGCTGTAAGATATTTTAAATCAAGGAATGGTTAATTGAACTGTACATCAAATATACGTCATGTACGCAATGTACTCAATGATTTGAATTTGGGCATCCATATAATGGATTATAAGCAAACCTCAAAAGGTAAGCAGTAATATCATTACTGGAAACTTCGCTTAAGATAGAGCAGTTGGCATACGTCAAAAGTTCTGACCAGTCATCTCTGTAATAATAAATGGATTGTTTAGTGATATGCATTATAGGTGCACAGCAATTAACTCATAAAAGCAAGCTTTTGAAAATTTACTGCAGCATGAATTTTGTTACATCCACTATTATTGTTATATGTGTGTTTCTCTACATCTGTCATTACCGAGGGGAAATTATCTGCAAAGTACAGCAGTTTTGAACGTAACGTATACACTATAGAATAATTGTACATCTGAACAGAGTAACTAGCTTTACATGTTGCCAAACAAATCATATACAATTGTAAGGAATGAACGGCAGGAATCAATTAAGTCATTACGTATATATATAATGAAATGGCGCATGTCTCAGAACACAAATTAATATGTACAGACAAACATTAGTTTAATAACAATGTTTGCAAATTCATAAGAATTGAATCACTATGATGACATGATCGATTTCATTTAATTAAAAAGGGCAAGCGATGTTGCTATCTTACACCCTCACGTTCAAGTACGCCAACTTAGCAGAGCATAGTATCGACGTTATGTAACAGTACTGTAGGTATAGTAACGGCAGTACGTGTAAAATTTATAACTATAAATAATCAAGCATATACAGTAGTATGTATAATAGATAATACTGTAACAATAATAGCCATCTGCCGTAATCAAAACACGATGGAAAATGAAATGATATCATGGACTTTCTAATTTTAACAAAATAATATGCCGTATACCACTTTGCATACAGCCGCAGCTTCTCGTATCATCGCATAGCAGTACTTTTTATGTTCTTCGATCATCTTCCATGTCTGATGTTGATATTTCGCCCAAACATACTGGATATCAGTTTAGCTACAAAAGATGTACTGTACTATCAATGAATAAGTAATTCTATGTTGTATATGTATAAATATACGAGTATATAATTATTGTTATACTGTAATAAAAATTATTATTATCGCAATGATGGCACGATCTTTTAGTGAACTATCTTTATCGTCTAGTTTATGTATCAGATCCATTTGTTCAAAAGTTGTTGTATAATTAATTTGTAGAATCATTGTTAGAATTTAAGGATTGGTTTACTTACTACTATATACGTGTAGTACATAATATATAATGTATTTATTATGTGTGTATATATGTATATCTATATAGATACGCGTGTATCACAATGAATCAATTAATACATGATAGTAGAATATCATTGTCATCGACTCCTAGGTAACTACGCCTATTTCATTTTTAACTGGCAATATCTTGATTTACTTTGAAATTTCTCGTAAGTCATGTACTCGTCCATCCTGAGTCGATTGCGTACTGTCCGAAGAGGCAAACCAGATCTCCAATAATTTCTCGGTGCCTTCAAAAAATGCCTGTTGTGTGGACATGGTGATAGGTTACTGATTGGAATCGATCGATGTTAGACAATCTATATCTATACTGTAACTACTAGACCCAATGATGCAGCGATAAAGTAATGATTAGCAAATCATGCTATTTTGATTTCCTGTCAATTCTTTTCGAAAGTGCCAAAGTTAGCTGGTACTCTATACATGCGTAAGATTTGCATATCCAAAATGAACTATTGCGACAGTCGATCACGAATCAACAGGCATGGTGGACCAATGACTGTACAGTACAGTATGCTCCACTTGAGTACTGTACATTGATTCATCCAGTTTCCTTTCACTGCGCTGCAGTATACTGTACTTTATAACTGTATAGCAATACTGTTCAGTACTGCCATGCCAGTACAGTGCCGCGAACTGTGCTGCGCAGACGTGCTATACAGTGGACAGTACAGTACACAGAGTACAGTACAATATACTGTAGGAACCTGTAATACTGTACAGTACTGTACAGTACAGTACAGTACAGTACCGTACAGTACACAAGTTGGCATACTGTATTGTACTGTACTGTACGTACAGTACAGTATGTACTGTAAAAAAATAGCAATGCTGTTTAGTACTGCCAGTACAGTACAGTGCCGCGAACTGTGCTGCGCAGACGTACTACACAGCGGACGGTACAGTACTGTACACAGAGTACAGTACAATATACTGTAGGAACCTGTAATATGTACTGTACTGTACGTACTGTATCAAAATACCAATACTGGTTCAGTACTGCCAGGACAGTGCCGCGAACTGTGCTGCGCAGACGTACTGTACACTATACATTACAGTACATTGAGTACAGTACAATATACTGTAGGAAGCTGTAATATGGACTGTACTCTATACTGTACTGTACTGTACAGTAGTACAGTACTGTACACTAGTTGGTATATTGTACTGGACAGTACTGTACTGTACTGTACTTCATTCAAAGTTTTGACACACGACCGTACAGTACTGTACTTAGAGTCCGTACTGTTCTGTACAGTGCTTTCTTACAATTTACAGTACTGTATCTATTGACATGTACTGTACACTGTACAGTACAGTACTGTACGGTACAGCAGGACGTTGATGTTATCATGATAATCCATCTTCGGAGATATCTCCTTCTATGGCGTACAGTACAGTATACAGACAAATACAGTACAGTACCGCATCGTCCAAAGTACCGCTGAAAAATCTAAAGTGATCATTCCAAGTTCTACCCCTTTGGAACTTCATCAATCGTACAATTATAATAGGATTGTATGGAGTATGGAAGACTGCTGTACGGTACCGTGTCGGTTTTCGAAATCACTGGTACTCATTGAAGTAGCAATAACGATCTTAGATAACTGTTTCCAAGCTGAACTTAGTAACAGTTGATAAGATTCAAAGTAATATTTCTTACTTAATGTAGAAAAAGTCAGCCAATTTAAAATCGATCGTCTCCATACTAAAGTATTGCCATCATGAGGTGTTTGGTACAATATATTGACGAGATGAGGCCAAAGGTGTCTGTCAGCCCAGGTCTCCATCTGCTACGGTTGCCCGTCTATCTGTGACATGGACTCATCGTGTGCAAAATTGAACCCTAGTACAGTACAGTACGTACAGTACAGTATCAATAGTCCATCAGTGACGTCAGTCATGCTTTCAAATAGTTGCGGTTTTGAGCGGCATTTTTTCATTTCTGTACCGTACAGTACAGTACTATGTACTGTACCGGGTTGTTACAAAGACCCTTCTTTTGGGACACAATACAGTACAGTACACAGTACTATACAGGAATAGACTGTACGGTATCATACAGTACAGTGCAGGACTGAACCATGGAAAAGCTACAGTACAGTACAGTATCAGAAAACCGAACCCATCACCACACCGTATAGCAGCACAGTACAGTCTTTTTTTCTTTTAACTGTAACTCGTGGACAGTGCCGCGGTCCCGGCAGAAGTTTTACAGTCTACCGCCTACTATTTCTTCGTTTTTAACGCGGGCATCGACACGTATTACCCCCATGTACCCAAATTGTTGCCTTCCCTATCCGACAGTACAGTATACGAAATCCACATATCGTTTCCAAGTTCAGACAGTCGTCCGTTCGTGTTATGCTTAGACGTTCGGACTCCGGACCAAAAGTGTTTCCAACGTTTTGAAATTTTGAAACGATTAATTAGAAAACGATCCATTTTATTTCCTCAATCATTTCTCTTTATAGATTGGTGTTTTTAGCGTAAAAAATTGCGTCGGTTAATTTGTGGATACGATGGCAAATTTCGATATGAACTTCGTCAATCAAGTTTTTCCCACCAAACCTGATAAGGTCAAGGAAGAGGAAACTGCCAAAGTGGATGATTTATTGGAGGTAAAACGTAATAGGCGTGCGCTTTTTCAACGTGAAAGACGTAAAAGGAGGAGTTTAGATCAAGTGTTACTGGACAGAAAGAAGGACGCAGAAAGGAAAAGGGTTCGAAGATCAAAAAGAACAACGAATGAAATTGAACGAGATCGAAAACACGACGCCGAACGTAAGAAGCTAAGACGAGCTGCCAGAACACCGGAAGAAATTAGAACTGATCGTAAGAAAGATGCCGATAGAAAGCGACGTAAAAGGGCTGCTAGAACTCAAAATCAAATTGAGGAACAAAAGGAAGCAGATCGTCAGAGAAAACGACTCAAAAGAGCAAGTAGAACGCCGGAACAGATTCAGCTTGATCGAGAGAGAGATGCTAAAAGAAAGAGGATTAGCAGGGCTCTTAAAGCGGCGCAACGTCACGCTGACAAACAACGCCAGGAAGGGATTACCGATACCGCAGCAGCTACTGCCACTGCCAAGGTGGAGCAAATGCCAGCAACTGAACAATCTGAACCACACGATATAGCCAATAGCGTAAGTGCAGGTGATATGACCTTTCGAACAGAGTATGTTGAAGCTTACACTGATCAAGTTATGCCAGATTCTTCAGTCATCGATAGCATTGTTGAGATCTCCAATAACGGCGAAGATCATACCACAACTATGGAAACCGTAGCTGAAGGTGATATTGCCCAAGATAAAACAACCACTACAGAAGCAGCAGAAGTACCAAAAGGTCAATCCAAACGAAAAGCACCAAATCAAGCTGCAGCGAAGAAAGGCAACAAGAAATCAATCAAAACATGATAAATATATTTATATCTATTTAGTCCAGTGATACGTCCTTAATCGTAACTATTTCAATAATTAACTTGACCGTAATCCTATCCAGTTATCTCAAGTCATAGAGACGATACAGCAATAAGAAAGAGTGCTATTTTGCAGAATTATTACAATGGATTGGAGTTTTTTTAAGTTATTGCTAGAAAAATCATTGAGAATGCATCAATTTGGCCTCGATTCCAAAATTGGATACTTGTTGACTATACTTTACGCAATCATTACCCTTGACATGGTACCCTAGTGCCGCCGCTGTTGTTCAATGTCAGTATTGACGAAGAAAATGGCGTAATTATAATTATGATACGTTCATTCCAATCAACCAATTTTTTACAAATTGTAATTATTTCTACGCCACCTGCATCAACTCATCGTCAGATGATATAGAAGTACGTATGCTATTTGATGTGTTTATAAAATTGGTAAATGGTTCCTAACTTTATTGTACCTAAAGATATCGTGCAGTCAAGGTTCTGTTGCAGAACTTTCGCGTAATAATTGTAATTATAATTAGCTATAACCTTGTACTAATTTTTTTAAGAAACGGTCGATTGTGAAAAGTTTTAGTGACTTGAATAATCACATGATGTTAATAAATAAATTTATTTGTATATCCTGTTACAGTAAATGCTTTATGATCACAATGATTTTTAAAATTATCAAATAACGATGCAATCTCAGTAGAATCCTGCTTTGGATAGTGAATGTTTAGATTTAATACACTTTTTTTGTGCGATATAGTAAAGCAGACAATTTATTGATTTCTCTACGGTAATTCATCCAATTATTGTATTCTGTTATTTCGGTGAAACTGTTCACGGTATCGTGAATTATTAATATTATTGCTAAGAAATTCCTATTGGCAATGCTTCACTTGATTATTCACTAATTAATGAATTTAATGCTATGATATAATAGATGAAGTTAAATCTAGCTACTATGTAGACGAACGCGAGTATTATACTAATCTAGCTTCGGTAGACACTCGCATATACTGTAGTATTTCTAGCTTTTAACTTGTTATTATGCCTATCTTCACTGTAATGTGTGTAATAGTGTGTATGAAAATACATTCATGCAGTACACTCAGGATGCTTATGCCTATCTGATATTATCTCAGCTGAATTAGTCACTATCATATCATGAAGCTCTGCAAGATTTACATTTTCTCAATGGCAGCTGAAAATCCGGTTAAACCTTAATGTACTGTAACTATACGTCTAGCTTGAGCAAACGGTAAATTGATCCAAAATAGATTTTTCCTTTAGCACAAACTGGAGTTATCAGTTTCTAGTGTAGCAATATTATTTATGACAATGTTATTATTACAAATTTATATACCGAAGTCTCCGCTGTACTTTACAGATTTACTGGATAAGCTGGGTGGCTATTATTGCATGAGCAGTATGAATTGAAACGATGAATTGTAGGCTAAAATTCTATCAATCCCTATTGTATTTTTATAGCTTGCGCGGACAGTAAATCAATCTCATACAAGCGCTTTACTTTGACGGTTACTTTACGAAATACGATGATTATAATTATAACCTGGATCACGTATAGGCGTAATTAATTAATTATAGTCGTATAAGTATTCAAGTTTTTATTATCGCTGGGGTTATCAGTTAGACTGGTTCGTTATAATATGACTCCATTTTATTACTGAAGTCGACTGCACACCATGGATTTACTGAATAAGCTAGGTATTCTTGCATAAGCATGATTATATGCAATTATGAGCTAAAATTGTGCCCAGCTTTGCTGTAACTCGTGCGTTTTTAACCCTTATTACGGTTACTGTGAATGAATTCAATTTTTGGGGGAATTAGAATTATCAGTTTGCGATATACTCATTTGTTACAATACTATTATACGTACTTTATTTACTGAATTCTCCGTTATACTTTGCACAATGAATTTACTGAATAAGACAGTTTTAATCTGGCAACTGCTAGTTGTGATGCAACCATGAAAGTTAATTAATGAAGTTTGCGGTATACGATTCTATTGCATAGTAATAGTCGAAAGATACAGCACAGTACAATACGTGTACTTAGCTTTTGATGATGCTACAATTGCAAACTAGTAGTTTGCAATTGAAATCCCTGAGCTAGATCAACTCCACAATGCGACGGAGCTTCTAGCCGACGAAATATAGCAATATCAGTCATATTCCAAACCTGGATTAACGATTGATCAACTTCTAACGACTTTACATATTTTGGAAAGTACTGCCTTACACTATATATGCGTATTAAGTTAGCAATTCGATCTGAATGGGGTCAGAAAAATTTTAACTGTATCCGTTTTGCATAGGTTATCAAATAGCTCGTTGTAGTAATAACCTGAACCTCGTTGCACTGGTGTGGTGTGGGTAAAAAAGATAGAAACATAGAGGTAAAAGAAAGTGCCATAAAAACTTGTTTCTTTCTTTTAGCTGTGCTTCCTAGTCTAGTCTAGTTCAGACTGGTCCTTGCAGTCTTGACCAGTCTTTCTGATCATTTCGAAAAGTATGACTACCGCAGAGCACTTTAATTAAAGTACAGTACTGTACTTTAGAGCAGAGAAACACTGACAGTGACCTCAGCGTCTTGGTCTTATCCGCCTTTTAATTTTTGTCAGCGAAATGGTGTAGTCCGGTCCAGTTAGGGAATTTTAAGAATACCCAAAAGTCTCTGGTCCTGGAAGCATCTAGTTGGTCAAGACCCATCTAGCCATATACTGTAGTTAGAACTAAAGAGAATGGAACTTTTCTCTTCAACCTCTATAAGATTGTACGATATAGTATACTGTAGTGCACGGTGATCGGCGGGCCTCCAACTTTGTCAAGATATCATTTTGCAAAGTTGCTTAAATTCAAGAATTTGATATAAATTTGTTATTTTTGCGTATACCTGACTCCAAGAGCAAACAAACATTCAATCAAATTGAACTAACGGTGTTTAAATACGTACAAACGTCCCTGAAATGTTAAAATAAAAATTATACATAACGAATATAAACATGCAATAAAATGTTGTACTGATATACACTACACTAAGCTGTAGTTAGGGTAGACCATGGTACAGTGTACGTATAGCACTGTGCTATGCGTTGGACTACTAGAAGAAGGATCAATCATTCTTGGACGGACAGACCTTTTCGGCCTCATTTCGTCAAAATATTGTTTCAAACACTTCGTTATGATACTACTGTACACTACATTAGCGAGCAGGCGATCGATATTATAATGACTAAATTTTCTAAATTAAGTAAGAATATTATCCGTTTCTAAGTTCTGATTGGAAATAGTTATACAAGATCTTAGATGTTATTTAAGTTAGTACTGATTAGTCATTCATGTAGGAACGTTTTACTAATTTAGAAAACAGATGCGGAAAATTCTTACCAAGTAGCCATTTTTGTCGATATTTGCCGCCTAATTTAGTAAGAAAGGTCCGTCTGTCCGAGGGAGTGACATACTATGTGTGATATGTATGTCTGTCTCTAAAAAGGGTCTCTACTTGTAGATGGTCCGATCAGACTTTTTCTAGTGTATGTAGATCCAGATTTAGCCATTTTCAAATTTAGTGTTTCACACACCTCACTGAAACTGCTCTGCTGGTACTTTATGTCCACTTATGCCCCCTGCAAAAAACTCTTTACTTAGTATTGGCTTTTAAAATATTTTTCGCAGGGGACGCAAGTGGACACAATACAACAATAGTCTCAGTCATATCCTATAAAATATCCAAAAGTGCCGCTGAAACGGAAACGACTCCACCAGAATCAGCTCTAGTCTTACTATAAATATTATTGAAGTATTTGCTCGTGTAAATAGTCTACTTGGAATAGGCAGTTTATGGCAATAATCAGGAGACATCTACTGTAAGAAATTGGTCTTTTTTCACTCCAAGTAGGAAGATTATTCGTCTACGTCAAAATATTACATAGTAATACTACGCTCCATGTAATAATCGTAACGTTAAACCAGTGCTTAGAGAGTTGCTATAACAATAAACGGATATCTAATCCGTATACAATTTGCATTCTTCTCATACTAAAAGCTTAGTTATAAGCGCTTAGCATCATGATTGAAAGGTGAAGCATTGCGTCTATCAATCATCGATCTCACTTTTACCAGAAAAGTGCAATAATACCGGACATTAATTCAAAATTCTAAGAATTTAATACTCATTCTATTATCTAAGCGAATATATTGATGATGTAATTTATTTATTCATGATTGATAAGGGTAATCATATATTAACTGAAATCTTAACTAAAGTACATACGAGTCGCAAGTCTACAATTTAGTAATAATAAAAAATTTAGAACTGATAAATGCCATATGACATTAGTACTAAATAGTTCTCTGACTTAACCTTGAACAACAATGTAGCACTATTATAGACATTCCACATAATTTAATTTATCAATTTAATTTCTGTTATAAAAATTAATTATCGTAAAACATTGTTATTATTTATCGAATGATGTATTTCGATAGATCAATCTTTTCATCAGAGATGTTATCTTTTATCTAACTTCATCATAACATGATTTTCAATTGTAATTAGTTCCGTTCCACTGGTATTTGTATCTAATCAACATTTACTGTCTAGAGAGATTAATAACACGATATAGAAAAGATAATACTGCATTTTTTAAGGATGATTTCCAATTGTATTGAAATTAGTAATATCGTAAGTCAACAAACCTGTGATTTTCGATTACATAATGTTATTTATGATGATTATGTTCATTCTGTCTATCGTAAGTAAATAAACAAAATGAAATATTCAATAACAGCTTAAACCATGTTTTAAATCGTAGATAGATGAATATAAGAAATAAACCGTAGATTTACGATTTATCTAATGCTTAAATATTAATTCATATATCTCAACTAAATCACTCGAGAAAATTGAATCAACTTTATCAGGGCATTACTCTTACTCGACAGTTCTTATATCCAATACTGATGT